CTATATTGCTAATTTCACAGATCATATTCATCTCCAAATTTAAACTAACCAACTTTTTTGGAAACGGAAAATCATTAGCATTTTTAATGTGATTTGAAGAAAGATCTAAATGCTTAATTGCTTTGGAAAATTTTATATTTTCTANACTGGAAAAACGATTCATTGCCAATTTGAAACTTGTTAGATTTAACTGATTTCCACTTTCACGTCCCATTTTTAATAAATTCATTCCAGCTAATTTCAAATGTTTCAAGTTGAATGAATCAAAAAATTGAGTCGGAAAGAAAGAGTGGATGTCAATTTCGAAATTTTCGGGATACCCTTCAATCCTTTCCAAAAATCATACAGTNGATACAGAGAATTTTTACATTAGTTCAACATTCTTGAATATAAGCTGTAGGCATGTGTTTTTAACTATAGGATTAGTAGATGATATAAACAAAAACCGTTCTTTAATTGAAAGTTTTCGGAAAATATGCTTAAGAATGTTCAGTGGAAGACCATCCAAAACGTTTTGCTTTTCATGATTCATCCTTACAACACACATGGTTGTTATATATTTTTTATAATATAAGTAATATCAAGAAGACTTTATACAAAAATGAAGCGAAATAGCCAAATATATATTGAGGTTTTCATGTTGAGAAGTATGTAATGTGCGCAATTATTTGAGTTGCATGAATTAGCATACACTTATATGCATTGACATGCATGAGACCAAAAGATCAAAGCAACGTTTTTTATTTCTTTCAGAGCAACTTCGCGTTTTCTACAGTTTTCTTGCTCTTTTGAATAGAAAAGGCTCTTTCCTGCTGATCTCAGTCTTTAAAATGTTTCTGGTCAACTTGTCACCTTCAATTATTTGGCATGGAAGCTTGTTTGGCAACAGATTTACACAGCAATTAAGAGAGTTTAATTCAGAACAAACCCATTTATTTAATAGAGTAGGTGAGCAATCAAATCAAATGATTTAGTTATAAAATCCAACATTTCAATGAATCTTTTTGAACTGCTATTGTAATGAAGCTCATAAAATTCAAATTCCTTAATGACTGATTATAAAAAATCAACAAGTATTGAATGTTAGAATTCAAAGCATGACATCCCTAATGATTTCATCTTCGGTATTGCTCAATTTTTAGGTTACTTTCTTATGTAAAACCGAGAGATTATTCAAAATTAATCCTAAGATAGAATTATCTGATCTCAGCATAAGCCGGATATTGTTCAAGTCTTTCTGATTGTTAATGTAGCTGGGTTTAACAAACTCAGTGTGCCTATTGTCAACAGCCATGAAACATTTCAATATGAATTTGAGTCATTGGTATTTGAGTAGAAAAACTACTGTTTGAAATAGTCCAGAGCTCAAAGGATTGTCATCTTTTCTATCTCAGCACCTAACACTGAATCATGGGTTGGCTGGAGCTTATTGGTTCAAATAAATCCTCGGCCATTAAAGTCTATAACTGATATATTGCCGCTTTTTGTATTGTGTGCCATCTCATCAATATATCTTTTCGGTCCTTCTTGGTATTCATTGAAGATCTCCTTTACTTACCATGAGGTAGCGATATTGCAATGAAATACTTATTCCCAAAATAAACTATCTGACCTCCAGAAAAATAGTATTATGAAGTCAATAATAGTCAATGATTCGCCATTATTCGATTTTGTATCAGCCAGTAAAAACTGTGGCACCAGAAAAGCGGTTATTAACTAAAGCAGTAAATCGGCCTGATTGGGACTGATAACGAGGCCCCAGGCCTGAGTATAAATATGGGGTAGTTCCTCTTGAGGTCTTTCTTGTACTCTTTCTTGTACTCTCTTTTTGTCAAGTCTTTTATTGTTCAAGCTCTTTATTTCGACCCAACTCCTTTGGTTTGGCCTTGTTTTCCAGTTCTCCTTTTGCATTTGCTGCCCATCGCAACTATAATTTTGTTTTTAAAATGACCGTTATCGATCCACAAGACTACTACAAATTTGAGTATCTTGATGACCAAGATAAATATGAAAAAATATATAAACCCAAAATCGAAAAGTACAATCAAGCAATTCAAAATGACATGAAAAGGATTGATGTTGACATTTCCAAATTACCACCTCCTGAACTTCTTGACTCAACAAATTTCAACTCACTTAAATTTCTCGAAGAATCTAATTTATTATCAGAAAAAGAATTGAAATTGACCAATTTACCTGCTTATAAGATTGTTGAATTAATTGCAGATGGAGAACTAACTTCAACAGAAATTACAAAAGCGTATCTAAAACGATGCGTCATCGGTAACTATTTATTAAATTATGCCTGTGACTTTTTAATCGATCAAGCGTTGGAAACTGCAAAAGAATTGGATGAGTATTATCTCAAAACTGGTAAAACTGTTGGACCTTTGCATGGGTTACCAATGTCAGTAAAAGAACATTATGGTTACAAAGATAGAATTACACACGCTGGTTTTGTTTCCTTGATTGACAATATTGCTCCAGCTGATCAAAAGACTACCAGTTTGTCTAAAAAGGCAGGTGCAGTCTTTATTGTTAGAACTGCTCAACCACAATCTATTATGCATTTGGACACAATTAATAACATAACAGGTCGTACCAGAAATGTATACAATACAAGTTTGTCGCCTGGTGGTTCATCAGGTGGAGAAGGTGCCTGTGTTTCCTTCAGTGGTTCTGCTTTGGGTTTGGGTTCAGATATTGGCGGTAGTATTAGAACACCTGCAGCTTTTAATGGTATTTATGGTCTTCGTCCAACCTCCTTGAGAGTTTCATTGGCTGGTAGCATTTCAGGTGGTGCAGGTCAGGAATCTGTTATGGGAGTTGTTGGCCCAATTGCAAAAACAGCAGAAGATTTGGATTTATACATGTCTGCATACTTCGATCAAGAACCTTGGGAGGTAGATTCTTTATTAGTTCCTTTGCCTTGGAAAAAAGTCGGTGTTCCAAATCCAAAAGATCTAAAAATTGGTATAATATATGATGATGGTATTGTTAAACCATTGCCTCCTGTGATTAGAGGTTTAGACTTTATTTCCAAAAAACTAAAAGAATCCGGTGTCAATGTTGTTAAATTTGTACCTCCAAAGACTCAAGAAGCTTATGACACTGTTCATCATATGTACACTTGTGATGGCAACTATATGCATAAAAAAATGTTGTCTGAAAGTGGTGAGCCTTTATTGCCTCTAACAAAATGGTTTTTGTCGTTTGGTAAAGGAGATGAGGCTTTATCGGTTAAGGAAAATAGGGAATTAAATGGCACAAGAAATAAATTGAGACAAGAATATACAGATTTACTAAATGACCTAGACATTGATTTTGTGATTTCTCCATCCTATGTTAACTCGGTTCCAAAGCCAAACCAAGTTTATTACTGGGGCTACACTTCTCTATGGAATATTTTGGATTTTCCAACAACTGTTTTCCCAACTGGCTTATTTCAAGATCCTGAACTTGATATCGTAAAAAAAGAAGACTATGACTACCAGCCAAGGTCTCATTTGGAACAGTTGGAACACGAGACGTATGGCAATCCTAGGGATTTTGAGGGATCTCCAATTTCTTTGCAATTGAGTGGTAGAAGATACCGAGATGAAGAAGTTGTTGCTGCAACCAAATTAATTTCCAAAATTCTTGAATAAGTAAAAGCTATTACTTCGACGTATAGAACCAGCTCTAGCTAGACGACAAATAGATTTCATATTTCATAAAATTACATATTAAAACCTGAAACCAGATTTGTAATTGTGTCTCTTCGGACTTTCCTGAAAAACCCGACTGCCACCCGAATTGCCTGGATTTGAGATGTTGCCGATTTGCAACTTCTCTTTGATTCTTTTTACTCTCCCAGGCTTTTTGCTGATCAGTGCAAGTCGATAATTAATCTGTTGGGGATGTTTCGATTTGGCCCAAATTTGAATTTTAGTCTTTCCTCTCGTGTTTTGAACAACACATTCAACAGAAATCCCAACCCCAGCTTTTCTCGGTTCGATTCCCAGTTTCGTTTTTATGCAACCTACAAAAGATTTAATAATCAAAAGAACTCAACGGGTTTCTCGTTAGAGTTTTTCAAAGATCCAAAAATTCAAAAAAGGATACTTGTTGGAGGAGCATTATTTGCAGCATTTTACGTTTACAACTTGGATCAGGCACCAATTTCAAATAGGAGAAGATGTATTTGGATCCCAAAATTTGTTGAGTTGAAGCTTGCTGATATCACCTACAGACAGATCTTGCATTTATATGATGGCAAGTTTTTGCCTGATAATCATCCGTACACCAGAAAAATTGAGTCTATCATGAAGAAAATCATAAAGGTCTGTGAGAATAACATTCAATCTAAAGAGAACAACCTACATTATGGGGATTTTAACAGTGTTAATCACCAGGGTATTGTACGGGATGAAAATGGGGAGGCAAAAGAAATTGATTGGAAGGTCCATGTAATTCATGATCCCAATGTCCCACCAAATGCGTTTGTTTTGCCAGGAGGCAAGATTTTTGTATTTACAACGATATTTCCAATTGCAAAAAATGACGATGGGTTGGCAACTATTTTAAGCCATGAAACAGCTCATCAACTAGCTAGACATACGTCTGAGAATCTTTCTAAGAAGCCATTATATTCATTACTTGGGATAATACTATATACTATAACAGGTTCATCCTTTATTAATGACTTGTTTTTAAAATCTATTTTTCTAATGCCAGCATCAAGGGAAATGGAGACAGAAGCAGATTATATCGGGTTAATGATAATGTCAGAAGGATGTTTTAAAATTGACGAAGCACTTAAATTTTGGAAACGATTTAAAGAGTTTGAAGATAGAAGTGGCGTTCGAAGTTTTGAGTTTCTAGAAACACATCCAGCGAGTGAAACAAGATATGGAAATATAGAGAGATGGTTACCAGAAGCAAGAGAGAGACAAGAAAGTGTGGGATGTTATTCAAATCAATTTTTAAATTTTTCATCCTTTAATCATGGATTTGATTCATTTTTTTAGTAAGAATGTGAATGTGAATGCAAATTCAAATGCAAGTAAGGATGCAGAATGATATATGTGATGTTATGATATAAAATAAACAAAGCTAGAATATCTGTATATATGAATAATCATTTAAAATAAATATTCAGTTTAAATATAAAGTATGGGAGTATTAAATATTGACGCAGAAGTTAAAGGGTGAATCTGGATGAAAATCGCAAAAAATATGTTTTAAAAACTTATAGAGCAACTCGAATTGACCAGTTATTATTAAAATAATTGAGATGATGGTTACAAGCAAACCAAGTATGATGTATAGAGAAGTTTGCAAACCACTAGAGTTGGGGTATAGTGGGATAGGACACTGAAATGCATTTCCAGCTGGGGCTTGAGTTGAGTGCGATTCACTATTATTTATTTCATAACCAAGTTGATTACCAGCGCTATGACTGTTTTCACCCTCAATTGAATCAGTTTGAGTGATTGAAGAAGCAGAGTAGGTTGGAGCCAGATTGTCACTTTGCAATAAAGGTTGGTTTTCCAAGTCATTTTGGTTTTTGGAGAAATTTTTCTTTTTTTTAAAGAGGTTGACATTTGAGTTTACGCTGGATAATTTTGATCTGAGCGATGATAGTCTAGTTGTGTTTCTGTTGGTTGAATTGGAATTAAGCGCTGAGAACGAAAGACTGTTTTCTAGCCCTGAAAGAAACTGGGGGGTTCTAGCACTGTCACCATCATGCTGTGGGCTATCCGGAGCACCTGAACTGTGCAAAGCGCTACGCAACTGGAGAGAATTGTCCATTTCGCAACAAAAGTACAGTCGAAAGAGACACTGCAAAACAGAACAGAAGAGAGCACCCAAATAGGAAAAAAAAAGAATATATCTGCTTGTCCCAAAACAGAAGGTGCAGAATAGTGGCCGAACCGGGCCGTGTTTTTCGGCTCACGGCAAATGCGTGCGGAAAGCGTGCGGAGTGCACAATAAGCGTGCACAATAAGCGTGCAGAATAAGCGTGCAAAATAAGCGTGTAAGAAGTGTGCACGATAAGACATTAAGCACCTTTGCTAACTGTGTAGTATAAATATCTCAACACTTCCTCTTTTTTTCTTCGTTTTCTTGGTTTTTTCTTCTCTTTTCTTCTGCTATCATTTTTCTTTTGTTGCACGATGGGACTTCGTTATTCTACTTATCTAGAGGCTGTTGGAAATGAGAAAATTTATGGCTGTAGGTCCTGCAAGACCCATATCTCGGTCTCTTCTGTTATCTTATCGAAGGACTACATCTCAGAAAACGGAAGGGCGTATTTGCTCAACAACGTTATCAACACCATCGAGTGTGTTGAGGATGCTGAAAAAATCGAAATGCTCAGTGGAGTCTACTTGATTTGCAAAATCAAGTGCCACCAGTGCGACAAGGTCCTAGGCTGGAAGTATCTCTTTTCCTACGACAAGTCCCAGAATTTCAAAGTTGATAAATATGTTTTGGAATTGAAAAAACTAGCCATTTGCTACTGATCAACTGCAACGAAGATAATGAATATGTGATGACTACATTAACTATCCTTCTATAGAACCACATCTAGATTTTTATATTTTTTTTCCTCACTGCTATCTTATTGGGTTGGAGCTGTTTCGTTGGTTATGCTTTTATGTTTTTGTTTCTGTTTTTGTTTGGTACCTGTTATACTCTGTTTTAGACGTAATTTATATATCCTTTTTCTTTTTTTTGGCTTCAAGCTTCCTATGTTTTATCTTTATTGTTTCTGTCGACCTCTCTTCTGTGGTCCCTCTTCTCCTGGGTTATATATCTTTAATACACGCCTCTTCTCTTTTCTCTTATCTCCTATCTCTCCTCCATCTCCGTTTTCCATACAGTAATCCCACTTCTGACGCTTTTCTTACATCCCATCCTCCGACAGCGATATATCACAACAACCCATCTTCACACTGCTATTACTCAACAACACAATTGCACACGAATGGAGTACTTGAAAATAACTAATGTATGTTCTGCTTCTGCTTGAAACTCTCGTGTCTCGGAATGTTGGGTCCCCCAAACAACTAACTCTTTGTATCTTGTACAAATCTAATAGGCTTCCAATGTTACTTTGCATAGAAGAGGTATCTCCATTAATGGCGACCTTCATCTAACTACCCACCACCTAATATTCGTATCCAAAATCAACTCCAGATTGAAAGAATTATGGATTTGCTATCCAATGATCAATCATCTTGAGAAAAATTTGGGCTCTTCGTTGATTGATTTATTAACCATATCAAATGACAACGATAACACTAATAACAGTATTCCGTCAAATGGCATAAATCTCAACAACTACAATAATCTCTCAGCTAATATAAACAACAACGCTTCTACAGGTGAATCCATCGACAATTTAGATCATTTGAAAAATCTCAAGTCGCTCTATAAAGGCTCTTGCCTAAAAATAAAATGCAAAGATTTCTCAAACTTATCCATTGACTTCGTGGATGATAAAATCTGTCAAGATGTTTTTGACTCAATCATTAAATTAACTTGTCTTAGCACAATCGAAAAACTATATGCTTTTCTATATCAACCAATATCCCTAGAGAAAAATCTTCCACTTAATTCTTGGTTCATTTTCAATCCACAGAATGAGTTTAAAAGGCAAGGCTTAAATCTATTGATCAATAATCATGAATACAATTCAATCCCTCCTCTTTATCCCGGTTCAAACTCCTGGAGATTCTCAAACATTAATTTGAATTACCAATTAACTCCAACTTATCCCAGTTTTCTTATTGTACCATCTTCAATTTCCGATAATCTAATTAAATATGCTTCAAAATTTAGATCGAAACAAAGAATCCCAACTCTATCCTACTACTATAAAAAAAATGGCTGTACAATAACAAGATCTTCTCAACCTTTAACCGGTTTAAAACAGTCAAGATCAATTCAAGATGAAAAATTAATCGATGAAATCTTCAAGTCAAATCAAATTATAAATAACAATAATACAATAGTCATAAATAACAATAATAACAATAATAACAATAATAACAATAATAACAATAATAAAAAATCTGTCAGAAGATTAAATCTTATCATAGATGCAAGACCTCAAACTAATGCAATGGCTCAGACTGCTTTAGGTGCTGGCACTGAAATTATCGACAACTATAAAAACTGTAAAAGAATTTTTCTAGGTATTGACAATATTCATGTAATGAGAGACTCAATTACTAAAATCAACAACATCCTAAAAGATTCCGATATCTTGAAAAATCCTTTAATTACAAAGGATCTATTAGAAAAAACTAATTGGCTAAAATATATCAACATCCTTTTAAGCAGTACTGATTTGATAGTTAAATCAATTCATTTTAACAATGTTCACACTTTAGTTCACTGTTCCGATGGCTGGGATAGAACTGCTCAAGTTTGTTCTTTGGCCCAAATTTGTTTAGACCCCTTTTTCAGAACTATTGAAGGTTTTGCCATCTTGATTGAAAAAGATTGGTTATCTGCTGGTCACAGGTTCAATGAAAGATCTGGCCATTTATCCTCTGAAACAAAATTTGTAAATAATTGTAAACTATCAAAATCCTCATCCAAAAATTCAAACTTAAATCAAACTTCAAGTGTTTTCGTAAATTCAAATAGAAGCTACAGCAATAATAATCTTAATAATCTATATAAAAATGCAAATCTCAATAACGATAACAATAACAATTCAAATTTAATCAACTCAAGCCAAAATTCTTCAACTTCTTCACTAAATTCAACAAATAACAATAATAATAATAATAATAATAATAATAATAATAATAATAATAACAATAATAAAAATTCAAATTCTCCTTTTGGATTTTCTTTAGAATCAATTACAAATTCAGAATCTTTCAACCAAGCAACTGGTGCTTTTTATTCAGTTTCAAATCATTTTAAGAAGCAAAAACATTTGAAATTTACTTCACCTATTTTTCATCAATTTTTAGATAGTGTATACCAATTATTAAGACAAAATCCAAACAAGTTTGAATTCAATGAAAGATTTTTAAGAAGACTATACTACCATTTATATTCCTGTCAATATGGTAATTTTTTATGTGATAACGAAAAGGAAAGAGTAACAAAAAAAATATCTGAAAGAACAAGATCAGTTTGGGACTATTTTCTAGCAAGAAAATTAGATTTTACTAACCAAACTTACATTAAACCATTTGATCTTGATGATTATGATAATAATGTTATAATACCAAATTCTGAAGATATAAGGTGGTGGTATCAATTATTTGGCAGATCAAATGAAGAAATGAATGGCGAATATGATAGGCAAAATGCCTTAATGAAAAATTTTGTAATTCCCAAACAAAATGGCAAACAAATTAAGTCTATTCATTCTTTTAAAACAAGCGATCGTACATAGTGATCCAAATCCAGATTCAATTAACAATTTGGTAGCAAGAAAAAACTATTAAAATTTTGTTGGAAATACTCTAAATAGAATAGTATAATTCAAGCATTCCTCTTCTGCTCTTAAACTTATTCACTTTAATAAATTTTTTCTCCCACTTATAATAGTCAATTTATTTTGATTGAGTTCTTTTCTATCAAGCTTTTTCTCATTTTTTTTTTGTACATTGTATTGTTCTCAATAGCATGATCATTTCATTGGTGAAATAAACTATTATTAATGAAGTGATGCTAGCATTGGTTTTGTAGAATTTTAAAATAAACAAATAAAATGGGAAGCTAATAATTCAATGGGCAATTTTTATTTTTGTCTGGGTGATGTTCATATCCTTCTCAGCCCTATTATAAATTTTTGTAAATTATGCAAAATAAATCTCACAATTTAATAATATATATTAAAAAAATTTTCAAACCCGGCTTGAGCTATCCCCAATACTACTAACAGTATTCATTTAATCTCCTATTGAACACCACATTAATATGAACATGATGTCAAATGGTATCAACTTTTCTGGTATTTTTGTAGGTTATAAGTTTTTAGCAAATGCAGCTAAATCAGAAATAGTGGTCACAGAAAAGCTTCATAAAGATGAGCATATGAATTGAATTATAATTCTGGTATAAATACTTTCAATTGTGTATATTCACTTTTTTATTTTGAATAGACATACCAACGCTGGAATAATTGCAGAAATGATGAGTGGTGGTTTAAGAGTTGACCAACAATCTGAGATGGTTGATTGGAACACAAAAGAAACGATTGCTTTTACTATGAGTTAAGGTAGTAATGAGTTATTAGTTTATATATATGTTTGGGCACTTTAGTTCAACATCAAATCATCAAAATTGTCACCGACCATTCCAATAATTTGGCATCGATAGACGCAATTAAACAACAGGCTAGCTTAAATATCACTAACGATAAGGACTCCCAACAATGTATTACTGAATATATTTTGTCATTATGCTTGGTTTCAGCTTTTTTGAATATGCAAGTGCCAAAGTTGATGTACGATTTCACAATCTCAAAATTACCAATGCAGAATTATTCCAACTAGGTGTTTGGGATATCAGATGGAAATATGGTTAAAACAATTCCTTTAAAATTCAAGTTTCTCTCTCTTAGTGATATGGTTCAAAACCATGGTAATACTATGACTATACTAACGGCATTTTGTTTGAAACACTATTGTCTACAATTGAAACTTTCCCCAAAAGAATTGCAAGAAAAAAAAGCAAGATACTTAGCAATGCTTCAATATCTCCAGATACCTGAATCACAAAATAAACAACTTATCAAAGCTTCATATACCATTCAAAATCAATTTGCTTCAATTAACGAAATGTTAAGTAATTCTGATAACAGATTCAATTTAAGTGTGAGTGAAGTGCTTCAGTTTCAACAATTGCTCCTTGGCTCAAATAACCATCCGTCTCAATTGCAAATTGGTAACATATCCAGTATTTTGCAAGGAAACAAACCCAATAAAAGTTTTGCTATAGTTCTTCAATTATCCAATGCCAGAATTCTCAAAGTATACAATGCAGTTCGTGCACCCAAAGCTATCTATGATAGCAAAGCCAATTGTGAGAAGCATCTTGATTTAGCAGGACGATTGCAACCCAAAGGTTTATAAAAGAATTATCTGCTTACAAGCAGCTTTCAGATCCTCAATTTAAAACAATAGTTCCCAAGCTTTTGGCATATGGATTTCTTCCATACCCAAGTTTAGCAAAGCAGGACTCGCTCATGGATCTAAACAAACATTCAAGTGATGATCATCTTGAGCTTTCAGGATTGTATCTTGAGACAGCCTATCTTGGTGTTACTGATGTTAAAGCACTCGATGAAAAAGGGTTCAGGAAAATGACGCTGGTGGCGTTTCCAACATGCATCTAATGCATTTCAAAGCAGTTGTGCACTGCAACATGCATGATGACAATGTTGTGTACAAAAGTGATACCAATCACTTTTTCTATTTGGATTTTGGATCATCGTCTATTCACAACTTGAGGAAAAGTAAGCATACAGAAGACAAAAACTACCTTGATTACGAAGACAACTTTCTTACATCATGCTGACATGACTACACCAGTTTAATGGCTGTTTTGTTTTTTAGGTTTGTTTATAACATTTCAACAGAATTTTTAGAGACCGAAAAAAATTGTTTATATCGGCTGCAAAAAAATATATCGATATAGAAAAAGTGAAGGATTGTGAAAAACACAAAGAAGATCTAAATCAAAAATCTTTAAAAAGAAAAATTACTGGAAAGGAGACAGACAGATTGGTTGAAAAAACCAAGAAAACAAGATAGCTGCTTAAATGAAATGCTTTTGATGTATTGTATAATTTGAAATTTAAAAGAATTGTTGAGAAATAAACAAAAGAATTATTTTTAATATATTTGCGGAAGTATAATGCAATAAATAAAATTATCATGATCTGTTGATCGATTTTGATGCTTATTTTATTCGGGTTTTATTACAAAATTTTCTGGATTCTATTGCTAATATTATCTTCATATTGGCTTGTCCCTAGCTATGGCTGCTTGTCCAATTGCTACATCACTGTTGTCGCTATTTTTAATTCCTCCTTTTATTCATTTCGCCTGCTCAAAAAGTATCAAGCTTGTTAAAGCTGGTATATTATCAGTTGAGAATGATATCAACAACGATGACAGTGAAAAACAATAAGACACAACTACACTCAATGATAATCAGCCTAAAGTTTCGTTAGTTGCATCATAATAAGTAGTTTTTTCGTTTTCAGCATAATATTCCATATCTTCTTCATTTTCATTCTGATCCTCCTCAAAGTTGGCATCATTATTAGTATGAATGTTATTTTTATTTTGATTTTGATTTTGATTTTGATTTTGATTTTGATTTTGATTTTGATCAATTCTATCATCATTTCTTTCATCATCATCACTATGATTATCAAACATTTCAACATCTTGGTCGACTTCGGAGAAAGATGATGATGATGATGATGATGATGACGAGGAATATATTCCATAACCCAACATTCTGCCTTCTTTTTCCTGTTTAGTTTTCCTTTGAATTTTGTGATTTCTCGACATTAATTTTTGAGTTAGAGTTCGTTTTTGCAATGAATCCAAAAAGGAATGGTTTTGGATTGCCTGGATTTTTTTTCTTAATAACAGTTCATTCTTTGAATCCTCGTCTGATTTGAAAGTGATTAAATCGTTATATTCTCTAAATAGTAGTTCGTTTTCAGCTAGAGTCTTATTAACCTCTAGCCTTTGCTTTTCCTCCATGGAGTTCAAATCGTTGGATCGCAGAGAATCCTTGGAAATATTTTTAGCAGCCATAACAAAGGTAGTATAATTGAAGAAATGATTAATGGTGGTTTAAGAGCTGATTCAACATTTTTATCAAATGATGATGCAATTAAATTATCTGTTCCAGAATGAATGCCAATACTGCTTGCTTGGGGATCTCATAATTCTTTTCTCATTAATGTCGTATTCAATATAAGAATATTCATCATAAGCTGATAAAGAAATGTTGCCAATAGTATTGAAATTTTGTTCTGTATCAGATGAATCCGAATTTAAATATACATTGTTTTTTTTGGATTCCTTTGAATTCGGTTCTGGTTCTGATTCCAATTCTATTAATTATTCTGAAAAATAATTTGACTCAAGGTCAGACTGATCAAGATTGGATTATTGAATCTGATTCATTAAATATTCAAGCTCTTGCTCTTCTTCCTCCTGGTTTCAGTTTTCAAAGCTGAAACTTCGGAATCATTTTTTTTCTTGCAAATTATGTCAGCTACTTCACATCCGCTATATAAGATAGTGATTGTCCAAAACTGTCCTGGAATTTGTTTTGTTGAGTTTGATCAATAACGGGTAAAATCTATGGTTTTTTGAATAATAGTCTGAATTTTGAAGCCCTTTCTGTTTTACTTGAATCATCTTGAGTTGGATCTTTCTTATTTCATCTTAGATCATCACATGAACAATTATTCAAGTGTTATATCAGGCGAAGTACTTTAATAAGATTATGAGATAGGTCCAAAACCTTCAACTCGATTAAACATTTGAAATCTTTTATTCCAGATATTTGGTTATAAGATAATTCTATTTGTGTTAACCTTTCTACTCGTATTGTATTTCCCATGATTTTAAAATCTGTAATTATGTTGCCTCTTAAATTAATCTCGGTTAGATTGACTAATTTCCCAATGTTTTCAACAATTGATATTTTATTTGAACTGATGCCCAACATCGAAAGGTTGACTAAATTGTTCAAATTTTCAATTTTATTAAATGATAAATCTAACGGTGTTAAATTAGTTTGATTCAAATGATCAATTTTGGTTATTTGATTAAAGGCCAAATCAAGTTCCATCAAATGAAATAATCTTGTTGGAAACGGTTCAATTGCTATAATTTTGTTTTCTTTTAAATTTAATTTTTTTAAGCTAACAAATCAACGCAGGAGTTACTAATATTTAAGATATTAAATTTGTAGATGTCACTGGTTTTCAAAATGGAATTTTTTCTTAAATTTAGTTCGACTAGATTCTCACACTCAATAGGATGATTTAATTCTTTTAGTTTATTAAAAGATAAATTTAAAGTAATCAAATGTTTTAGAAAAGAAACGTTCTCAATACTTGTGATTTCATTATTGGATAAATCCAAATATTTTATCATTTCAGGGAATTGGATATTTTGCAATTTGGAAAAATTATTATCTGTCATTTTTAGATTATATAAATTGGTTTACTTCAATATACCAATTCAATTTCTGTTAGATACATATCTTTCAACTGTAATGTAGTCAATCTAAATAAATCATAACTAACATATTCATCTGAAAAAAGAGATCGGAAATCAATTACATACTTTGGGCGATATAGACTTTGGGAAAGTAAGGTAGTTTTGTCTTGAAGTTTCAAATGGTTCCAGTCAATTGTGTTGCCAAAATCTATTATTATTGTTTTTAATGTGTGTTTTTGAATTAGTAGCAAATCTTTGATTATTGATATACATTTCCAAAAATCATCAACTGCTGTTGGTGCTGAGAAAAGTCTAGGACCATAACAGTACGAAATTGATGGTATTGAAATTGATTGTACTGAAATTGATATTTTTCTCATTGAACAAAACATGCTAACTATATTTTTATGATTTTTTAATAAATTGTAGTCTGGCAAATCTATTTCGAGAAATATATCATTGGAGAATTGATTTAAATAGTCTTTGAAAGGCGGAGCGTCTTTAATAGTCAATGTCAAGAGAAACCTTGGGGAACTATTGTACCAATAACATAAATGAGAAGAATCAAAGCAACATGAAATTATTTTAATTTTCTTGAATATATACTGTAAACAAGTTTTTTAACTATTGGGTTAGTTGAAGAAATAAACAAGATGTTTTTTCAAACGAGAGTTTGGTGAAAATAACATTGAGGATGTGAGGTGGTAATCCCTCTAATATATTTTGTCTATCAGTCTTTGGCATCTCAAGTTCCATTGTTGGTATATTATGTTGTCTGTGAATACTATAAACAATTATTTATTTCTACAAAAACAGAATGAAATATCAACGTATAAATAGTGAGGTTTTCTTCAGAAATCATGTAGAGTATGGCAACTCTTTGAATACCGTGCGTTGACATGCATAATGTCAAGCAAATAAAACAATACTTTTATTTCTTTCACAGTAACTTTGAAAACTCTATTACTTTTGGGATTGTTTGAACAAAGAAAGAACTTTTGTATTTGTCTTCGCACATTAAAAGAGAAGAACCTGGGTATAATGGCATAAGCGAATTGTTTGGTGCTCCTCAGACGTTCCATCAATCAAACGTCAGCAATAGACCAGCGACGTGGAGGTGTACACAGATATAGCTACTTCACCGAAAGAAGGCAAAACCGGTTCTGACGATGCACGATAACTTGCGCGATTTTGTGCGATTTTGGTCTATCGTGCACGATGCTCGGTGCCCTAAACCGGTCCCTCACCAAAACATGGGTGCAATGCGTTCACCTTCACGCTGTGATCACCCAAGGGGAGAAATGATGGTTAAAGAGTTTTGTGCTCGTCACAATTGATCTGGTTAAAAAAGTTGGTTGGTTTATATGATTCGTTTTATAGATTGTTATCATTGTATAGCATTCATACATAGATAAATCTAATTGTCTTTACTTTCCATATGCAGAATCTATTTATTTTAAAATCTAGGTTTGGTTTTTTGATTTATCATGGTAACAGAATTACCAAAACACGTTGAAAATTTATAATGAACAAGTAATCAAATAGAATCAAAATGAAAGCTATAAAATTTCGAAAAAAAGTTCTGCGAAAAGCCTCCTCTTTAAAAAAATATAATGATTATCTTGTGACGCAATTGAGCAACTCATTTTCAAAATTAGAAAGACAAATCAAACCTTCTAAAAAGATACCTCCACTGTTCCAAAAAAATCCTATGAATTTTCAAAATAATATAATCAGAGCTCCAACAGTGATCAAGGTTTGCAATCAGCAACATGATCCAATATTATCTCCTAAACTGAGTAACAATTCAACTTATTCATTGTCGACATCCTCTTTAGTAACTCATTCGCCTACAAGATCACCAATAAATTGACAAATCTTTCCAAGAAGATCTCCTAGACTAGAATCACCTTTAAAAGTACGAAACCAAACCCTTGTTCCATTGCCTATTAAACAAAATGAAGATTAATTGAAATCAGAGAATAAATCAAGTTTATTAGAAAAAATCGAAAGAACAGTTTCCGAAAATTTAAAAGACTTGAACAATGAGCTAATTAAAAAACATAATAATCAACATATATTGAATAATAGATTATTTTCATTCACTCCATCACCGCCTGAAAAAAAAGAAATAATCGATTTAGATGTGGGTTCTAATGGCAATCTATTGCCCAATAGGAGGGAGATTTTGTTTATGTTATCTCTAGTTTTAGTTGACGAAGGTGCAGAATTTCATAAAACCCAAAATAATAGAAGAGATGAGAAATTTGAAAATTCTTTGCTTTTGCAAACAACCAAATTTTTAGATGATGCGTCATTGAAAGAAAAATGAGATATGGATTTTTCCTTCTTTTTTTAATTTTATAAATGCTTTTATAAATGCTTTTATTCATTCATTTATACACTAACTTTAATTTTAATTTAGTAAACATTTTTACTTTTGTTTTTATTTAACCTAAAAAGTTACTAATTTCATTTTATTATAGCATTGATGAGACTATTGCATTAGGTTGATTCTATTTTTAAAATTGTATTATATTAGAAATATATTCTCAAATAAAAATAAAAATAAAAATAAAAATAAAAATAAAAATTAAAGTGAAATAAAAACCAAATAAGAAAAGTAATCAAAATAATAATTAGATAATAGATGATAATCAATAGATAATTGTTCAGTAGTATTTTTGTTATTTTCCATTTTCCAACTTTCTATTATAGGTATGAACTATGCCAACAGGATCATAAGGATGGTCTTTTGCATAAAAAAATGAATCAAGAATAGCATTTTTAACACTCTCAAGACTTTGTGGAGATATTTGAAAATGGAAAGAAATTCTATTACCCATTAGTTTAACATTATATTTTTCACCAAATTGTATTAAAACTTGAGGATCCATTTTATTTTTCACTAAATCAAGAAAAACAAAATTTGTATCTACAGGTAATTCCAAGGCTATACCATGCTTTTGACAGAAAAGAGCTAATTCTTTTGCCATTAAATGAGATTTTTTCAATTTCTTTATGTTTTCCTTCAAAGCAGCTAATGCGATTGAAGTAATAATACCAGCCTGTCTAATACCACCACCATTTTGTTTTTTAAAATGATTAGCAGTTTTAATAAATTTTTTGCTACCAACCAAGACAGAACCAATTGGAGCACCCAAAGATTTCGATAAACAAAGAGAAACAGAATCAAAGTATTGACAATATTCACTGATAGGGATTCCAGTTTCAATTGACGCATTCCATAACCTTGCGCCGTCAAGATGTAGTTTGAGATTATTTGCTTTAGCAAAATCACTGATTTTTTTAATTTCATCAATAGGGATAATGACTCCCTCAATAGTGTTTTCTAAACTGATTAATTTGGTTGGAGCATAATGAATATCATCTTCAAGTTCGATATTTTGTATAATATCATTCAAAGTAATGTATTTGCCATTGGAAGGTTTAACTGGAGTCACCATTGCTTGAGATAAGGTGGCTAAACCACCAGCTTCGTGGACATAGATGTGACCTCTTGAATCACATAAAACCGAATGGGGAGGTTGAAATAAATTGGAACGAATAGCAATTTGGTTGGATAAAGTGCCTGAAACACAAAATAAAGCAGCTTCTTTACCGGTCAATTCAGCAACATAATTCTCGAGCTTTAAAGTGTCTTCGTCTTCATCATAGACACTATCGCCTAAGGAGGCATTCAAAGCAGCTTGGAGAACAGTGGGAGTAGGAATTGTGAAGGTGTCGCCTATCAAAATTGAAATTAGTATTGAAAAGTCCACATAAGCTTCATTGAATAAGACTCATCTGTGTTGACATACTTCTAAAGTCATTATGACAACGGGGTAGTTGTTGTGCAGTATCAGCAGTCATTGTGCAAACAAGTGGGAATCAATTGTCTATTACCTATTATCTATTATCAATTAAAAAGAGAGAAAGAAAAAACTGGATATTTATATCAAAGACAAGATAGTGGTTAGAAATAGTGAGTCATCAGCTATGGTGTATCAGGCAGTTGGAGAGTTGGAGCTGATCATCTACAGAGACCCAAACAGCGATATACTGGCACTTGATAAGCATACAAAAATGACAAAGAAAAACAGACCCGTTGTGGTGGTAAGTGCTGCATCCAGCTGCGTCTTTTCTACCACAGATGTGGCTCGGATCCCCTAAACAGCAACACCCAGACCGCTGGTTTGGTGGGCAGGAAATTGCTCTGCTTCTTCGTCTTCTTCAGAGGAGTTTCGGTTGTAGATAAAAAACTGGATAAAGATAATGGTGTCCTCGAAGATAGTACCAAGAGACCCCATCAACCACGAGAGGTTCAATAGTATGTACTTCCAGTCTGAGCGAAAGAACAATATTTGCAATGCGTAGGTCACATTGCCGAAGGTTGAGAAGATGAAAAACAATAGACTGAGCCCATGAACTGACTTTCTCTTGTAGTTCTGGTATATTTGAGGAAGACGAGCACTTAGGTAGCATGTAGCTGAGAGGTAGCCCAACAACTGGGGGAGAACAGCTATTTCATCATTATCGTTGTTGTCACCCCCGCCGTTGTTTGGTTCGTTGTCGGAGGATTTAGCAGAAATAAGATAACCTACAGCACCAGCACAGATAACAAACAATATTGGTAAGATATATTTAACGAAAACATTTAGTTTCCCTTTCATGTTTGCCCAATAGGCTAAGGATTCTCTGTTTAGGGACGACACCGATTTTCTTGATACTCTGGATCTTCTCGATCTTCTTCTATTTTGCTGCAATCTTTCTTCAGTTGGCTGAATGATTAATGGTGATGTTTCCCCATGAGAATTAGTTATTGATAACTGAACACTTTTCTTTTGTTGTTCTTCGTGTCTTTTTATTAGTTTTTTCAATTGATTTGGGTAGATGTAAGTATAGTAATAATACGAGAAAATGATTAAACCATCAGAAAAACAAAACCACACAGCTAAGAGAATGACTTGGGGTAACAATTTGGCTAGGACTGAGCCCAATAAATTAGCTATATCCCCTGTGAACCATATAAATAAAAACCCAATGGATATCCCTTCAGCAGACTTAAGTCTCCATTGCTCAATCAATTGGGGAACAAGTAAAACAAACCAACATGCAAGACTTGTTGATCCTGATATCCCTGATAATATTACTCTGAGCTGAGAGGGCTCGGCTTGGTTTAAAAACAAATCAAACATGATCAATGATTTATATTGGATAAATTAATACTGAATAACTAATGAATGATTAAAGAAAATTATTGATTTAAAAAGAAACTAATATTATTGAAAATTTAAGCAAAACCAATAAAAGATAACAATCCAATAATAATCTAATACAGCATTTAAGAGACATTTGAAGAAAAAGGGAATTAATTCTAAAAAACCTCATACAGCAAACTTAATTTCTAACAAAAGTAAGACACGAAAAAGCATAAAAAACCACAACAACCATGTTCGCGGATCACTGCAATAGTTGCATATATTTTGCACTAATGCATTTGTCCCATGTCCGTGAAAATACAATATATAAATAGGGCTCTGAGAAGCTTTGGTAAATCCAATTTAAAGCCCTGATTGGATTCACGTGCCTTTTCTTATTTTTTCTGAAAAACGATTTTTCAAAATATTAAATTCAATTCCAGAGAAGTTACCTTTGCTGCAGCTACAGTAGTTCATTATCACCAGTATCATTGATATCAATAATTGAGTTCCAAGTACGTTTGAGTTACAACAATCAGTAAAAGATACCTACGGAAACATTGTTCAATTAAATTACTAACAAAAAACAAATCGAATTATTTTAATTTTTTTCTTTCAATATTATTTGCAATTAGAAATGGCTAAATCAAAGAATCATACAGCTCACAATCAAACCAGAAAGGCTCACCGTAATGGTATCAAAAAACCAAAGACTCACAGATATCCATCATTAAAAGGTGTTGATCCAAAATTCAAACGTAACCACAAACATGCTCTTCATGGCACTGCTAAAGCTTTAGCCGCTGCTAGACTTACTGCTAAATCAGCCACCAAACCTGCTGCTAAAAAATAAATTAATCATTAAATTAATCAATGAATAAAATAAATAAAATAAACCGATTTTTTTTTCAATTTAATTTACTTTAATACAATTTTTTGTGGTGATATAAAGCATGTACAATACTAATGATAATAAAATATTAGAAAACAACAAAATACATTTATAATACTAAAACAATATCTAATCATTAGAAAACAAAACTTGATAAGTTAATTTAAATGCATAAAATGTATTAAATACTGGAAAGCTCACGTTAAACATTTATTAAATATATTTTAATGGTTACTTTTTTTTACTATGATATTCATTCAATTTTCCAAGGTGAGATGTAGAAAGCAATATTAAAACAGCAAAAACAGCAACAGGAAGCAAAATCACCAAAGTTTGCTCATGTGAGTTTTTTGACCAGAAAACCATTTTTGTATTTGTGTCATGAACCAGTTTCCAAGCTCATGCAGATTTTGGTTCTTTTGAGAAAGTCCTTCCTCAGCGTTCAATTCCATTTTAAAAACCAATTTTTCTGCTGATTGCACGATTCCTTTTGATATTTTATTTCATTTTTATTTTACTTTTTAGTTAAAGATTTCTCTGTTTATCTTAGACTTTGAAGAAAAAAAAATAAAACCAGATAATTCAATCAAGTATATCTAATACAAAAGAAATCAATTATCATCAAAAATGACTGTTGCCGTACAAGAATCTGGATCTTCTTCTCCAGAAGCTGATAGCACTGATACATCTCCAAATATTCAGATTGAAGTTGAGACTAAGGGCGCTAAACAAAACACTCGAGTTTATATTTCAAATATTAATTTCAAAACTACAGAAGACAATTTAATAAACTATTTGAATGAATACAAAGTGTATGGATTATTTCATTTAGCAACAAATCTACAAATTCACTGGTGGTTTTGAATAGATCTTACTAACAAAAAATTAAAAAAAGAAAAACTGTATTGGTTCCAAGTCACACTGTGAGAGGTTTTAAAAGCCAACAACAGAGACCTCTAGGTATCGCTTATGCTGAATTTGAGGCTGTTGAAGATGCCCAAAAAGTTTGTGAAGAATTAAATGGTAAAGAATTTCAAGGTCGCAAATTGAAAATTAAACCATATGTTCCATACAGTCCAAAAAAATTAAAAAGGAAATCCTCTCGTTTTCATAAGGTTCTTATAAACTTTTTTTATCAAAAAGAAACATATTTATCAATTGTTATTCAAGTACCATTATACTAATTTTTGTTTTGTTTTGTTTTTGTCTCTAGATTTCAAATAGCGCTGATAGTAGTCCTGTGTCTCCACAACTAGATTGTTCTTCTGACCCTGATCCTGCTTCAGGTTCTGATAATCTTGCTTCAGGCTCTTCTACTGCTTCTCCAGATTCAAATAGCCCTGAATTGTCTTCGTCCAGTAATGAAGTTTCTGATAATACTATTTTTATTGGTCGTCTTAATCCAAAGGTGACTGATACTGATCTTCGTGCTTTTTTCAATGATTATAACCCATCAGAGATTTATATCTTTAGAGGTAAATACAATCGTAGACGTTTACGTTTTGGTTACCATATCGCTGCATTAGTTACTGTTAGTGGTGAAAATGCCCAAAAAGATGCCCTTGATAATTTATCTGGCAAAAAACTCAATAATAAAGTGGTTAAATTAGCTCCAGCTTATTTATCAAAAATTGAAGAGGTTAAAAATGCTCTTAAAGCTCATGAAGAATCTTTAAGAAGAATGAAACAAAAAGAACGTGAAGAACATGGATATGAAGATGAAGAGCAAGAAGATGAAAACGAAGGTGAAAACGAAGGTGAAGTCGAAGATGAAGATGAGAAACAAAACTCAAAGTCTGAAAAACAGCCTAAGCAAGAAAATGGAAAACACAGAGATTCCAAAGACAATAAGTTGTTTCACGCTGAATCTGCTCCAGATGCTGTAGCTTCTTTAAGTGCTCATATGGCTCAAAAAGCTACAACAAAAGAAGAAATTAAACAAATTGAAGTCTTAAAAGAAGCATCAAGTGAGCCAGCAGTCGTTGCAACTTCATAAACATACATTTTTATGTTTACATTTAGGTTTTAAATTCGTAAATTGTTATTTAATTTTTTTAACGTTTTAAATTTTTGAATTTTTGAAGATTTTGACTTATTTTTTGTTTATTCATTCGTTTTTTTCGTTCTTCTAGCTTTATTTTCTATAACAACAAAATCTGTTTCTTTTTATTCTTTCCTATTTTCACTTGTATTGCCATATTGCAGTATTGTCCTTTAATAAATTATCATTTCGATGAGTAATAGTGCTAACCTTGAAGATAAATATGCATAGCCTGAAGACACAAACCATTCTGGAATCTGATGATATGCTAGTGAATGTGAATGCCAACTATCGTAGCTATTTTACAAAATAAATGGAACTTGGTGCTTTTTGGTGACATTTGCTGAAACTTTTTGAACCTCATGGAATATTTGAAGAAAATCCTGTTATGAATTTACTTGCAAAGCATTATTACTCTACTATTACGCTCTACCTCCATATTTCTTATACACTGCCTTAAAAATTCCCAACATTGACAATTGAGTTAAGATTTGGTTGATTTTGCTAATTTTTGTTCAGTTTTGTTAAAATTCCTACTATCAAAGCCTAACTAGGCGGGAAATGTCTCACTGTTTTCTTTCTATATCAACTATTAAATAAATAAGAAAAAACTATTTCTGTTTTTTTCCAATAACTTTTTATTGTTTTTGTTTTCTCCTTTTTATATTTTAATTCTTTTCAAAGAGAGTTCACCTCAAAGCTAATAATGAATTTAAGTCAAAACTGTCCATCCACTAATCCTCCATATTATCCATCCTCATACTATTCCAACCAAAATGGCTTAACTTCAGCTCATGCTCAAGCTAAAGCCCAAGCACAGTGCACCAAATGCTTCTCTGCTTCTTGTAATTGCCACATCTTATTACCATCATCTTCTTCTCCATCATCTTCTTCTCCATCATCTTCTTCTTCATCATCCTCAAGGTCAACCCGCTCTATTGCTCATGGCAAACCAAGTGGTTCTTCCCATCATTCAAAGTCTCATAGCTGTATTAATTTCAGCTCGAAAGATCACTCAAAAGACCCTAAGTCGAGAACTAGTGCTCTATCTCAAATCTCGATTATACAACAAAGACAGCCTCTATTACAACTACTATCCTTAAATCAATTGACCAATACAATGATCAAGAATCGTACCGATTTTTTAACAAATTCAGCTAAAAGTTTTTCTCATCCTGTTGTTTCTTCTTCTACTACTTTTTCATCAATCAACTCCAACAGCGCTGTCTATAACAATAATTCTGGTTATAACACTATCAATAACAATAACAATATCAACATGAATAATGGTTTAAATGGTATTTTGCCTAACAGTACAGGAAATGGTGCAAATCCCATTAATAACACTGAATTTATTTCCAACGGCGGCAATTGTATTTGTTCAAATAGTAATTCAAATTTGAATACATTTAGTTCTTCACCAAATTCAACACAGTTTTCAAATATTTCTGATATTAATTTGATGATGAATTCTAATGATTACTCTCCGATTGGCGAGTATTCAAATTCAATTAAGAACAACTCAATTTATTTATCAAATGATCACAACACTTTGAACTCTACACCAAATCTCGTTTTAAAACCATTAAAATCGTCTTCTGCAAAGAATTCAATTTGGTCTCCAATTTCAAATACAGCTGCTTCCAATTCTTCTTCTTCTTTGATAACAAATTCATCAGCCTCTACTACTGCTACATATAATCATGTCAATAATAGTAATAATTATAACATTAACAACAGCGTTTATACAAATAGTAATGGTAGTCAACCATTTAATGCCAGTTACAATAATAGTTCTTCCCTGAGCGTTAATTCCAATTTTTTTGTTAATGTCAACAGTGTTAATAATATTAATTCTAATAGTGGCGCTTATGTTTCAAACCATTCAAAAGCTGAATCTTTCCATTTTCCAAGTTCAAATTCAAATTTGAATTCTAATTCGAATTTCATATATAATAATATTAATAATAATGCTAATAACACCAATAAAGTATATGGTAATAATCATATTTCTAATTCTTCAATTTCTTCTTTCAATTCTATTTCTAATACCAATTCTAATACCAATTCTAATATTAATGTTAATAATATTAATGCTAATAATATTAATGTTAATAATATTAATGTTAATAATATTAATGTTAATAATATTAATGCTAATACCAATTTAATTTCAAATTCTAACGATTATTATAACTATGGGTTGAGTAACAATATTAATGTCAACAATATTAATAATAATAATAATAATAATAATAATGTCAATGTCAATGTCAATGTTAATGTCAATTCTGATTTTAATTCTAATTTTAGTTCCAATTTCAATTCCAGTTTTAATTCTAACGATAATTTAAATAATTCTAATGATCAAAATAACTTAATTGTTTCACCGTTGGATTTTCAGATTCCTCAAATTGCCAAATTTTTTGTAATAAAATCATTTAATTTATATGATATTCAACAAGCATTTTTAAATAAAGTTTGGTCTTCAACAGAACTAGGAAATAAACGATTAAATCAAACATTTAATCTCAATTACCCAGTTTATTTATTTTTCTCAGTTAATGGATCAGGAAAATTCTGTGGAATTGCTCAAATGTTATCCAATGTGGTTTATGATTCAAAGGATGCTAATAATGAAGATATTTGGTTTGAATCTGATAAATATAAGGGATTTTTCAAAATTAATTTCATTTTTATTAAAGATTTAAATTTCAAATATTTCAAAAATTTAAAATTAATTAACAATTTTAATAAAAGTGTTACAAATTCAAGAGATACTCAAGAATTACCATATGAAATTGGATATAAAATGGTCGAAGCTTTCAAGTTCACAAATTCTAACTCAAGTTTTTTACAAACATTAATGAAATAGATTTAAAATGAGTTGATTTCTCAATTTTTTTTTTCTAAAAACATTTTTTTAATAATTTTTTAAAATTAAATTTTTTTTCTCTATTTTTTTTTAATGAAGATGAGTTTAAAATAAGAAAAAATTAAATTGAATTGAATTAAATTACACTATTAATTTGAATTGAAATGAGAAAAGCTTTTTTTAATTTATTTTTTTTTATTCGTTTCATTCTTTTGTTTTCATTCTTATTTTTTTATTAATCACAATTAATTAACTATATTATATTTTTTTCATTTTATTATTTTGTTTTAGACATTCAAAAAAAAAAAAAAATTTCAAAAAATTATAAAGCCAAAAATTCACAGAATCACATACCAATCAAATAATCAACAAATTGAGAAATCAAAATTGAAAAATCTTTGTTCAGTTCTTTTATTCTACCTGTCTATATTAATTAATCTCCAAGAAAATTTATTTGCTTTATTATATTATTATATTACATTTTTTAAAAATTCAATAATTCAAAACTTCAAAAACTTGTATTAATGATTGAGAAAACTAATGAGATTAGTCTTATTTTCATTTCAATTTAGTTGTGGTTTAATTTCAATTTCAATTATTTTTTTCAATTATTTTTTACTTTTATTTTTTACTTTTATTTTTACTTTTAATTTTACTTATATTTTTATTATATTTTCAATTTTTCACTTTTTTCTATTTATTTCAGTGATCATTATTTTAATTTCATCTTACATTCTCAATAATTTCTTTTCTGTTTTAATTCTAAATTCCATTACCTAATTTTCAACCTTATTACTTTCTTATTACTCTCCATTTGCTTTTTTGATGTTGTTTTAATTGCCGATTACTGATTCACTTCTTACGTTTACATTTCACTCACTTATTTGTGTTTCACTCCTTCACCCACGTTGCTCTACTGGCAGTGTTTCTCGGACAGTAAAAAAAGCACAAAGCTGTTTCATCCACTGCTTCTGCTTCCACAGATCTTGCTCCACCCAATATACTCGTCAATAAACCATTGCTTTGGCCCAGGCCCAGTCCTGCGGTAACCAACGCAGCACAAGGCATCCATCCGTATATGCACACCCGCACCATCCAGACGCGCGGCAACGTAGCGCCCCCGTGCCAACGGGACGCGCAGCAAAGAGGTTTGAGGGCGCGTGGTGTCTCACCTGCAGCCGCAGACCCCCGCCGCTTATTGGTGCGGGACTCTGGCCTTCCGCATTTGGAGATTACGTAAGAGGCTCTGGAGCGTATCTCAGTCTTGCTGATTGTTCTGCCTTCTTCTCCTGTGCTGTCTCTGCTCGTGCTGTTTTTGTTGCTTCTGCTGCTTGCCTCCGGTGTGTTTTCTGCTTCCTGTCTTGTTTCTCTGGCTCTAGAGTGCTTTTGCTGGTTTCCTTTGTTTGCCTGTTTTCCTGTTTTTTGTCTGGGAGCTTAAACTCAGAATTCTCCAGCTCTCAAATTATATTTAGACCTCTAATTTAAAATTTTCATTCTTTAAGGACTTCAATCCTTTAATAAATCTACAAGACCATCTTTCAATCCTTAATCATCTCTTTTGCTCTATCAGCCAAACACTCCAACAGTCTCCCGCTAAATTAATACCTTATTTTGCATCCTTTATATCATTATCATTCATCTTTTAAATACCAAAGAAGAACAAGAAACAACCTCATCGCAAAATGTCAAATAACTATGATCAATCTTCTCTTTCTTTGCAACAACAGCAAAAACAATTGCAATTTCAACTTAGACAATTGCAAACACAATTAATCCAAAAGATCCCCTTTTCTCAAGAACAGCATCAATTTATCATACATCTCCAAAGACAATTTGAACAAATAGCTAAAGAACCTTCTGCTTCTCCAGAGTTTTTAGATCCTCTTCAATTACAATTAATTGGTAATCCTCTATTAAGAATAGGTAAATACCAAATTATAACAACTTTAGGTGAGGGCTCTTTTGGTAAAGTCAAACTAGCTTACCATTTAAAAACTGGTCAAAGAGTCGCTTTAAAAATAATAAATCGTAAAACTTTATCCAAATCTGAAATGCAAGGTAGGGTTGAAAGAGAAATTAGTTATTTACGTTTACTAACCCATCCTCACATTATAAAACTATATGATGTCATTAAATCAAAGGATGAAATTATCATGGTAATTGAATTTGCAGGTAAAGAATTGTTTGAATATATCGTTCAAAGAGGTAAAATGACCGAAAGTGAAGCAAGAAGATTTTTTCAACAAATTATCGCTGCTGTTCAGTACTGCCATAGACATAAAATTGTTCACAGAGATTTAAAACCTGAAAACTTACTATTGGATAGTAAATTAAATGTCAAAATCGCAGATTTCGGTTTGAGTAATATCATGACTGATGGTAATTTCTTGAAGACTTCTTGTGGTTCTCCCAACTATGCTGCTCCAGAAGTCATCTCTGGGAAATTATACGCTGGTCCTGAAGTAGACGTTTGGAGTTGTGGTGTTATATTATACGTTATGTTATGTGGCAGATTACCTTTTGATGATGAGTTCATTCCTGCTTTATTTAAAAAAATCTCCAGTGGTATCTTCACCATCCCTCCCTACTTGAGTGATAATGCTAAAAATTTATTACATAAAATGTTGGTTGTTGATCCAATAAATAGAATCACAACTCAAGAAATAATGGAACATGATTGGTTCAAAATTGACTTCCCTGATTACCTCAAACTTAACGATTCAGAGAAAACTAAAGAAATTGATGATGATATTGTCAAGGCTTTAGCGAAAACAATGGGTTACGATATGGACGAAGTTTATGACGTTCTAAAAAATAACATTATCGGTAAAAATGAAATCAGAGATGCCTATGAATTGATGAAAGAAAACAGAACTTTAGTAGACGATTTAAAAAAGAAAAATAATGAAAATCTTATCCATAATAACAATAATCAAACTAATAATAAACGTAATAATGATAACATTATTATTAACAACACTAATGACAACAAGCAGAACGATCTTATTATCAACCCTAACACTAACAATAATCCAAAAGACCCTTTAATATCTCAACCATTAGCCGATAATTATGATTCAAATAGTCAAAACAATAACACAAAGCTAAATTCGGTACTAGATAAACAAAATGGTTCTAATTTCAATAGCAAAAATAATTATACCAGTAGCAATAATGTCTATTCAAATGACAATAGAGAATTGACTGATTCTGATGACTTTAACCCTAAAAATTCCGCTGTCAGAATCTTACCAACTTCAATACCAAGAAACCATCGAATCATGATGGCCAACTCAAACGACCCAAGTGTCATTGGCAAAGTCAATTCAAGGAAAACCAAACCAACTCGTTGGCATTTTGGTATAAGATCAAAATCTTACCCATTGGATGTTATGGGCGAAATATACAGAGCCTTGAAAAATCTTGGTGCTGAATGGGCAAAACCAAATGAAGACGAATTATGGACAATTAGAGTAAGATGGCAATATAGTCCAAGTTTATCAAATGAAAATAATGAACTTGAAACAAATAAAATAATCCCAGATTTAATGAAAATGCAAATCCAATTGTTCCAATTAGAACCAAATAATTATCTAGTTGACTTCAAATTTGATGGATGGGAATCAAGCGCAAACAAAGATTTGACATTCAACTTGGATGACGATGTTTCCAGTTTCTCGGCCTATCCTTTTTTGCATTTGGCTACACGATTAATTATGGAGTTAGCTGTCAACAGTCAAGGAAACTAGGTTTCCCTTAGTTTGCTCAAGATCTACGTTTACATCATGAATTTAGTTCCACATTAGAGAAAGTATTTCACTCTGTCTCTGCAGTTTTTTTTGTCCGTTCTGTGTTGTTTCTCTTTTTCTTTTTTTATAACTCTATACTATTTATCTATCTCACCGCCACTTTACTATTTTATAACCACTACTCTATTTTAATTCACCACGTCACTCTCACCACCAGCACTACAACACCACTAACATTAATACCACTACCACCAACATTGATCCCACTATCACCATAATCGCCAGTTTTGTCAGTTTTGCCATGTTCGACACGTTCGTTATGTTCGTTATGTTCGCCATGTTCGCCTTTTTTCCATCCAAACACCGCACTCTCAAAACAGAAGGTTCCTTTTTGGGAAGATGTTTGGCTGTTTTCCAGATTAGGCAGCAAGTAAACAGAAGTTTCAATTTATATAACAGCTTCTTTCTTCTCTCTCTCCAGATTTCTTCTTCTTCTCCAACTGTTACCTCTGGAAATTCATGCTGTTGCACTGGTTTTGCAGGAATACATTCTTTGATACTGGCTTGTCCTAACTCCTGAAGCACAAAATATCCATTCAAATCACTTTCTTTTTTAAGGGATAATTACAAGTAGAAGCAATCTACTCAGTTCATATAAAGACAAATCAAATCTTATACATTTTATTCCTTTTCAACAATATCACCAATGCACGAAATCAAATTGAACTCCACAGACCAGGATAATAACCTCAGGCTTAACGAGGTGATAAGGTCTATTGCAAGAAGTCGAAAAGTGGCTGTACTAACTGGAGCTGGAATCTCTTGTAATGCTGGAATACCCGTAAGTGTGTTTTTAATCTTTGCTTTTTTTTTATGCCATTTTTTTTTTCTTAGTTTTTCCTTTTAATTAGTTATGTTCTTACTGACTCATTTATTCCAAGGATTTTCGTTCTACTGATGGTCTATATAACATGGTCAAACAGAAACATCCAAAGACTGTGGTAAAAGGAAAGGACTTATTTGATATCTCTCTCTTTAGAAACGAAGACACATTAAAAGTTTTTTGTACCTTCATGGAATCACTATATTCCTCTACTTTAAAGGCAAACCCTACTGAAACCCATAAGTTCCTAAGCTGCTTAAAAAGGCATAACAAACTACTAAGATGTTACACACAGAATATTGATGGTTTGGAAAGAAAAATTGGTTTGAATACCGGTTTAACTGAACAAGTCTCTAATGATGATTTTATTAGTGGATATGACAATAGTAATGAAAACAATAATAATAACAACATTAATAACAACATTAATAACAGCATTCATAACAGTCAATTTAAAAATAAAAAGTTGGAATCTGATCTTAACATCAATAATACTACCAATATAATCCACAATTCAAATAGCCCCTTAAATCCAAACTATAATAGCAGTGATGATGAGAATTCTGAACCTACAAAAACTTACGAAAATTTGACCTTTAGACAAAAATGGAAAAATACTGAAGTTATTCAGCTCCATGGTGATCTCAATACTTTATCCTGCACAAATTGTTTTAAAGTGTTTAATTGGAACCAGAATTATAAAAATCTACTAGCAGGTGGTGAAACCCCTGAATGTCCTTCTTGTTTATCAAAATACAATGAGAGAATTTCTATGGGAAAAAGAATTGCGGGAAATATTGGAATGTTAAGGCCGAACATAGTTTTATATGGCGAAAATCACCCAAACTCTGAAAATATAACAAATGGATTAAACATTGATATCAAATCAAAACCTGATTTATTGTTAATCTTTGGAACTTCTTTGAAAGTCGATGGTGTCAAAAAATTAGTTAAAACTTTTGCTAAAAGTGTTCATCAGAAAAACGGTAAGATTATCTTTATAAACAAAACAAATGTTTCATTAACTGCTTGGGATAATGTTATAGACTATTTCATTGAAACTGATTGCGATGAATTCATACGTTATTTAAGACTTGTTTTACCGGATTTGTTTTTAAATCAAAAGCAATTAGACGAATTAAAATTACCAAAAAGATCAAGAATTATAAATTGTGCTCTACCCTCTCCTCCTTCAACTCCACAACAAATTGAAAAGTTTTATATCGATAATTTATTGAATTCCAGTAAAAAATCGGCAACTAAACCTGACATATATCAGCAACAAATCAAGAAAAATAAAAGAAAACCTAATAAATCCACTTCTTCAAATGAGTTGAATGAAAGTCCGAGAAAGAAACGCCCATTAAACGATTTAGATAATAATATTCTAATTGATAATAAAAAAGGTTTGAAATTGAAGTTTAAAATTCCAAAAAAATTAACAAAAACTTCAAAAACAGAGCTTGGTATGATAACTCCCTCAAAGACTAATTCTCCAACCAAACTAAAAAAACAGACACAATCATTCAGAAAATCAACCGTTAAGGTATTAGCAAGATCGGAAACTAAGAGAAGAGTGGAAAGACCATCTGTGAGATCAAGAAAAAACAACAATAACTCAAATTCATTTATGATCAAAATTAAAGCAGCTCAAAATGAAGATGAAAACGAAAATGAAAACGAAGATAAGCTAACCGAATCTTTTACAGACCCGGATCTGTCTATTGAATTGATTTCAATTAATTCTGGCACTGATTCAGATCTGGGCATTGAATTAGTTGAATTTAAATTTGAAAACTCTTTGAATGCCTCGTGAAAGAATTCATCATCAGAGTAGCATAAAACCAATCCAAATACCACTTTTAAATTCATGGAACTGAAATCTTTGGAATTTTTATGATTTCTCAAACATTGTGCATATTAGAGACAAAAGTAAAATAACGAAATTCAATTCTCTATTTTTTTTTATTCTATTTTGTTATAGTATTTTTTTCTTGATTTTAAGAGTTCTAGATTTTTGTTGTATTTTATTCCGTTATTTATTTATTTTTATCTTTATTTTTATTTTTATTTTTTTTAATTGTGTTTGTTTTAGATTAATACCTTTCATTTATCAAAATTATTGTGCTTAATGATTCTTATTGTATTATTTTTTACAAAAAAATTTTTCAGTTCTTTGCCTAGTATTTTTGTTTATTATTATTAATTTCACGACTGCTATACAGACAGGATTATGTAGAATTGTGCTATTCCATCTTGCTTGATATGTTTCATTCATTTTTAGCACGAAAAAGCTCAAACAATAAAAGCCAAAAGAAATATATGAATTGTAGATAAAAATGAATAATGCTTAAATATAAATAAAACTATTTGGAAACTATTTAGAAACTATTTAATGACTGAATATTAACTGAAGAACTAGGAATAAGGAAAAGGTTCAATTGGTAGAAGAAATCGAAGCGCTAAATTGCAAACCAGGGTTGGAAACGTCACAGGACCTGTTACTCAATGGAAAATTGTAGGACATGTCGAACTGAGCGAAAGGAGAGTTGTAGATCAAACCAATGTTGAAATTTGTGGCAAAGATCGAAGTGAAGTCTCTAGCAGTGCTGATTGTGTTTAGTTTATTCAAGCCTTCTCTCAATTTCTCAGCTGTTTCATAGGTATCGCCATATTCCAAACCGATTTTCAATCTTAAAGGATCCAAAACAGAGGAGCTGTCAGAACTGGAGGAACGTTTTTTGTTGAAGAGGGAGGAAATTGGGAACAATTTGGAATAAAGTGAGATCGAGTTTGATATAACAGAGGTTCCACCCAAATAGACGTCTGATTCTTTATGGCCAATTGAATTATGTTGGAAACCCTTAATGGTTTCAAAGCTTCCTAGATAGTACTTATCCAATGGACTGACCCTGATTGGTTTGCTCATGAAGGGAAAAAAACAGCCAAAAAACGTCTTTGATTCAAAAGTTAGAAAATTATCGAATAAGGATTTGTAAAAGGACCATTGGCAGGATGTTGAATTAAATGAAGCAGTGTTGGCATTTTGATCTAAACCTGCAATTTCGTTTTTAAGAGATATTAATAAACCTGAATGAGGAATTGGTTCATTTTTAAGATCTTTATTGACAACAGAAGTGGTATCAATTGTCAAGCTATTAATGAAGGAGACTTTTGTTAGAGAATCATTTTGGATTAGATCAGTCTTTGAATCGGATATGATATCATGGGCAATATTTAAACCGTTCGTGGTAGCAAAGTTATTTTCATCACTTGAATAGTTCAATCCAAACATCAAAGCAGAATGAGATTGGTTGTGTTTTGCAAACGATTGAGCATTAGTGAAGGTACGATAAGAATCGATTGCAAATTCAAAATTTCTGTTATTATTTAGAGGATATCTATAATTGAAAGTCAACAAATTATTTGAATTATCTTGATTGGAGGCTATATCGAATAATAATTTGTCAGACCACCCTGTGAAATTATTTGATAAATACCCGAAATTGATAAAACCTTCATTATGTCTTGTTAATCCTGAAAAGAGCAAGTAATTTGAAGAGATATTTGAGAGATCGAAGGTGGCCTTAGTTGGAATTAAGTAATCTTTAATGAATGGGTATTTATAATTTTTAGGAATTAGGGAATCGTCATCTTTATCAATTGAGCAATTGACATCGAAAAACAACCCGGTTTTACTGAAATTATTCGAAGTCTTTGAAATTGCTTGGTTCAAAGTACTTAAAGTGTGATCGGAGGTAATTAATAAAGGACCTAATAATCTTTGAACAAATCGATCAGATAACTGAGAAGCGCCATTGACCTCGATTTTGGATAGAAAAATGGGTTTGGTATTGGAACGACTTAGCTATTCTGAGTTAGTAATCTCACTTTTTCAATTGGCATTGTACTATACCAAAAAAAAGTTGCAAAATTCAACGAAAAGCATAACCACTTACAATTTCATCTGTATGAGATGATTTGAGCTCAAAACTCAAGATATCTTCCTAAAGCAATGCAGACAAGAACAGAAGGTTAGTAGACAAACAGTAAATGGAGGACCCTTGAGAAGCAGACACACAACATACAATTCCCACCTCAGAAGACATTTCTGGTCAAAGCATATCAGAACCCAGCTCCTCCAGCACGAAAGAAATAGATCAGCTTTACGCCTATTATCTCAGTGCTGATTCAAACACGACTCTGATTGGCCAGTAAAACCAGCGCATTTCTGCACAAGAATCTGATATGCAGTGGAATCACATTCTTCAGATAATCGCCTTTATGGCCAAGTTGGTAAGGCACCTCACTAGTAATGAGGAGATCGTCAGTTCGAATCTGGCTGAAGGCAAATCAACAATCTAAATAGAGGATCTCTTTCTTTTTTTTGATAATCAGCTTATTGAGGGCTTTTATTATTCGTGCTGGAATTGCTTCCTACGGTGAGAAATTCCTTGTATTTGTATTATTGTTCTTCTACTCGTTACTGTACTCTATAACCAATCTACGACCCAACAAATGTACCCCAGTAAGACTTTGCATAGCGTGCTCAGCTTCCTTTGAAAGCACAAATTCCACAAAGGCATAACCCTTGGTTTGGTTGTTAAACTTTCTGGGAACTCTGACTGATCTGAGGTCGCCAAAGGGATTGAACAAGTCAAAGACGTCTTTTCTTGTTGCTTCGAATGGAAGATTCTTGACGATGAGTTTCTCGTTCTTCTTGCCTGCTGGCTTAATTTTGGCATTTGCATCGTTCACTCTGTTGGATATCTTCAACTCGATCTTGTGCTCTAAAATCGATTTTCCATTGAAAGTCGAAATGAAATTGTTTGCATCCTCCATTGTTTTGAACTCAGCAAATCCAAAGCCCATGCTTACGCCTGGCTTGCTTTCCTTCACTTGAACAACAAGAAACCCTGGAAGTGTTTTGAACATGACCATTAAGTCTTTTGTAGTTGTCTTGAAATTCAAGTTCTTTATAAAAACAGAGGCTGTAGTGCCTTGATGAGCGTCCGGTTCATTTTCTTCTGTAGCTTCCAACAAGATATCACTTGCTGATATCTTAGCCTTTTTGACATCCTTATCCTCATCGCTTTTATCATTGGCTGCCTCTTTTGGTTTCGAATTATGCCTTTCACCTTCTGTTGGCTCTCTTTTAAATAAATCTTTTGGTCCTTTTTCTAGATATATAACACTGTTTTTGAACCTTTTATATGCTAACTTTGTAAATGCTGCTCTTCCTGATGGTATATCAATATACTCAACAATAGCTATCGTTCCGGATGGTGGAAATAATAATCTTTTCAATTCCCCAAATGGAATGAACAAATCTGCAATCTCTTGAGATGTTGTACCAAATGGAAAATTTTTCACTAATATAACTTTATCATCCTTTTCCTGTTTTTTTTCAAATGATGTTAAATCAATTCCTTTGCTCTCAAAATATTTTCGAACGTCCCCAATAACATCAACCTCTGCTAAGGCCTGCTTGACACCACTACTGGATGATTCAGGATCAATCAAATCACTCTTTTTCAATCTCAATTTAGATGCAACAGACTCAATCACAGCATCATTGCTCATAAATAATGAATTCCATGTAAATTGGGATTTAGATGCCATTTCCTTCTTTTTCAACTCTTTTTGTTTCTTTAATGGTAAATTTTTAATGTCAAATTCATCCAACCTATGACTCTTTTTAGCCTTTGATGGTAATATATGTAACAATCTACCTTGGAAAATCTGCTTATCCAACTCTTTATACGCAAATAATGCATCCTTAGGATTCTGAAATTGAATATAAACAAATCCTTTGGATTTATGTGTTCGAGTATCAACAGCAATATGAACTTCATCTAAAATCCCATATGGACCGAATAATTCTCTAAAATCTTCTTCTGTGGCTGTATATAGTATATTTCGAATAAATAATCTTCCTGTTTCTAATATTAATTCTTCAGTCTTTTCTTGTTCAGTGAATTTTTTTTTTGCTTTTTCTATTCTTTTATCCTTGTTATGTTTTTTTATTTTTTCCTCCTTCAATGTAGTACTATCTTTATTGGAATTTTTTACTTCATTTCCAAAGTCACTCTCTTCCTGATTCTGGTCATTATTCTTATTCTCTTTAGAATTTTCAAGCATTCTAATTCGATGTTGCTTTAACCAATCTAAATCTGATACGGTGGAATCTTTTGCCATTTCCGATAAACTGATCATTTTTTCTTCTCTCTCATTATCTTCGTTTTCATTTCCATTATTATCAGACTCTTCATTTTTCTCTTCTTGGGATTTGGGTCTGAAATCCTCATATTCCTCATCACTCTCATTTTCTTCATCTCGCGTAATTCCATCTTCATTTTTATCATTTTTAATTTCATTATCTTTCTTGTTCAAGGCATCCTCTAAATCTTGAACCGAAGGATTTCCCTTCCCATCAACTATTTTAACGGTAGAATTGACTGTGTCAAGATATTCTTTCAATACCTTATTTTTGTTGATTTTTTCATCGATCTCTTCTCTAACATTTAGTCTTCTTTTTTTAATCTCTTTGGCTTTTTCTCTTTGTTCTTCTATTTGTTTTCTTTTATTAATTTCTCTTTGTCTTTGTCGAAATGATTTTGGAACACTTGGATCTGCAAACGATTTTGCAAATTGTAAATTGACCCTTGAGGTATCAATAAAGGAGTTGTCAAAATATTTAATAATTTTTTCTGCACTCTCGTAAGTCTTAAATCCAATAAATCCAAATTTTCTTGATTCTCCAGTTTTAGCGTTTCTCACAATTTTTAAATCGGTTATATCTTGAGTTATAGTGTCATTATTATTTATCCGACCTAATTTTTTTTTCAATTGTTCTTCATCAAGATATATGGGTAATCCCTTTATTATTACTCGAGACATGTCAGTTGTTAGAAAAAAGGTAATTTATTAACTTAAATAATCAAAACAAAAAAAAAAAATAATAGAAAAAACTTACAAACTTGGTTAATGAAAAAAAATAATAAAAAAAACTATTCAAAAAGATTGTCGCCGTCTACGTGGAACTTCTGTCCATTTTGGGGTTTTTGAGATTATATACAAAGAATGTTAATTTATAAAGCTAACTAAAATACTTCCTAATTAAGCCATCGATATAGAAGCATTGAATTGTAAACCTGGTCTTGAAATGTCACAAGCTCTATTGCTTAATGGAATGTTATATGATAAATCCAAATTTGAGAATTTTGTGCTGTAAAATAATCCAACAGATAGATTTGTAGCAAAAACCTTTGATAATTTATTGATATGTTTAATTTCAGAAAATTTGCTGAAAATGTTTAAATTCTGAAAAACCTTCTTAAGATCATCAACATTTGAGTAGATATCGCCATATTGCAAAGATAATCGAAATCTTAAAGGGTCCAAAACATGTGATTTACTTAAAAATTTTGGAAACTTGGAATACAATGTGGACGATTTAAATAAAATTGAGTTACCACCCAAGTAAACATCATCTTTATTAAAGCCGATTGAGTTTTTCTTAAAACCTGTGAGGTTTCCAAAAAATTTATCGCTAACATTGATCCCAGTCGATTTGTCAGCATCAGCAGAGTTGTTGAATATGGTTATTGGGAAAATGTTACCAATTAAAATCTTTTGTTCAAAAGTTAAAACATTTTTAACAATTGATCTATAAAATGTCGAGTCAAAAGCAAGTTTATGAAATTTTCTGCTTGATTTATCAAGACCGGCGACTTCACTCTTTAAGGCTAAAGAACAGCCAGAGGAGCTTGGAATCAGGTTTTTTGAAGAAGATTGAGAAGAATTAAAACTTGGATCATAATTTCCTAAATTATTGTAAGAAAAATTATTAATTAAAGAAACTTTTGAAGATATGTTATTTTCAAGTAAATTAGTATTTGAATTTAATACTTCATCTTGAACAATATTTAAACCTGTTAAATAAGAAAAATTATTATTGTTATTGTCATGCTTAATATCATAAAAATTAGAATATTGGTAACCAGTGAAAACGGAGTAAGTCCTTTGATCATGTTTAGAATATGATTGATTGTTTGAATATGACCTATAAATATCTATTAATAATTGGTTTTTCTTGTCATTATTCAAAGGAGAATTGTAAGATAAAGAGAGGTTATTATTGAAGTTTATTGAAGATAGAGTATAGTTAAATAATAAAGAATCAGCATAACCTTTGAAGTTGCTATTTAGGAAATCAAAACTGAATAGGGATTCATTGTTGAAATCATTACTATTGTTGTTGCTATTTGGTAGCACAGGAGTTGTTGTTGATGTTGTTAAAGTGGTTAAAGTGCCTTGAGATTGACTTAACTTAAACTTAGCAGCAGTTGGAATCAAGACTTCATTTGTGAAAGGATATTTGATATTAGCGGCAAGCAAAGAGGTTGAGTCATTATCAACTGAGCAAGCAATTTTCTCAAATAAGCCAGTTTTATTGAAATTAGTCGTTGTTTCACGTATAGCATTATTTAACGAGTTGACAGTGTGATCTGAAGTTGATAGCAACGGAGAAATCAAAGTTTTTAAAAAATCATCATCTAAATTCTGTATTCCTTCGATTTCGACTTTCGAAAGATAGACAGGCTTTGTTGTTGAACGACTTAAAATGCCATCTTGGTCAGTTGTAGTGAAAACATTATTAGTCTAGACAAAGAAGTTAGTAATGCTGATAATAAAATATTCAAGACAGAAGATAACAGCCAAACATACCATCGCCAAAAAAAAATCAAATGGAAAAGTCTAATCAGATACCAAACTCAATAAAGTTGCAGTATTGAACAAAATCGTCAAGAATATATTTCCATGAAGCTTCTGCACTGTGATTGGTCAGAGCAGAAACAAACCAGTTAGACGGATGCATGTGTAACTATGTACACCTCTGTTATATTTTGTTTTTAGTGCAGAGTAATGATTATTACCGTAAAGCTGGTTTCATCCATATTGGTGGTTGTGTGCCAAGACATCTTGAATCACTACCGAACGTACCAAAACAGTGGTACTATCCATTGTCTTGGATTGTTTCCTTTTCTGTGGATTACGCAGACACTTGCAGCCGATACATGCTCGTCACCGCGCGGTCTTTCTGCGGCACTTCCCGAACAGGACGAGGATATAATCACAGAAAGACTCCAAACAGAGCAGGCACGAAGCACAAAACGATCCAACAGCCCCCAGCACAAAGACCCAACAGCGACTTCTGGCGACAACTACTCAAAAAACCTTCGGCAACTATCAAAAATGAACTTTTTGCAACTGGCTCTTTTTCAAAATCCCATTTCCACTGCTGACTTGCTTCCCTCGTCGGTTTCCACTCTGCTCGACAACTCGGTTGGCAACATCTTGAGAAACTACAACATCGAAGATGTTGAAGCCAATTTGAGCTCAATCAAGTCTCTAAAATTGTTGGTTTTATGTGATGAAAAGCAGAAGTACAATCTATTGAACTCCCCCCAAAACCTATCCCTTCTCCTAAACCACTTGCTATTGACCTACCGCCCCTCTTGCGATAACAACAGCTTGATTCAATTGCAATCTGATATCCTAATAATCCTCAACTCTTGTCTTGATTCCGTTAGTCTATCCAACATTGACAATCTAATTAACTATACACACAATAATAATGATCTATTTCAAATTTTCTTAACAACTTTCAATAGTATTGATTCCACTTTATCAACCGAAAACATTCACCTTTATTTCAATCTATTGTCTATTTTATTCAAAAATCTATCAAGTTTATTATTATTGAATTCCTCTTTTATAAATGCTGATGGTAATAACGCGTTAAATTCAATTATCATCAAATTACTAAATTACGATATTATTAATAATAACGATAATTATAACAAATACATAAATAGAAATTTTAATTACAACAACCTATTATCAAATTTATCGATTTTTTTATTATCTTTACCTTCAATCGATTTTTCTTTCAATTTATTAAATTTATCTCAAATATACCCTCATTTAATCAACAAAATTGTTACTTTGTCCAAACCAATTTTAAATTTTAAAAACAAATACTATTATCCTTATAATAATTATACTCATGATGATAATGATAATGATGATAATGATAAATTCAACTTTTCGTTGAATCAAACATATACTGTGCCCTTATCTTTAATCCAAACCTCATTACCAAACTTGTTATTTGCAACTGCAAAATTATCCTCTTATAGTATAAACAAAAACAAAAATATCAATGACTATAGTGAGAACCATAATAACACCATCAACAGTAATATCATTACTATTGATCATAACGTTAAGTTATCAACTTCCTTTTATCGATTTTTATTTTCTTTATTAAAATCTTCAAATTTAAATCTAAAATTAAGTTCCTTAAATTTTTTATTATACCATTCTTTAAATATTTTAAATAATAGTAATTATGACATGTCCAATAATAAAGCCACTCAAAATACTACCACCACCACCACTACTACTACTACCAATAATACTGACTTGGATTTTTATTTCAACATTATCTTAAAATTACTACCTGATTTAAATTATTTATTCGACCTATCAAACAAAAAACTTAATAACTCGCTACTAAACCAATTCAATTCTATCAATATATTAGCTTCTTTATGTTCTTTTAACAATAATATCAATAAAAATAAAAACATTAAAACCATTAAAAATAATACCTATATAAACAATAATAACAACATCATCGATGATACTAACACTAATACTAACAACATTAAATTTAAAAAATTATTGTTTGAAATTTTAAATAATCATAATATTTTACAAAAAATTTCAAACCATTTATTACTATTATTCAAAAATATTATATCAACCTCAAATTTGAAATTAAATCAAAATTTTAATCAAAATTTTAATAAAAAAAATAACTTGTTCAAATTTAATTTATTTTTAAAGCATTCAAATTTGAAAAATTTAAATCAATTAATTAACTGTTTTATTATCTTAACTTCTTTTATATCAATTGATGATTCATATCAAACTCAAATTCTAGATTACTTGTTTTTTAAAATTAAAGAATACTCTTTAGTTCAATTTCAAAAGTTTAATTTCAATTTTAATAACAATGAAAAAAATAATCTAAAAATAAAGAATAAACTAAAAAATAAACTTGAAAAACCAATTTATATTAAGAATGATTTAAATTTTATTTTTTTAAATATTTTCTCTTTGCAATTAGATACTTTAGAAAATTTATTACATTATCAAAATCAAATTAATTCAAATCTCGGTTCAAATCCAAATGCAAATCCTTTTAATTTATTAATTTACATTTCAAAAAATCTTAATAAAAAATTACTAAATTTATTAAAATTAAATGAGATTTCAATAATTTTCATCAAATCAATATCAAAAAATAAACCATTGCTAAAAACTTACTTTATGAAACATTTAGATCAAAATATTATTAAAATTTTATTTAACATATTTAAATTTCCACTTGACGAATTTTTATGTAATTTAGATAAAAATTCGAAAAATGATAACGAAATTATTTTTTCTTTAAATACTAATAATTCCAAGGATTATGTCTCACTCAATTTTAATTTTATATTAAAGAATTTCAAAATTTTTATAAACTACTTATTCAAATTGAAAAATTTAATCTTACAATTTTTTGCAAATTTATGCATTGAATTTTCACCATTAAGATCTTTATTAAAAGATCTAGGTTTAATTGAAAACATTGCGAGCATTATTAATAATTTTAATTACGAAATCTATTTAAATGAGAATTTAAATCTTAATAATAATAATTTTGAGAAAAATTTGATCAAATCAAATGATAATAAAACAGAAATTAAAATTGATATTATTAGAGATTTTCTTGATTATAATGAGATTTTCAAGTTAAACAACATTTCTTTAATTGTATTGAAAAATCTAATTTATAGCAGTAAGTTAGAATTTAAGGTCCAGTTATTAAGAAAGAACATAGGATTCAAAAATTTATTAAAAATTTGTTTATTTGATGAAAACGAATTTGCTGGTGTTATTGATAGTAATAGTAGTAGTAGTAGTAGTAATAATAATAATAATAATAATAATAATAATAATAATAATAATAATAATAATAATAATAATAATAATAATAATAATAATAATAATAATAATAATAAAAGGAAAAATAAGTTATTGACTTTACAAAAGCAGTCATTTTCAGTTATTAGAAATTTTGTGTCAAATACACAAATTGTTTCATTGAATTTAATTAAAAGTTACAATAAAGAGTTTAATAAATTTAATTTAGAATTTATGGGGAAATATGGTAGTTTTATTATTGATGAATTTATTTTAAATAAATTTAGTTATAAGCATAACAAGTTTACTGATAATGTTTTTCATGGTAACAATGATAACCATTTAAATAATTACAATGAAAACAATTTTTTTTATTTTATATCGTTTAAATTATTTTCTTATAATATTATTGAGAATTGTGAAATTATTGAGAATATTGTTTATTTATTAGTTAACTTATCGACAATCAACAATTCATTTAGGAACTTGATTGTGAAAAATGGATTTTTAATGAGGCAAATTAGGTTTTTATTAAATCTAAAATTAGATAAAGTTGAAAGTCCTGATAATAAGACCATGGGTATTGTTGCGCCCAATGATATGGCCAAGGATAGAGGTAAAACTCATAAGCCGAATAAAAAACTTAACGTTGACTCAACTGGTAAATTTGTCTCTAATTTGAGTTTAAATTTGAAGCTGAAAACAAAAGAAAATAGTGATAGTTCTTATTATAATAGCGGGATTAATGATGATGACGAGGAAGATAAGACTCAAATTTATGAAATTGTGGAAGATTTCAAAAAGTATTTAAAAAACAATTTGATAAATAGAAAACTCAAAATGGATAAAGTCAACCTCAATTCCACAAAAGATTTGTTCAAGGTATATGAGAAATTTGAGAAAGGGATCATTGAAAATGAGTTAGTTTCAAATTATATCAAAATTAAGACTGGGTGTATTTGGTTGATTACAAATCTAATTGAGAGTGAGTATGATGTTGAGCATTCTCAATTAATTGCATCCAATGGTTTTAATGTTAATAGTTCCAGCAATGCTAGCATTGGTGAGAATAATGTGACTCCGAATGTGGGTGTAAATCCAAATGTGAATGTGAATGTGAATGTGAATGATGTTAAGGACCAGGATGGAGACATTGATATAGAGAAAACCGGAAGTGAAAAGGACAGTAGGAGCAGGAGTCAAAGTGGAAATATAATTAGAAATCGTTTGGCGGAAAACAAAAGCGTTGATGAGAAATTTAACTTCAACTTGGGCAATCTCCCAGCAAACGATGTGGATGTGTCGAGCGTTGCAGCCTCATTATTGGTGCTAAACAGCAGCAACGGAACCAGCAGCAGTTTTGGTCATCAAAACGGCTTGGGCAGCTTTAATTTTGACAGATATGACAGGGACACGAGAGAGAGGATAGTGAAGATTCGGCAGTTGGGGTTTGAGAGCAGTCTCAAAAACAACGAGACCAACAGGATCTGCGACTTGAGCAAGCGAGCAGAAAATGCTTTGGGTAAGTTACGTCTCCTCTGAAAAGCAGTTGTACAACAGAAGAAGTTGGGTGCTGTAAGAAGATGAAACACCAGAGGACTGCCGAATTGGGACACTGAGGTTATGGTGCTTAATGCACGCATTGTTTCACAGCCGGTTGGAATGTTTCTCCTGGCAATGCCACAAAGAAGAGCTCTGGTATAAAAGGAAGGACGAAAACCACCAAGCACTCTTCTTCTGCTTCCTCTGCTGCCTCTGCTTCCCCTGCTTCTGTCTTCCTCGCCATGTCTGCTGCAGACCTCAACGACAAGGCCTTTTCCGGGCTCATAGACCAGTATGTATTGCTGTTACTGCTGGCTGTTTATACTTTATGATTTGTTGCCAGATTACTAACTACTGTATTTCCTGTTATTTCTGCTGCCATGTTAGATCCTTCAACCGTTTTAGTGTCCAGACCCTTAATGACAACATCAACGTCTCCAATTTCAACGAGTTTCTCCGGAACAACTCTATCTTCAACGACACCAGATTCAACCCTAATTTGCAAGAGGACCTAAGTAAACTACATAACATATCCAATCTGAACAGCACAAGTGGTCATGGCAACGAGTCTGCTCTAGACCATATATTAAATAGAGGGAAAACCATCTTCAAGAAAAAAGACCACAACGACTCAAATGATACAATAAATACAATCAACAACAACATCTACAATAACAACGATTCTAATGTTACCAATCACAATGACAAGCTTCATACGTACAACAGTCATAAAGATACCCAATATCGTCACCATTACAATAATAACCAAAGTTTTGATACTTTATCCACGAATGGCACTATTACCCAAGTTCTTTCTTTTGATTCCATTTCAATCTCGACTGACAATGATACCCACTGCAACCCAAGCAACACTAATGTTAACGCAATTAATACGATCAGCAACTACAGTTTTAGTGAGAAAAGCTCACCTTCAACTGACGAGTCCAAACAAAAAATAAAAAAAAATAAAAATGTCAATAATTTGAAAATAAACACAAATATTAATGCCAAAGACATTGCCCATATCATTCGAAAAAAAGATAAATTTAATAAAAACAACGATATTAATAATACAAGGGATCTAAACATTATCAATCATAATCATAATCAAGACAGTCTCACTAGTGTTGTTGCTTCAACAAATGATATCTCAACTTATAACAGCACTGTGAATAGTACTCTTAATAGCACCTTAAATAGTCCCTTTTTCAGACCAAATGTAATTAAAATATCAGTTCCTTATTCATCCTCCATCAAAAGTCCAGAAAATCTTATATCCCCAATAAACTGCATCAATACCAATTATCATGATAATATAAAACCATCTCACTCCTATTCAAATCACTCCTTATCTTCTGCGGGTCAATTTTCCTTTGAAACAAGTTCAAATTCAATTGATTCTGAAAATCGCTCATTCTTAAAGGTGTCTAAAGTTAATTATTTTAATAAAGGTAATTCTTTTAATTACAATACTGATAATAATAATAATAACTATAATCATGATACTCACTTAATTAAAGGTGACATAACAAATAATATTATCTCCAATGGCAATTTAAATAATATTGAATATAACAAAAATAAGAAAACTGATAAATTTAAAAATAATAGCTTGATTAAAAGAACTAAAACTCACTTACTTCGAAAAAACAAAAGCATGAAAATATTAAATTTTAACCACAACACTCAAAATAAAAATATTAATAACGACAATCACAATAATAATAATAATAATAATAATAATAATAATAATAATAATAATAATAATAATAATAACCTTGATTTTAACAGAAATAACCACCACACAAATTCTATGCACAGTAAGTTAACTGTAAATATTCATAAATTAAAAAGAAATTTTTCAACAACAAATCTACATGATGAAATTAATAGTTACCACAAAAACAACATGTTTTCCCCTGATAACCTGAAATCAAATTTCAATTATAATAAATCTTTATCAAGAAAGAAAAGTATTTCTAATTTTTTATTCAGAAAATTATCTCATCGAAATAAAAATGATTTTAATTAGAATTAGTTATTTAAATCTATGAGCTATATTATGAATGACACTATGGATTATGTGATAATGATAGTGAATTAAATCATTTTTTTTTTAACAAAACAAGTCAATCAACTATTTACAAAATTTATCAAATCATTTGCTTTGCAAAAAAACCTTTTCTATTTTTAATTGGTCATAATTTTCCCCTTTTTTTCTCTTGATTAGTTTTGGTATATTCTTTTTTATGGTTTTTTTTATTGTGAATTTTTTTGGATATCTATACTTCGGCTTTAGTTTTATGAATGTTATTTTATATAGTTTTTAAACTGCTAGTTTATTCTTTTGCTCTCTCATTATTTCGTTAATTTGTCATTTTTTGTTATTTTATTATTATGTTATGTCGTTTTTTTGTCGTATTTTGTTGATTGGTTTTTTAGTCCTGGTTTTAGACAAAAATATAAACAATTTGATAATCACTTTGATAATCAACAATCTAAACAGAGTTTAAATAGTTTTGAAGTGAAAAAAAAATAAATGAATTTCTCTTTATGATTTACCATTTAGGTTATATTCCAACTTGAGTTTATCGATTTTTTTATGTAATGATTGAATGAATTTAATAGATTTTTTTCTCTCTAATCTTAAATCTTCATTATCATAGGTTTCAACACCATCCAATTTCATGAGCTCCTTTAATAGCAACTCTTCATAATATAGATAAGTATATGTCTTTTCCTCTTCATTTTTGAAATTCTCATTTTTTTCTAGATTCAGCTCAAATTCATTGATTCCTGGCACTATTCTGTCCTCGACATTCTTCATTATATTAAAAATCAATAGCTTGTTCTTACCAACAGGTGTCAATTTCTTCTTCTTCTTCTTTTTCTTCTTCTTTTTGTCTGATGCAGAATCTGAATCTGAGCTCAGTTTCCCATCTTCACTGTATATTGAGCCTCTTAGTATAAGAAATGTTGAAACCAATAGCGTCGTTGACACAGAGGACAAGACAATTGGATTTGATAGCTGGTGAATAAAATTAGGAGACAAATTCAACGACTTGATAACAGACTTGCAGTTGTTCAAGAGAAACTGCTCAATCGAATCCTGAGAGACTGCAAGGGAGTCCCTTAAACTGTTCAAATCAATAGCCATAGCTGAGTGTGGTGTGTTCTAATGGTGAGTAGCACTGCGATAGTAGGAGATTACAGCTCATTCAACAAGTTTCTACAGGTTCCTTTGTACAATCAACTGAAAAAAATGAGAATTTGCTTCGAAAGCTGGAAAACCTTATTTGCATTGGTGAATTTACTGTATTGGATCGTCTTTTACAGTTTTTACTCTATAGGCATTTATAAAAATACGTTTCTTGGGGCTATAAATGTGGTGATGTGGAAGCTTTGCTATTTCTTTGAATCCATAAACATCTTCAATCGTTTCTCAGCAGCTCTTGCTCGTTGTTCCCTCATGATTCTTCTTCTCTGTTCGTCTGAGAGCGAACTTAGATCGTTGGTTTTAAGAAGAATCTTGCTGCTTTGAGCAGGTTTTTTTTCTGTGATTTTTCCCTTTTCTTTTCTTAAGACAGACTTCAACTCCCTTTTCTCGTCAAGCTGTATCTTCTTCTCAATTTCCTGGTTTTTCTGGTTAACTTGCTCGATTTGTTTCTTGGACAAAGGAGGCCCAACTTTACTGCTTTCCCAGCTGCAAAAAGATTCGCCTAAATTGAAACGAGCTAATTGAAACGAGTTCCTTGTTGCTAGATCAGTTTTGTTTATTAAATCCCAAGGCGTTTTATTGTTTATATTGGTAATAGTTGGGTCGATTTTCAAATTGTTCATTAGAATATAAGCCATATGAGATAACTTATTTTGAGCAGCATAATGTAATAAAGTTGGGGTAAATTTATAATCGTTTGTAAATTTTGAAGGAAATCTATAAGCTGAAGGATCGATTTGATTTGAACGTAAATATGATATAAAAGCTGGAGCCTTTGATTTTTTCATTAATTTGATTAATTCCAAAGCGTAGTCCTCGTTAATTTTTTCTTCATCATCAGAATTGAGATTGTTATCATCCTCATCATCACTATTGTAATCTTTTTGAAATGTTTTTTGTTTTTCTTTCTCCTTTTGATTTTTAATTAAATTTAGTTTCTTAATATGAGATTGATTTAATTTGGGCAAGTTTTCAATAGAGATGTAGGATAATTTAATCCAAGCTAATTTGATTTCATGTAATGAAGGTCTATATGTTGTGAAGGGATAATTTTTAATCTTTGAAGTGTTATTATTTAAGATTGTATGTAAATGAGTTATGATTTTTTTATAAATTGCGTTATTGGCATTAAATTTAATGTAAATTGATTTTGAATTTTTAAGATAACTTTTCCAATCATTAAATAAATTTATAATATCATCAATTAGTAACAATTCATTGTTTCTACGCATTGTTGAACCCGCACTTTTGACATTTTTATTTGAACTATTATCGAAATTTAATTGAGAACCACCTTGTTTCTTTCTTGTTGTGTAACGATGGAAAGTTTTATGATTTATAAGTTGAATTTTTGATTGTAAATAGTTATCTATTGAATTGTTTTCATAATTGTTTAGATTAAATCTAAAATTTTTGGAAATGTTATTTAAACTTGATGAATTTGAAGACAAAGAAGATTGATTATGGGATATAATTGCAGCGACAAAGTGACCACCACCAATCATAAATAAGGTCGAATAAGATTCATTGGTTTTCTTTGACGATAAAGCAGAGTGATATTGTTTTTTAAAAGATTTCAATGTATTGATTGGATCGTTTAATTGGGATTGATCAAAAAAGTTTTTATATATTGAAAAAGATTTTATTTCTTCTTGGTTAACATTATCATTTCTATTGCTATTGTCATCATCTATTTTTTCGGCATCTTCATCAGAAATATCACCATTAATATTAATTGAATTTAATAAATTTGATTTGAAGAAAATATAAGGAGATCTAGAGTTTAGATAGCTTAGCGTTGTCTCCTCGTCAGTTCCATCATTGGTTTTCTTCTTATTAGTTTTGTTGTCATATAAAAGCTTGTTCTGGGCATCCTCCAACTCATTTAATTCCTTCTGAATAGGAATCTTTGCCTTATTGGTTAAATGATCGAAATATGTCAACTTAAGAGAATTGATAATTGGATCAGATAAATTGTAGAGATACAAATCATCTGGAGAAAATGGAAATTCAATGGTTCCGACGTCTTCCTTTGGAATGTTCTTTGTCTCTGCATCTGCACTACTCATATTTATTTCTTCAGTTTCTTCCGCTGATGCTTCTTTTACTTCTTCTGCTTCTTTGTCCAAAAAAAGAATTCTTTTTGCCCCAGAACTGATTTTTTATTATGCGCTCTGGCATGCCTCTTTAGGACATAGCTAGATATTTCCTAGATTGTTACCATTGCGCCACAACACTGCCACAAAATGGCCAAAAGAGGAAAAAACAGCAGAAGAAGCAGAAGAAGCAGAGGAAGCAAACCAAAGAAGTAGCAGCAGAAGCAGGAAACAAGAACCTAAACGTCTTTTGTTATCCAGCTAGAACTTTGGTGGTGCTGTTGGTGCGTGCTATGGCTGCTCTTCTGTGGAGGGCTTTTCCTTTGTTGCGAGGCATGGAAAGACATTGCATTAAGAGCACCCTCATTGATTGATTCTCGAGTGCTCTATTTATATCGAGAGATATCCTGTGTGAGTGTTGAACCTTTTTGGGAAGTGCCCAGTAGTAGAATGACAGCAGTTCGAAGATATTTATCAACAATGGCATCCCAGAAATTCAGTCTACAAGAATCGCAAAAGATCATCGATTTTTTATCCAATTACACTCCCTGCGATGTGTCTGATGCCTTGGTTAAATATGGTGTTAAAAATGGAGGGTACTTCCCCAATTTGGTTCAGAGATCACCTACTGAAACCAATCGCAAAACTGTTGTTGGATTGGCCTATACTGTATTATATGCTCCATTGGATGATCCAAGACCTGCTGTTAAGACCAATTATATCGATTCAGTCTCAAAGAATTCGATTGTAACCATTGCTTTAGATAAATCTCTTCAAGTTCCCACAGCTCCATTCACCAAATGTAACAATGCACTTTACGGAGGATTAATGTCAACTAGGGCCAAATATTTAAAGGCGAATGGTTCGGTTATCTTTGGCAGAATCAGGGATATAAACGAACATTTAAATTTGAATTATCCAGTTTTCTCATATGGATTGGGATCAACAGCACCAAAGCCAGTAGTTAAAGTGGTTGAAATTCAAAAAAATTTAGATATCTTGGTATCAAATTATCCCGATGATACAGTTCAAACAATTAATTCAAACGATATAATTATTGCTGATCAAAATGGAGTTGTTTGTTTACCAGCTAATGACGAGGTTTTATTAAATAAAGTATTGAATTATATTCCTAAAAGAGTTGAAGCAGATGAATTAGTAGCTGAAGATATTAAGAATGGTGTTGCTGCTGGAGTAGCTCAAAAGGCCCGTAGAGGCGCTATCAAATTAGACGATAATTAATTAAAATATATAGATTAAAAATAAATAAATAGATAAATTAGTAAAAATAACAAAAACCAAAAAAATAAATAGATTGATATATAAACTTATATTTAATAAATTTATAAAAATTATGAAATTTATAAAATATTTCATTCATCATCAGATGAGTCAGTTTCTCCATCATCATCATCTTCTTCTTCTTCATCGTCAATTGGTATTTTATCAATTTCAGTTAATAAAGTATTGTATTTGTTAACAATAAATTGGTGATAATTTAGTTGAATTTTGATAAAGATTTTAATTAAATTTATTGATTCTAGTGGATCAATTAATTTTTTCATTGAATTAACTGCCTGAGCAGTGTTATTAACCAATTCATCTTCTGCTATTTCTAATTTATTATTCAATTCAATTAATTTTTCCCTTTTAATTTTATCCAGCTCATCATTAGTATTAGTATTAGTATTAGTATCAGTGGATGTGGGTGTGGAAATAGTGGTGGCGGTATTACTTATTTCATTATCCTTAAGAACCCTTTTAGCATCAATATGAATATCAGTATCAGTATTAGTAGTAATAGTATTAGTAGTAGTATTTTGAGTTAAAACATTGTTAATAGTATCCACTTTGGGTTTATTACTATTTTTTAATACTTTGATTTCATGTCTTAGTTGATCAAAGACTAACCTTGAGGTTTCCACTTTTTTTCTATCGTCAGTAGTTTCCTTAAAACTCTTATTTAAGATATCTTGAATCTTTTGGTTAAATTCTTGAAAGATTAACTTATCTTGATCCAATCTTTTGTCACCAATATCTCTTTGACTTTCACCTAGTAAGAATAGAACTTTTGCCAATGCGTTTCCTTCATTATCATTATCGGCGGCACTGGTACTACTTTGACTATTGCTATTCTGATCAATTTTTAATAATAAATTTCTTGAGCTAAAACAAGCTCTGGATAAGGCATGAGCCAAAGTATTAGGGTATTGCTGGCTAGAAGAAGGAGTTGATAGTATCTTCTCTGCTTCTTCTGTTGTGGCGGCAGCTGCTAGACCCTGGACTTTCTCGCTAAATGCCTTTGAGAAATCCACGATTGATTCTTTCAAATTTGGAGGATAATCGTAGCCCTCAATTTCGTACGTTTGGGTCACTGACAAAAGTTGCTTGTACACATTTCTTAAGGTATCGCATTTCTTCTCCAAAAGCAAGTACTCCTGAGGCAACTCACTGACATCTTCGTTGGGAATGAATCGCCCTTGAATCAGCCTAAAGGTCTTCTGCGTGAAGGGTTGCAAGTTCTCATTCAAAGGCTTCAATGCATTATTCACATCCTTGGAGATTTCCTTGAGCGAACCTTGCAAGGAGCTGGAGAAGTTCTGAAAGTTGAAGTTCTTTGCAAAAGAAAAGGACATCTGGTAGCACCTGTCACTGGATAATTGAGTGTGTGGACAGTAAAACAGCTGTGCAGGAGACAGAATATGTGGATATAGCTGAAAATATGTAGATATATCTGGAGATATTTGGGTATATCTCAAGATAACTCAGTGTATTTAAGGCTCCACTGCGTTTCCCGCACCAGCACGGCGGGCCTTCTCACGGCTGCAGAGACAGGCAAACAGCGGTTGGTTCACTATAAAATACAAAAATAGACACAAACAAAAATAGACAAAAGGACAAAAAGACAAAAAAACAAAAAGACAAAAGGACAAAAAGACAAAAAAACAAAAAGACAAAAAAACAAAAAGACAAAAAAACAAAAAAACAAAAAAACAAAAAGACAAAAAAACAAAAAGACAAAAAAACAGAACAAAACACCAGCTGTTGTTACTGCTGGATCACTTCTTGCCTTTGGGCCTTACAGTTTCAAACTTGATGATGCTGTCGGAGGGCGCCAACGTCGTTGAGGGTGCCACTTCCTTCCATTCATACACATACTCATGCTCAGAGTCTGAGGCAGGCTCTGGAGCAGGAACATCAGGATACTTGAACTTCTTCAAGATCTCCTTGTTCTTGTCACCATCGACGTTGATCTGGCTCATCACCTTGCGTTTTTCCTCTTTTTCGAACCTTTGTTTTTCCCTCCTTTCTTGTTCGATTCTTTCTTTTTCAATGGCTTCTTGCTGCTCTTTTAGTTTTCGTTCAGAGTTCAATCTCTCTTGAGCCACTCTTTGTTCGTCTTCTCTTTTCAATTGTTCAGCCTCGATTGCTTCTCTTTCCAATCGTTCTCTTTCCAGTTTTTCCAATTTTTCTCTTTCGGCTTTTTCTCTTTCCAAGCGCTGGCTTTCTTTAATTTCAATTTCCTGGATTTTATTTCGATCATTGCCAATCTGGTCTTCGTTCACTCTTATCTCCTCTTCAATGGTACCGATTTTCTTTTCAAGGTCCGAAATTTCTGATTTGGTGATTTCAATTTCTTTAGTGTTTTTTTCATTATCTATAACTAAATTGGTTCCAGTAGAGTTTTTGGAGGAACTTTGAGTGTGGTTTTCATTATTTTTCTCATAAACATCAGTTTCAACCACTGGGTCTTTTGATTCTTTGGGAGCTTCGCTCAATATCTCATCGGTTTCGGACGTTTGAACAGGTTTGGTTGTGATATCTATTTGATTTGAATATTCATTTGGCTCGTTATTACTTTCAAAAATTTTTTTTTCATTTTCCTGTTGAAGATGATTTAATTTGGTTAGATATTCACGCTTTGAAATCAAAACTTCATTTAGTTGTTTTGATTGTAGTATGAGCTCTTTATTTTTGGTATGTAAATTGCCGATGTTTCGATTTAGAATTGAGATATCGTATTGGGCCAATTGCTTTGCCTTCATATGGGATCTTTTATTTTCTTGTAATTTGAGATTCAATTGGTCTGCTTGTTGAATAATCAAGTTTTTTTCAAATTCAAAGTTTTCTTCAATTTGTTTGATTTTAAACTCATGTTCTTCCTTTGCGTTGTTTAAGAAAAAAACGTGGTTTTCTTTATGGATTTTAATGTTTTTTTCAATTTGATCAATTTGCAATTGGATCTGTTTGATTTTGTCGTCATAGTTTGATTGTATTTTTTCCAATTTTTTTTGGTTTTTGGAAGAGATTTTTTCCAATTTGTTTTGGTGTTTGATTAGTTTTGTCTTCTTTTTTTCACTGGAGGATTCTGCGTTTTGTTGGTGATATAGTTTTGAGTTGGAGTCGATTTTACTGAAAATTGGTTTCAATCGATTTTGAGCAATTAGGTATATTTTGCCCTTTGGTTGTTTCAAACCTGCGCCCAAATCAATTGGTTCGTTACTGTTGTATTGTAAATCGTTCAATTGATCAATCGTTTTTGAAGTTTGGGGTTTTTCAGGAATAGGCTCTTGATCGTCATATTTCTTTGTAATAATAACGGTATCATCAATGTGAGTGTCATCAATATTATCATTATCAATGCGATTATCAATACGGCTATCAATATGATTATCAATATGATTATTAGTATTGGGTGACTTTTCATGAGATGTGCTTGAGGAGGGTGAATGATGAACAGTAGTAGTATCCTGGTTGGGATTATCATTTTCATACTTGTCGATAGCAGAAGCGTTTGGTGGAATGGCTCTTTGAGAGTCGTGCAACAAAACTTCGTCATCGTGTATGATAGGGGTCTTGGGGTTAGTTGTGTTGAGCAAATTTGAAGTGATTGCAGCAACCAAAGGAGGAGGAACATTTGCAGAAGAGGTGGAGGAAAGATTGCTAGTTTTGGATTCTGGAATAGACTTCTGAGTTGAAGTTAGAGTGTGAGTGTCTATTTCGTGGTTTTTAGTTGTTTGTTGCTGGTTGAGTTTGTTTGTAGTAAGACCAGAGCCTGTTTCCTGGAGAAAATGGGAATCGTCAGAAAAAGTGGATTTGATGGTATCTGTTTGAGCAAAAGCAGGTTTGTTTTGGGAAAAGGATCTGGTGAAGGCCCTGGGAGTCTTTGACTTCAAGGAGGAAGGAACATGGATATCGCTGGGCCTGTCAGAGCTGCGATGGGACCTTGTAGAGTTTGATCTGAAGGGCGAGGAGGAGGCATCAGGATTGGTGATGACCTGGGACAAAAAGGACTTTCTCTTTTCTTTGGGAGGAGAGAGGGCAGCAAATGGATCGTGTTTAACCATTTTTCAATTGAGAGGCGAGCTGGAGAGCAGTGGAAAGATAGCTCCATTGTTGCACTTCCCACTACCCTTTTATACACCTGAATATGGCCTTGATTGCTGCGATAAGCTTGCGGTCTGGGATTTACGCGTCGTGTAAGCTGGAGCACGTGCTGGGAAAAGAGCTGGAGAAGAAGAAGAAGAAAGAGAAGAGGTTACTGTGCAATGGTTGCTATCCTCAACATGTCTGGTATCGATTATCATCCTTTGCTCGAGCAACTAGCTCTGTTTTACTCGTCTTTCAACGCCAGCATTGCTGCCTTAGGCTCCTCGTTGATAGGCCCCAGGTGTTTCCACAGACTCTTTGAGCAGTTGGACTGGGAGTCGCCAGAGTCGCTTGTGTGCATCAACACAGTCTACGTGCTGTTCTTGAACGTCTTGATCTTGTTTTTGCTGGGGGTGGCCAAGTTCCCTGAGATCCAGAACATCATAAGGCATGGGAGAGACTCTAGGAACTTGAAGCAGTTCTCCTTCACCAGTCTCTTCTTGGAGGTTGTAGACTTGACCATCATTTCCTCGCTTAATTTCCGAGTTGGCATCGACTTCAACAAGTTTGGCGAGTTCATTTTCATCATCATCCAGGACCTAATTCTTCTCATTTTCAAGCTAGGCTACGAAGGGTATGGCAGATTCATCAATTTGATTCTCAGTCTTGTTGGATTGTTTGCCTACATATCCTTCAGCGATCCTACTGGAAACATCAACAACCCATTTCCAATTATCTTGAGCAACAACTTGGTCTTGCTCTTGAATGATAAGGTTGTTTTGCCTGTTCTAGCTGTATCAAAGGCATTTCAAATTTACAAGATTTACCAAGTTTTCACTGCCAATAAGGAAAAATCTATCGAGGACAACATTAAAGATATCAAAACTGGGTTATCGAGAACAAGTGTTATGTTGTCCCTTATTGGTTCGATCTTGAGATATGGTATGATAAAGGATAATTTGCAAACAGTTAATTTCTTTTCAATCAATATCTTTCTCACCTTCTTGCTATACATTGAAATTGCCTATTTTCAAAGAAGTTTCGTCAAGACTTTACCCAAAGATAGAGCTAAGAAAAACAACTAAAACGACTTGATTAGACTTGATTATAAAGACTATAAAGACTATAAAGACTTTATAAACACTGATTAAATACTGACTAAATTCCAATTTTAATTCTAATTCTATAGATCTATGCACATCTCTCATATGGTCTCTTCTCTGACTAAATCTGTAGGCTGTCTAATTTGTTACCAATCACATCATTTACGAAATTACTCTGTTACTTTCCATAATTAATTATAATTATATAGTTATATAATTAACTAATTATTGTATGGCTTTAAAAACTGTTTAAATCTCTCTAATTACCAACTCTAAAACTAATTTGCTTTTCCCAAATGCCTATTCTCTAACCATCCATTTCGTAATTCTGTTTGTTGTTTAATAATAGTGAAAACAAAACTGTGAAACCCTCTCCTTAGGAATTAACCACCTCCTTTGAACCTCTCTCCCAACAGCAAACAATTGACCAATTCACATAGAAACAAGAACAAACAAATGCAAGCTTTTCCTCTTTTTTCTCCATTTCTTCCAAAGGAATTCCCAAAGAAAACACTTCTGTCCCATCCTCACCTTTAAATGAAACGATTCTATTCACTCAAAGACCTTCTCTAAAAAGGCCCATTTAAAAATATCCATTACCACCTTATTTGATTTTATTTTATTTTATTTTTAATTTCACTTTCACTTTCACTTTCACTTTCACTTTGAATTTGAATTTGAATTTGAATTTGAATTTGAATTTGAATTTGAATTTGAATTTTCTTTTTATAATAACTCAAATCCCATTTAAACCTACTCGGATTCTCCTCCAATTGCTCACTCAACCATCAATATATTCTCTTTAGATCTCTGCTCCCAACTTCTTAACCAACTTCTCACACAGGTTCTCAATTTGCGATGCAATTCCCTGTGAAGACCTAGCTTTAGCTCATATCTCTACAATAACGCACTATTATTGATCTACCATCTCATCAAAGTTCTTCCTTTTCAACTCTTTAACCACATCTATCCACCACTAAATAATACTACTATCAAGATATTTTTTACTTAATCACCTACTCAATTACTTTTTTTCTCAAGTGTTCCAACGACACCTCTCTTTCTCTCTCTCTGCTAATATATATTTCCTGACATCACTTCTCTTGGTTCTCTCTTGTGCGAGAGCAATATTAGCAATACAAATCAAAGATCTGCTCACAAAATATCTCATCTTAGATTCATATATAACCAGATCCATTCCATAATCACAACAAAACCCTTTACATTTCCAACTAACTCATCCAATCCATCTTTCCTATTCTTTAAGCAACAATGGCTGCTCGTGTTGGAAATTCCCTATACAATGGCTATAGCAACTTGAACTCCATCAGCATCGCAAACACTGACTATGGAAAGAAGTACTCAACAACCAATCTCCAAAAGAGCTTCACTGCTCATACCCTCAAATCAAAGGCTTCTTCTACTCTTCTAACAACTGAAAGTGACATTCAAAATAACAACAACAACAACAACAACAACAACAACAATAACTCAAATGTCATTCAAAGAAAATACCAAAAATATCGTTCTTTATTACTCACAAGAAAACCCTCCCTTCATCAAAACCACTCTCAATATTCAAATGCTTTAAATCTATCTCAGACATTATCATCTGTTGATAATCTATCCCACTTACCCAACTTTCCTGAATTAACTTACCCATTATCCCTAGCTGATCTCCCCGATAACGTTCTCACCTTGATTATAACCTATGTTTCAACTGGCGTTAAATACTCAAACACTCCTATAATTCCAAAAAAAAGGAATCAAAAATCAAAAAAAATGAATAATGTATCCTTTCTAACCCCTTCAGTTTTAATCTCAAATGACTCTCAATCAAATACTAACAATAAAATTAACAAAATTAACAAAATTAACAACAAAAACTACAGCTACCATTACAATCACATCAACCTCAAATCCTTTTTTAACGATTTTAATGCTGATTATATTGATTCCGAACTAAGAGAACAAAAATATCTCAACAAAATACTAACCAATTACAAATACTCTCTTCATTACAACTCTACTCCAAATAATTCATTAATCAATCTATTATATCTCAACAAAAAATTCTATAAATTAACTTTACCAATTCTTTACTCCAAAATCAACTTCAGATCTTCTTATCGATTTGCCCAATTTATTTCAACTATAAGAAAAAATAACTTATTAGGTCTATATGTTAGAGAAATCAATTTGGAAAATTTAGATGTCTTATATTATATTCCCTTCTATAACAACATCAACAACTCAAATACCTTTGTAATTCTATCTGAAAAGGAAAAAAACCAAATTGAAAATTTAATTAATTCAAATGATGATTTTGATGGTAATTTTAATAAAGTTGATTTAACGCTCTACGATACTCCATCAAATTTAAGAAATAATCATAATCACAATAATCATAACAATCATAATAATAATAATCATAATAATCACAATAATCACAATAATCACAATAACATTCACAATATACACAATATACACAATATACACATTCACAATAACAATAATAACCAAAATCATTTTAATAACAATCAAAATAATCTTAACAATAATCGAATTCCTAACAGAGTGAATAACCACTCTAACAATCAACATTTCATTTCATTACTACCAAATCTCGCAGATTTCGAAGAAGATAGTAAAGAAAATAACATTTTAGCAGGATGGAGAGACTGGAAAAATAGAGGTGATCCATTGTACTCACTATTAGTCCCAACTACTGCAAAATTGCACAAATCTCAATCAAGCCCATCATTAAACAAAAAGAGATCCGGTTCGATTACAAGAGTGAATTCAAGAGTATCCAATTTTTCCTACCATAGCAATTTTAGTTCTCATTCATTGACAAGAACAAATTCAAAAATCTCATTAATCAAATCAAATTCAACTTCTAAAAGAGCCAATCTAAAGGCTAAATTTAAATTTTTTTTGAATTTCAAGCATAAATATTATCAAAATGATAACACTAATAATAATAACCATAGTAACAATAACAGTAATAATAACAATAACAATAACAATAACAGTAATAATAACAATAACAACAATAATAATAACAATGGAAAAGTCCAAATGGGAATTACTAAGATTAATTCAAAGAAATCATTGCCATTTTCTAGCCCACATCCATTAAGAAATAAAATTATGCAAAAATATTCATCAAAGGAAATACCAGTTGGATTTATAATTCATCTATTAAAAATTTGTGAAAGAATTGAAGTGTTTAATATGAATAAAATATTATTATCGCAAGAATATGAAATTGAATATAATGCTCATGATGATTATGGAGTATTACTAAAGAAAAACGAGAAAATTTTTAAAACACAACAACGTACAATGATAAGTTTAAATACTAAAACTACGTTGAATCCATCACCGTATAAGAGTAGTAATAATAGTAATTCCACATCAAGTTTTAAAAAAAAGAATGTCAATATAGATGATGGAAGAAGTCGAGCTAAAAGTTTTGGTGATACTACGACTAATAATAACAGTTATACTAATGTTGGCAATTTGAATAATCTTAATGACAGTAGTTCTAATTTACTTTCTAACAATGCCAATTTAACAGTGATCGATCCATACCAAAATATTATTGGGGAGATAGTGGCAGCATATGGAACATCAGTTTATTCCAGACAAACTAGCACATATAGAAGGGGATATGGTGGTAGCCCATATTCCAGTTTTTTTGATAATGGAAACAGTCGATCTACTCCTAATTTAAGACAGATGAGTAGTAATGGTAATTTTAACAGTCCTAATAACAATTCAAGTGGAGATAATAATAATAATAATAATAATAATAATAATTTACAAGAAGAGATTATAAAATTGGCAAAAGAATTTCCAAGTGTGACATCAGCTATACTTCGAAATATCAATAATCCTTCAACTTCTTCTCTGATGTTTAAGAATAATGGGGCAGTAAAAAATTTTTTGAATTCGATTCTGTTGAACGGGGAAGTATCGAGCAATTATTCTATTAATTTTAGTAATGTTGCTAATGGTAAAAAAAAAATGAGCAGTAATTCGAATTCATTTGAATTTGAGATATTAACTGAGAGCAAGAGTGATAATTTGGATTTTTATAAAGATACATTTGATTATGGAAATAGTGGTAGTAATAGTACTAATATTAAGAAGAAAAGTGAAGGAGTGAACGGTTATTCTAATATTAATTATCTTAGTATTAGTAATGGTTCAACCAATAAGGGGATGATTAGTTCCAGATCATATAATTCAGGATTAGAAATGGAGTTATTTGAAGAAGAGGAAAATGATGAGATTAATCGCGATTCAGGGAAAGGAAAAGAAAGGCAAGAAGTGAAACAGAAGAAAGATAAGCAAAAAACAAGAAAGGCAGTCTGTTTTGATAAAGATATCAAAGAAGATAAGAAAGAAAAAAGTTTATTGAATACACCGCTTTACGAGTTAAGTAGCAAGCACTATCCGAATAAGGGGCATATTGATCTCCAGCGAGATTTGACTTTATACTTGTCGGATGTTAAAAAGGCCAACAATTGGGAATTAGACCAGTTGAGAAAGATCAAGACAGTTGAGATAATGGACTTCTTGCAAAGTTTAAAGTACTTGAGAAAAGTGAGCTTGGGGTCTTTGAACTGGTTGAACGCAGACGTTGTAAAGAGGTTTTTGGTTTATTCGCAGTCAATTTTGAACCACAGTCTCAGAGAGATTGATTTCAGAAACAGTGGGATGCTGAGAAACTTGGATTGGGCAATAGTTGGAAGCGTGGACGACGTATTTATGGCGTTCCACGAGGAGGAGCGCTTTGATCCACTAGCTACGATGGGCCAGAACTATTTCATATAGAACGTGGACACAGCAGCACCACCAACACCATCACCCCCAGCACCACCACAGCATTCGCATTATCATCGCATTACAGCATAGGCATCGGAATAAATATTGTCTTAGACCGGAACAATCCCAAAAAGGCCGCCGCAAAGTTAGACGCGTTTCTTTTTCACATGAAAGAGCAACCCACAGCTCAACAAAGTCTCACAAAGGCCTTATAAATAGTGTCCTTCCTCTGCTGCTTCTGCTGCCTCTGTTATCGCACCTGTTGCTTCCGCTGCTTCCATTGCTTCCATTGCTTCTGCTTCACCATGTCCTTCCTCTACACCGAAAGCAGCCCTGAGCTCTCGGGCTCGGAATCAGACTACACAGGCCTCACCAAGTCCTCCTCCTCAACTTCCATCATGAGCTTGAGAACACCCATCGACAGACTTTCGTTTTTGGAATTGATAGATCCCTCGTCGCTTTCTTACATTGATTTCTCCAGAAAGACCCTTGATAAGGTGAAAAAGAGCACCAAGAACCTCAAGGAGAAGGCTGCAAAAATCAAAATTTCCAACGACGAGTTCAACATCCTCAAGACTCGACTCTCCAAGAAGATCGATGAGTTGGACGACAACTTGATGGCAAGATTGAATGCCTCGAAGACTGAAAAATGGTTCTATGCTTTCTCTCTATACTCTATCTTTTTTGCTGGTTATTTGATTGGCAAACACCCTAGTTTTTTCCACATCTACTACTCCATCTTGTTTACAATCCTAATGCCCATCAGACTATACAGCTACTGGAAAAGAGACTTTAACTACTTCCTAGCCGATTTATGTTATTATGTCAACACTTTGGTCATGCTCTTTATATGGGTTTTTCCCAGCTCTGAACATTTATATATGGTGTGTTTTTGCTTCACGTATGGCACTCTAGCCTGGGCTGTTATCACCTGGAGGAACTCTTTGGTGCTACACTCAATCGAAAAGACAACTAGTTCTTTCATCCATTTAATGCCTCCCGTCACATTATTCGTCATAACTCACGAACTAGATAAGGAATTCAAATCAGTACGATTCCCTGGTGCTGCTAGCTTCAATTACAATGACTGGAACCTTTGGAATGGAATTCTCTGGACCTCCTCCTACTATTTGATCTGGCAGTCGCTTTACCACTACTTTATCACAATCAAAAGAGCCGAAAAGATCAAAAAGGGGAAAGTCAACTCTTTCACTTGGTTGAGAAAGTCTTATTCAAACACTGCACTCGGAAAATTGGTCAACAACTTGCCTGAACCATTGCCTGTTTTCGCATTCACCTTGATCCAGTATGGCTACCAGTTGAGCACGATGTTGCTCTGTCCATTTTGGTTGCAATCAAAGAGAGCTGCCTCCATCTTCATGACCCTCATCTTTGTCATAGCGTGCTACAACGGGGCCACCTATTACATCGACATCTTTGGCAAAAGACTAGAAAAGGAGGTTAAGAGATTGCAAAAGGAAATTGCTGAGTTGCAAGCTGAACATCTCACCAATGCCAGCAGCCAGAACTCCAGCTCCTCCTCCCTCAACGACAGCAAAAAGGACGACTAGGCCTGCTGCATACTATAATATATCCCAGCTCTAAAAGCACCATAGTGCCATAGTGCCATAGTGCCAGAGTACCAGAGTACCAGAGTACCATAATACCACCATCTATAATATAGTTAGCATAGTATAGCATAATACAACACTATCACCACCGTAAAGCTTATTAGGGGCGACTCTGAGACCACCGCCACGGCGCCCCTTTCTGTGCTTAAAAGCCCTTTTAAAATTTCTCTCTGACTGTATCAACTTATCTTTAAACTACACTCATCGATATTGCTCCAGCTGCTTCTTGCTCCTCTCCTGCTTCTTCTCTTTCCTGTTTTCTTTCTTCTTTTGCTGCCAGATCTTCCTTGCTCTCTTCGTTATTGTTTCTGCTGTTTTTTTCTTTCTCGTTCCAAACAGAAATCCCTGCTTCACAACCGTTCCCCTAATCGAATATGGTCGTCGATGACACTTACTACAAGATTCTTCAGGTTGAACCAACTGCAACTCCACAACTAATCAAAAAGTCTTATCGTAAACTATCTTTAAAATATCATCCGGATAAGAACCCTGCTCCTGAAGCAAAAGAAAGGTTTCAGGAGATAACTGCTGCCTACCAAGTTCTATCTGATTCAGATTTAAGAGCAAAATATGACAAATTTGGTAAAGAAAGCGCTATACCAGCCGATGGTTTTGAAGACGCAACTGAATATTTTGCTATGATCTTCGGTGGCGATGCATTCAAAGACTATATTGGTGAATTAACTCTATTGAAGGATCTCACAAAATCTGCTCAATTATCTCAAACCGATAAAGAAAAAACCGATGAAAATAACGAAGATAACAAAGAAAATAAAGATGATAAAAATAATACAAATGATAAAAATTCAACCTCAAATTCAACCTCAAACACAAATACAAATACAAATACAAATACAAATTCAAATTCAAATTCAAATTCAAATACTAATACAAATACTAATGGTAATATAAACACATCCTCAAATAAATACCAAAATAATTCCTCAAATTCTTATGTAAATTCATCCTCTTACTTGGCAATCGACCAATCTTCTTCAAACAAAAATTCCGACTCAAAAGATTTTCAGAATAATAACTATGATAATAAAAATGAAAAAGAAAAGGATAATGAAAAAGAAAAAGAAAAGGAAAAAAAAAATGATAAAGATAAACTAACTCCTGAACAGCAAGCAGAATTGGATCAATTTGAAGAAGAGTGTAGATTGAAAAGACTAGAAACTCAGAAAAAATTGGCTGAAAAATTAATACTAAGATTATCCGTTTGGACTGAAAGCCCCAAAGATCGTAACTGTTTAAATGCTTTTAAAACTAAATATGAATTAGAAGCTGACTCTCTAAAAATGGAATCCTTCGGCTTGGAAATATTACACACTATAGGTGAAATTTACTACACAAAGGGCAACATATATCTAAAATCTCAAAAGTATTACGGTATTACTGGCTTTTTTCACTCTGTAAAGGAAAAAGCTGGCATCGTTTCAGATACTTTTAAAACTATATCTTCTGCTCTAGATGCTCAAAATACAATGGAAGAATATACTAAAATTCAGGAAAACTCAAATGAAGATCAAAAATTATCTCAAGAAGAAATGGCTGAAATGGAAAAATTATTAATGGGCAAAGTTATTGGTGCTGCTTGGGCTGGCTCAAAATTTGAAATTCAGGGAACTTTACGATCCGTTTGCAATATTGTCTTGTATGATAAAACTGTTTCTCAACTGAAAAGAATCGAAAGAGCTGAGACTCTAGTTAAATTAGGTCAAATCTTTAAGAAAACTACAAGAACTGATGATGAAAATGAGGAAGCAAGGATTTTCGAAGAATTAGTTGCTGAAGCTAAAAAGGATCTAAATAGAAGTAAAAGAAAAGCCGCTGCCGCCGCTGCTTCTACAGATTCAAAATCAAATCCTGATTCTAAAAAAAAATAAGTTAATTTAGTCCTTTTTTTTTCTTTTTTTTTAAAAAAATTTCCTACCCTTGCCCTATTTAATTATTATTTACCTTGTTATTTTGTTTTTATTTATTTATTAACTCTTGGTTGGTTGCATCATGTTCTCTGTATTTATTTAATTTTTTTTTTATCAATTATTTATTATTTATTATCCACTCTTAAATCCTTTTTCAACTATCTTATATCCCATGCTTTTAGAAATGATAAAACAACAATAAAAAAAATTAAAATACAATCAAGAAAATTGAAAAAAGAATATTGTTTTTTTTTCTTGCTTAATAACTACTATTTATTGTTTGATATAGCATATTCATAGTTATATTTTATATAATGTTTTGTTTTGCTTTTCATTAGTATTGACTCACTGATTTTTTTAAATCTTTAATGTTTTAAATTTTAATCAACACTTTCCTCTTTTTTCAATCTTTTTTTTTTTATTTCAGAGTGAACTCTGGATGATACTGTTGATATGGGTAACATATCAAGTATTGATCTTTTTCTTTTTTTTAGAGGCGAAGTTTTAATATTCTTGGTCTTAATTTCATTTTCACTTTCACTTTCATTTTCACTTTCATTTTCATTTTCACTCTTAGTATCACTTTTAATAACTTTTTTGCTATCAATTTTGTTATTTTTTTTGATAAAGTCAATTATTGATGGGCTTTCATTTCTAGATTTAATTGGTTCAATTAGATATTTACCGTCATTGGCCATTTTACCAACATTTTTACTTACTTTAAACCATTCTAATTTTATATCTCTTGAAGAGTTTAAACAAATTTTTAAAGAATCAGACCATGTATCGTTTGTTTTATTATCAATCCATTTGTCAAAATCGTTAGAATTCTCCTTTAAAATGACTGGCATTCGTTTGTGTAGCCATGATAATTCTTTAAATGCAGGCTGAGTTATAATTGTAAATGAATTCAAGACAATTTTTCCATTATTACTCAAGCTAGTATAACTAACTGATTCATAAAAACCCGCTAGAAAGATCAATTTATCATCTTTTCTCTTTACATAATATGGAATTTTCTCTTTGGTTTTAGCATCGTGCAACCATTCATAATAGCCTTGGACTGGAACAACACATCTTTTGGTATTTCTAACAGTAGCCCATAATTTTCCTGACTCTATCGATTCGCATCTTGCATTGAAATATTTGAAATCAAATTGCTTGATCATGGCCTCCTTTCTCGCCCACATGGGAACCAACCCCCATTTCATATACTGAAGATTATGTTTCTCATTCTTATTAAAATTGTATACATACACAGGAGCCATCCTGGTAGGACCAACATTGTAAGAAGGATGTTGTTGGTCTTGATCCATTACTTGGTCCACTGTTACATTTTGCTGAGCGAAGAGGTGAAGAAGCTCATCGCTCGACTAGGCCTCGAAGTGCAAAAAAGACGTATTAATAATCGATAGCCACTAGTAGAAAATAGCAAAAACCACACATACCAATGCCATTGCAAACCTCCCACACATCTCAGTAACTGCTCGAAATATCTGTTCTTCAGATCTCATCTTCTCATCTCCTTATCTTCGGATCCTAATCAGTGATTTCAACCCTCGGATTTCTATTCTCGGAGCAACCAAAAACGGCTTTTACCAGAAGTTGAACCGTTTTCCGGTAAAAGACCCGTTCCGCTGGCTCGGACTCTCAACCAATAGGAAGAGAGCAATCGCCTTCTGCTCAGCATGAGAAGATCTGTCGCAAATACAGCTGAAGAAGAAGCAGCAAAATATATATATTGGAGATTGCTGTATTATATTAAGATGATCAGAACAACGAGTCGCTTTGCAGCAGCTCAACACCAGGTTTTCTCCAGCACAAGAACTAAAACCACCAGCAGCCTTTTGAAAACTTGCAATAGCAAACCCAATTTGGCTTTCTCAAATCAAAGATGCTGCTATTCTACAGATCCCAATTACCAGGCTTACTACGATCTTCATCATCCCAAGAAGAGAAACTGGAAGAGAACAGTTATCGGTTTGGCTGCTTTGTCTCTAACTGGCTATGGTCTTTACTATTATTACTGGCCTCATCACACTTTTCCTACCTCTGTTGCTAAACTTTTGAGAAAGGGACTATGGGCAGAATCCAACAAGGAAAACAACAACTATGCTGGTGCTTTACAATTTTATATTCGTGCCTTGGAAGAATGCAATAACCTAGAAATCGATAAATTAAGCGATGAATATACTGGAGTTCAACTAAAAATCGCTGAAATGTTGGAAAAATTAAACCTATTAGAGGAAGCTAAAAACATCTATCAAGAATTAGCCGATTTATACTTATCCACCCTACTTTCAGAGAAAATACCTATTGAAACTAGACCTCACATAATTCAAAAGGATTTGAGAATTGTAATTAAATTAGTTCACCTAAGTGAATCTGATCCAACTTATTGTTCAAATTTATTATTAACTCATTGCATAAAAGCTCAAGAAGAAGTAGCTAGAAGAGGTGGATCACTAGCTAGCAACGATTCAATAGTTCATCCCAGCCCAAAGAACCATGATTTATTCATATCATATCCTGTAAATTCTCAAGCTTGGTTCCCCTTTCGCGATGAATTTTTCATTGCTAGAGATTTATATATCTCAACTTGTTTAAGGTTAGGTGAACATTTATTAGCAATTAGATCTCAAATAACTACTTTACAATGGATGGTAATGGCTGATTGCGATTTTCCTGATATCATAATGTGTCAATTTAATCTTGGTTCACTATTATATTTACAAGCTGAAGAATATGAAAGTAGAGAATTAAATGCTAAAAAAAATAATAACGAAAAAGATATTCAACTCTTCAAAGAAGAAAAAGATGAATGTTTAAAAAGTGCAACTTTTTGTTATGAATCAATATTAGAAGCTGTAAAATCTTTTCCTCCTGTTATTTCAAGAGACCATCCTCAAATTGTTGAAGCATTAGCCTTGACTACATACTCATTAGGTGTAATAAATTTGCACACTGGAAATCTTGAAAAGGCAAAGGAATTATTAAGAAGATCAAGATTAAGAGCCAAGGGCATAAATAATGAGGAATTAGTAGCCGAAGCTGAAGCTGAATTAAAAAAATTAGAAAAAGAAGAAAAATTATTAGAACTGAAACAAAAAGAAAATAATGATGAAAAAAATATGACAATCGAAATGATTGCTCAATTAGTAAAATAAGCTTGAATGAAATAAGTTTGAATAAAATATTATACCCGTATTAGTCATTGTTTATTCAAATTAAAACAGTATAAAAAAATAAAAAAAAACATTATACATAGAATAACATATTAAATAATTATAAATAGAAATTGAGAATCCAAATAGGTTACTTTAATTCAATTAAGTTTGATAAATTCATCATTTAATCATCAAATTCACCGATTGAAATTAAAGTAAAATGGCATCTTTTGTTCTCGATAAATCGATCTTAGTGATATTACTAATAATATAGTTACTATTATAAATGGAATTGGCTAATTTTATGTGTTGGAGCCTTTCATGTTCGATTATCCACCAAATTTTCATTACTTCAATAAATTGAAAATATTTAATATTTTTACTTTTGCTTTCGCTTTCATTTTCATTTTCGTTTTCGTTTTCGTTTTCGTTTTCGTTTTCGTTTTCGTTTTTATTTTGATTATAGTTGTAGTTATAGTTTGCATAAATATTGAAATAATAATTTAATTCACTTTCGTTAATATTCCAAGGTTTGGGATTCATAATATAATGAACATTCTTAACTTGAGACCAATTCCAAATATCTGGATGAACTAATTTTAAAGTCTTTAATGCGTTATACTTATAAGATAAAGGTAACCATTTGCCTTGAAATATATCGGATAATAAACTTTGATCAGGAAAATCATAATTTTTAGTCATTTCATAATCATTAAGAGTATCTAAAATCATTTGATAGATTTGTAATGAAGGTTTTATAATTAATAAACCGCCATTACACATTTTAACGCCTGAATTACAAACAGGACCTAACACTTCATTTAAATCTTTAATTTTGTTATTATTATTGTCATTATCATTGTCATTATCATTAGATAATTTTGGAAAATTTTCATAATAATGTGTATAAGCACAGCTTTTAGGAATCCAATCATCGGGATAATGAGACAATTTCAATGGATTACAAGCACAAGCATGTGTAGAAGAAAAGACTAATTTTTTATTATCAATGTTGATTAAATTGTCATCAAATAATTCATCCATATTTTTCAAGACTAGCATATCCGAATCCAAGAAAATAATCTTATTGAATTGAATTAGTTTGAAGATCTTTAATTTTGTCCAACAATCATTAAATCTTGAGTCATGTTCATCAAATGATTTCTCGTATTTTGGTTTTAAATGATCAATGATTATGATTTTATTTAAATCAATTAAATTATCGATTAATTTTTGTCTAATATCAGTTTTTTTGCTCTCAAAAAGATTTGGAGTTAATAAGATAATCAAGTGATATTTTGACTTAACTCTTTGCAAAGAATAGTTCAAATTTAGTAAGCCAGGTAAATAGTTTTCGTTGGTAACCAAAGTCATCCAAACGTTTTTTGGGTTTGAATTTGAATTTGAATTTGAATTGAAAATTAATGAAGACATTTTAGTTATTATTATTATTATTAAGAATACTCGTATTTAGTGGGACTAACAGCCAGGAGATTTGCGGTTTTATTTTTTATTAATTTTTATTTTTTTTCAAGGAAATCAATGGATTCCAAGAAATATATTGATTATGATGGTTTTTAAGAGATATAAAAGAATACATTGCGATAAATGGCAAAAGACTAGGAATTGGAGAAATATTTATGTGAAAGCAATATCTTTTTGTAAGCAAAACGAAATTATGGCTTTGTTTTTGCGGTTTGAAAGAAAGAAAAAGATTTTGATAATTATGATATGCCTCAATCATAAATTAGGAATAACCAAAAATACCTAGAATATGGATATTAATATAAGTGATAGTAATAATGGGGGGATGCAATAAATCTTTCCCTACTTTTGCTTTTATTTCTTTGTTTGTCGCTGATAAAGTTCAAGGCTGGATGGAATTTTAACATAATCAGATTGAAGGAAACCAGTTTTTATAATTGAATTTAAAATGATGCCTGAAAAGTAGAGAATAAAACTTGGCAGATTTAGTCGAAGCATCAAAAATTTGTCCACTGGAGAGCATCAAAATCCAAAAAGTGTTTTATATTACTCCAAAAAAGCTTTAAATAGCACAGAAAAAAGCACCTCAAATATGAACAAAATAGTGAAACAGCAGCAGTTTCATTTAGACCATGACTAATGAATAAAGATGGATTAGATCGAATAAAATTGAATAAAATTATCCGAGATTGGAGCCCTAAGCTACAGCCCTAACTGAGCTTAAAGCCACCAGAAAAGTGGCTTGAAGAGAGGTTGTATTTAAAATATAGGCATCGAAAGAAAACAAGGATGTAATATATACATACAACGAGAAATTAACAAGTAGGAGAGGCAGTACTACCATTTCGAGAGATTAACAAAAATTACCAAAATCGACAAAAATAGATAGACAAATAACTACCTTTGCAGTTTCCTGGAGAGCATTAGAAAGCAAAAAATAACACGTGCCTGGAGTAATTTAAAGTAATTGATTATGAATGATTCAACGAGAATAAATATTATTTACTTGGTAGCAAAATAAGCAATTTAGATGGTTCAGAATAAAAAACGGTGAGCAGTGAGCCCAAACTATTGTTTGGACTCATCTGTCAAAACTTGAGGTTGGGACTATTAACAAATTGAGAAAATCAGAGCTATAGGTTTGGATTTCAATTTTCATACAACCAGGTTGATTTTTGAAGAGAAGAGCAGCTTTTGAATGTGGAAATTGAATATAAGTGATTATAAGAAAAATGATTGAGGAAAAATGAAGGAAAGTGAAGGAAAATGACTTTAAAATTGCTTTTTGCTCACGAATCCACAATGTTGATATGAAAATAACATGTGTATAACCTTATAGTCAGTGTTTTATTAATATTTTTGCTTTTAATAGATTTGAAAGCCTGTATTGAAGAATTATAAGTGAAAGGTTTTGATATATTTCATGATGGTGATATTTTATGGTAATGAAATGTGAAATTGGAATCTTAGGAAAGGTGTGCATCCATTCTAATGGATTGGAGCGAGATGACGCATGCACTTGTGTATATATGCAAATTAATTTGAGACACGCATTTGCAGATTGAAAACGGATTGAAAACGGATTGGAAAAGAAGAGACAAGACGGAAAGCCCAAAGAGGCAATTTGAGGATGGGACAATAGCCCATTTCAAGCAGTTGGGGAAAAACTGGAGAAAAAATAATATTGTAAATATGGAATGAGATATTTGTAGGAAAGAACCTGAGTTATGGAGATAAACCTGAACTGTGAGGATGACTTTTATTGAGTGGAGTGGATTTTTGATTGTAAGAGAAAGAAAAGAAAGAACAATAAGGTAAGTGGTGGAAAAAATAGGAAAACAAGTGAAAAAGTCAAATTTGACACAAAACAAGAAAAAGAAAAACAGGAACTAAGTAGGTAATAAAAAACTACCAAAAAGCCGTGTGAGACACGGACCAATTGAAATCGCTTAAACATTAATGACAAAGTGGCTTTGGGTCGTAAACCCAAAGCGTGTTTGGACGATGGCAGTGAAATGATTTGATGATTTGATGATTTAATGATTTGATGATTTGATGATTTGATGGTTTGGTGATTGGATGATTAAAAGATTGAATTTTGAATTTAGAAACTGCGGGTATTTGGTTTAAAATGGAAAATAAAATAAATTAGGTTAGGGTGATTTGAGAGAAATGAGAGATTTAAATCCGCTGAGAGATTTAGAGTATTGTTGGTATGATGATTACAAGAAATGAAATAATAGGCAGCAAAAGAAATTTATTGAAGAACAAAAGCAATACAATTTGAATCAATAAAATACTAAATAAGAATCTACAATAGTAAAAAATTAAATAATACCAAAGATTGCAATGTATATTATCTAAAGAAAATGAAAAAGGAAAAGGTTTAGATTTGATATTTTTTTGAGTTTTTTTTTGATTTGTTTGTAAATTGAAACTTGAGAATTTATTAAGTGGTTAAAAAAATTTACAAAAAGTAAACCATATTAAAATGGGAAATTTATTATCTACTGGTATCATTGAGTTTCAACAAATATTTTTATTGTAAGCAGACTAGCTATAGGAGCAGCAGACTTAGAATAATAACAAACCAGCAACGGCAGCGACGGAACCTAAACCGAAAGCGACTTTGCTAGCACCATTGGCAGTTTCAACTTCTGGAACAGTATCATTACCTTTTTTGGTGGAAGAAGAAACTGGAGGAGTGTAAGATTCGGTTTCTTCTGGTAATGGGCAGTAGGTGGTGTAAACAGTCTTGGTACCTTTGATGGTTTCGGTGACAGTGGTGACACCGGTGGTGACTGGGACTTCAGTACAGACAGTGACACTTTCACAAGAAGTGATGGTGATAACAGTGGTGTCGATGTCGTAGACAGTGGTGTTGGCGTAGCCAGCAGAAACGGCAGCGGCAGCAGCAGCAAGTAATAAGGCTCTGGAGAATTGCATTTTGGGTAGAATATGATGGGAGAGAAGAAAGAGTAGAAAACTTAGATAAGCGAATGTATGGGTTAAATCCTGACTTGATTAAAAGAATTATAATCTGTGAAGAAAGAAAAAGAGAAAAAAGAAGGAAATGAAAGATGAAAAATGAGAAGAAAAAGCTGCTTAAATAAACAAAATCAACACACCAAAAAATGGTTGATTGCAATCATTACACTAAGCCTTAGCAAACCTTAACGCAAACTGTCACGGACAGGGTAAGTACAAAAAGCTTACCTGAGAATAGACTTTCACATATGAGAATGTGGGTACACGGATCTTGTTTCACTAGAACAGGGAAAATAAAACACATTTGCGCTTTTTCCACCGAGATGCAGCGGTTTTGCGGTGGTGCGCTTGCAGAATCCCTTTGGGCATGGGACCATGTATTTTTAGATGCGTCGTCTATGCTTTTGCTGAATCTTATCAATTGAGGAAGTTGGATATTTCCAATTCTGCAACTGATAACGGACTCTTCATACCAGAGGTGGCTCCTCCAATTACTGCTAAAATCATAGCAGACTCAACAGCTTTTATCAGCATGGTGATAATCTAAGAGCTTCTACATGCTCTACGTTCAACACTCTTGCAGCCTATCCATTTACAGCGTCCAACCCACTTGCTCAAAAAGGCACTTGCGTGTGATATTTTGATTCTGGTTTAGACAATTCTTGCCTTTTGCTGCTTTTGGCTCCTTTCCCACTTCTATTCGCTTCAACTATTCTGCTATTCAACTGTTTTACTGCTCTAATCTTTCTATTTCTTTCTTCTTAGTCTTGTAGAACTGACGTTTACTCCACTGAGTTTGCAGCAATAACATAATCTACCACTCGCAAAAACCCCTAATTTCTCATAGGCATTTCTTCGATCTACCATGTTTAAATTGCTTTTGATAAGTTCCTTTTGAATTTCATTTAGGCAATTTTGCTGAAACAATTCCACCCAGACAATGCCATTTAGTCTGATCCGGTTTGGATTCATTTTAATCTTATTTGATTCCGTTCTAGTTTATCCTGTTTTAATTGGTCTCCTTTTCGCTTACTTCCATTCTCTCTTGTCCTGAGAAATTGCTTTTGATGCTCAACGCTGATTTCCAGTGCAAGCTTCGGTTTCAGCAGTTTCAGTCCTATTTTTGCTATTAACCCAATACTCCTATTATTGGTGCTGCTCACACCATTAATCCTATAATTCAGTAAATCTCAAACAAAGTTGGGAAATAAACAGGTTGTAGTTTGGTGTTATTCTTAGAAGCAGCAAGTGGCTATTCTTAGTAGTTCCACGGATATTACTGGAAAAGCAACAAAAGTCAAAAGAAATGAATAAGGCACTGGAAAAACTCAAACCCCTTTGCATCTTCTTCCATCACACTGGGTCTGGTTTTCTTTTCCTTTTTTTTTTCTTTTCCTTTTTTTTTCTTTTTGTTTCGTTGCCTTTTGTTTCATTTATTGATATTCTTTTTTGGTTACATGCCTATCACTGCATGCTGCGGTGTGATAACACGTACCTCATCGCTGGTCTCACAACCAGCCACGCGGATCCAATTGCACGTGATTTTAACTCACAATTGTCACTTGTCCCAATAAAGAAATGGGACAGGGTCCGGATTTGGAGGTGGAACAATTGTGCAATTCTCCCAATTGTTGCTTCATGAGTTATTGTTGGTGTTATGTGTTTATATATCCCTACTATTTTCCTATTATATACGTCTTTCTTGCTACATTCTTATGACTTTTGTATTATATTTGTAACTAACTCCATTCTATCACTCGACTCATGGGCCTCTAAGTGCAACTTCTTGTTTCCTCCATCCTCCACTCTCTTTATTCTTTAACCCAAAATGGCCCTTTCTCCATGAATCTCTGCTCTTACCGGTTCTAATAGATAAGATAAAAAAACTGAGCAATTGTGGAAAGTGTGAAGAGCCTAATTCAATCTCCAATTATATATTCCTTCCACCATTATCGTTATCACTATCATTACCATCACCATCTACTAATTACTAATCATCCTGTGCTTTTTCTTTATTATATATTTATCTGTAATCACTATAATCTTAATGAATACCCATTCTCTTTCAAACAGCACGAACTAATAATGGGCTATAATATCAACTCTCTTCTCAACTCTTCTAAATCAAAAATTTCCTCAAATTCCTCTCTAGACATATTAACTTCTGAAAACCATTCAATTCTCAACCTATCTGATGAATCTTCTCCTTTACTAGCGAATTCGAACAGTCGTTTTGATAGTGTTCCTTCAAAAGATAATGGCAATGATAACGACAACAACGCGTTAGATAAAGATATTCAAAATCAACCAAAAATATACTTACTCTGTATCACTTTATTCATCTTTTATTTTGGTTTTGGCTTATCCTTATCTCCAAGAGTCGCATTATTATTAAATAAAATTTGCGAATCTTTATCTCTAGATCCATCTTTCATTCCATCCTACTTATTTTCTTCTTTTCCCTTTTTTTCTCCCTCTTTTTCTTCCTCTTTGTTTTTTAACTCCTCTTTAGAATCACAATGCAATACAAAAGATGCCCAAGTTCTCGTATCAAGACTAGAATCAGTAATTAACATCCTCATGGCTTCCTCTACTGTCATAATTTCCGGAAAATTTGGTCATTTATCTGATAAATTCGGTAGAAAACCTCTTATCTTATTCAATTTGTTCATGGCTATTCTCTCAAAATTCCTAGTAATTTACAACTTATTACCAATCGATTTCAATCAATTTGATGATACAAACCCCTTGAGTCTTTTCAATGGCTCAACATTCAATTCCTTCTTCTACATCTTTGCTAAAGTATTCGAATGCTTTGGTGGCGGCTTACTATTCCTTCTATCTTTATCTTCAAGCTACATAACAGACTTGGTATCCGAGAAAAGTAGAACTTTTAACCTAAGTTTACTAGGTGGTTCCTTTTATAGTGGTTTGGCTTTTGGCCCCTTGGTGGGTTCATTAATTGTAAGATACTTGAATTCGGTTTCTTCAATCGACCAAATCAATAATAACTTCTTGCCTTGTTATATCGATATCTTTTTCAGTATCTTGAGTTTTTCCCTCATATTCCTATTAATCCCAGAATCAAATCCTTATTTTCTTAAAAATAAGCCAATTTCTAACAACAACAACAACAACCTTAATGATACCACAATTACCACTAATAATAACACTGAAAAAGCATCATTATATGAATCAATTATCAAAACTTTCAACATCTTCAAACCTCTTAAACTTTTATGGATCGATAAATTTCAAAACTCTCTTAACCCAAGAATTAACGTCATTTTGCTAATTATAATCGATATCTTAATCATAAGCTGCGGGACTTCTCCAATGCCCTTTATAATGTTTTATACATCATATAAACTACATTGGACCTCAATCGAAATTGGCTATTTTGTTTCAATCACAGGGTTTTCAAGGGCTATTATCCTACTATTTTTTACTCCCTTTTATTTATCCTTTTTGAAAAAAATCCTAAATTTTAAAGTAAACACAAACAAAATCGACAATATTGACAAATTCACAATCACAATTTGCTTGGTTTTTGAAACCGTTGCCGTTTCTTTAATGCTACTAAACAAAACAAAATTCTTCTACTTATCGGCTCTAATCAATGGTATTGGTGCTCTAACCACACCCACTATTCAATCAGCTATCGTCAAATATGCCATCCTATCAAGGAAAAATAAGGAAAAAATTGGTGAGATTTTCAGTGCAATGACTTTAATCAGAGGAATAGTTTCCATTGTTATGCCTAGCACTTATTTGTATATCTACTCGATTACTGTTAAATTTAACCCCAAGTTTTGCTTTTATATTATGCTCACCTTCATTACAACTGCTTTCGTCCTATCTCTCTTTTTGAAGGAAGGCTCGAAAAACTACCATGATGATTCTGCTGAAGACTTTGATAACCAGATCAACATCATTGAAGAAACCACTCAAAACACACTGCTCTTGAATAACCAAGAGATTAACGTTTAGCATTCAACGTTTTGCTAAACAACCCATTCACTCGTTGCTCTGTTATTGACTTATCTTAGACTGCATTCTTCTGGAGGACTGTAGTTTCTTACAACTTTTTCTTTTGCTATTTTTCAAACGTTTATTTATTATGATATATACTTCTATTTATGTCTATAAATCTATACACTACTATACACTTCTATACACCATTACTATCTGTAGCATCCTTATATTCTTCTCTACTTTGAGAATCTCAGTTGAGCTCAAAAACTGCGCATTCCTTCCATTGCTAGTTCAGTCTCTTGCTTTTCCCCACAGATTGCTTCTTTCAGATAAGATCATACATTTATCTCTATTGATTGCTGAATTTCCCAATTGAACCGATCCACCATTTACACCAGCATTTACCATCAGTGAAAAATCAAAGAAAAAATCAAAGAAAATATCACAAAAAAACCCACCACAAATATCTCAAACACACTAAGCTTATATCTATAATCCACCAAACTCATCACTCACTGCATTTCCATGTACCATACTCAGACTCTTTGCTCTTTCTAATGTTTGCTAAATTGTTCACATAAGAATTTGGGCACTATATAGGTATAAATAACTGTTCAAATAGAATAAATATAATATATATATATACATAGTACTAAATGGAACTATCAATTTCGTTTAGATAATTTATTCAAGTTTTATAGAAGAACATTTTCTTATCCATTGCTTTCAAATATTTTCTTCGCTAAAACTTTCACTAGCCCTGGAAAAATGCCCACTAATGTTCTATATAATTATAACTTTAATGGATAAAAAGGTGAAAAAAAACAAATAAATCCATGAGTGTAGGTGAATTGAAAATTTAAAAACCAAGTAAAAAATTGAACATACCAAGTTAGTTGTATAAATTTAGTTATACTTTAGTATGTGATTTCAGAACTGATTTTCACTTGACTATTTTTATTTATTAATCCAGATATTTACGTTTAAGAGGGTTTGAGTTAGTAGTTGGAATATTTGAAGGTAACGGAGATAATGGAGAAAAACAAGTCAAATCTTTGATAAATTGTTGCTTATCCACAAATTGACAATTTTGAATTTCTACCAATAATTTTTTTTTTTTAGAATCAGTTTTGAATAGATTTTTAACCGACAGAATCGCATCATCATTCTCATTATTTTTAGATTTGAGATCAATTTTAGGTTTTTTCAATGAAGGTTGTTGTTGTAAAGCCCAATATGGGATTTTTTCTTTTTCCTTTTCTTTTGTATTCTGATTCGAAGTAGATTTCATAGGATCTAATTTTGCCTTTAATTTTTGAAAATCCACTTCTGATTTAATTTGAGATGAAGATGAAGATAAAGATTGGAGGTATTTTTTATCAATTTGTTTATGGACGGAATTGTTGCTACTTTTATAGCTATATCTTTTTTGTCGATCTGAGGGACGGAATCTATCATTATTATATTGATTTTGTTTATAGCTCAGATACGGTTGAGTATTTAAATTGCTATTTTTATAATAATGAGTATGATTGTTATTGTTGTTATTGTTGTTGTTATTATTATTGTTATAGTTATAATTTTGATTGTAGTTATAATTTTGGTTTTGGTTTTGGTTTTTTAAAGTCTTTTCAGATAATTTTTTTTCTTCATTATATCTTTTAATGTCCATTTCATGAGACTCTTCAAAGGATTTAAAGTCATATGGTTTTGAAGGTAAAGGGTATTCTTTAAAATAAGGATGATTTAAAGCTGCTTCACAGTTATATCTTGTTTTAGGATTCAAATCTAGTAGTTTTGATAATAAATCGATAGCATTTTTGGATAGTGCAAAGGGTTTAAAGAAATCATTGAGATTACTTTGATATGTTGTTAAGATGATTTTATTTGGATTAGGAAGTTTTGAGTAGTAGTCTAATAATTTTTTATTATCATTTGAAAAGCCCATTAGTTCGAATATTTTAATTCCTTGGTCCATATCTGAAGCGCCTTGAAGTATTGGTTTTTTGTAATATAACTCACCAAAGACACAACCTACACCCCAACAATCGATTGCTGTTGTGTATAGAGAGTCAAAGAATAATAATTCTGGAGCTCTATACCATCTTGTGACCACTAAAGAAGTGTATTTACAAGTAGTTGTTGAAGCATGGTTGTCTCTAGGTAGATCACCTTTGTAGTGTCTAGCTAAACCAAAATCGGCAATTTTAAGGACGTTATTATAATCGATTAATAGGTTTGCAGCTTTGATATCTCTATGATATAATTTTTGATGATGTAGATAGTTTAAACCTTCTAGTAGCTGGATCATGAAACATTTTTTGACATTTTCATTTAGAGTGATTCTAGGATTTTGTAGTAAGCCGGTTAAATCACTTGACATGTAAGGAGTTACCATGTAAAAGACACCAGGTATCGAGTTATTGGAGTTTTCGTTATTATTTTCGCTATTATTATTTTCGTTATTGTTATCGTCGAAAGAGTTGTTGTTGTTATTATTGTTGTTTTTATTGTTGTCTCTATCAATTAAACTGTTAGTTTTATTAACATCATAGTCGTTATCATTATAGTCAAAATTATTAATTGATATATTTAAATTTGAATTTGAATTTGAATTTGAGTTTGAGTTTAAATTTGAAGTTATAGCTATACTAGGATTATTAGGATTATTAGGATTATTAGGATTGATATGTTTTCTATTATGGATTTTCATTGCGGATATTGAGGGCTCATAGACCATATCTACCAACTGGATTATATTTTTGTGTTTTAATTTTTTTAAAATAGTGATTTCTCTTAGTGAAGTCAAGGGAAAGCCATCATCTTTTTTATGAACTATTAGTTTTTTAAGAGCCACCAATTTACCAGTTTTTTTTTGTTTGCATTTGGTAACGGTACCGAATGTTCCTTCGCCTAGTTTACTCAAGTTGAGATAATCGTTTATGTTCGACATTCCATAGAAATCCTTTTGATACATGAATATAGAGTCAGCGGTAGGGCTGGTTGTGAAGCTTATGGAAGTGTTGATTATTGACTGCTTTAACAGGTCCAAGTTGCTGAGAGGACGAAGCTTTGAATGGCTCAGTTGCTTCAGCTGTTTCAGCTGTTTAGCAGCAAACACATTGTGATTTGGATGGAAATGAGGCACTGGAGAGGAAGAGGGCGAGAGAGGAAGAGTAGCAATGGGCAGGTCTTTGGTGGCAATGATGGGCTTTTTGAGGGAGTATGGGTTGCGAGAAGGAATAGCAGCAGAATCTGCAGTGGCAGTAGAGGCACTAAGGCTCTTGAGTGAGAGCTGTGTGTTATTGGAGATCATCGTGGTGTTGACGAAGAAGCACAGGAAGAAGAGGAAGAAGCTGCTGTTAAAATTGCCACCGGATGCTCACGTGGTACGCCGAGCCAGTACTGCGGAGCCGCCGAGTGCGGACCAAGAGAAGCAGAAGAAGCAGAAACAAAAGCAGAAGCAGCAGAAGCAGCAGAGATGGAGCAAAACCACTACCATGTGTTGGGCGTGGCCAGCGACGCCGACGCAGCGCAGATCAAAGCAGCGTACAAGCACCAGTTATTCGAGCACCACCCAGACAAGGCTGGCAGCGCTGGCGACGACGCGATTCCCAAGATCCAGCAGGCCTACCAGGTGTTGTCGAGGCCAGAGCAGCGAAGGAGGTACGACGAGAGGCTTGTACAGCAGATGAAGCACCGGGGGGTGGTGAGCGACGGCGACGGGTTGGACGTGGTGGATCTCGACTCGTTTAGTGTGCTTGAGGACGAGATGGTGTGGGTCCGGAGCTGCCCCAGATGCCGCAACAAAGAGGGCATGGTGCTCGCCGAGGAGGACTTGGAGAACAATGCTTCTCACCAGCACAGCGATAGTGCTTCTCGTGACAACGACAACGACAACGAGTACAGCATCGCAGTCCAGTGCAGCTCCTGTAGCTTGTGGGTCCAGGTTCGCTACTTCGACTCCATGTGATGCCCCAATCAGGAACATCTTATAATGCTTTCTCCATCGTCTTCACCATCCAGCAACAGCACCTTCAGCACACCATGAACAAAGTAGTTTTTCCCAGGCCCAACAGCTTTCTTTTGACTTTTAATACACAATCCATACGTCTTTCTTCTAACTCCCCCGATTTTGATGAATCCTTGCTCAGCTTTCTCCTCAAACCAACTGCCCGAAAATCATCTCCAAAGAAAGCTCTTCAAAAGGAAACAGAAGCTAATCGCCAGGAAAAAAGCAGAATAAGATTCCACGATTTGAAAAAATTCGATAAAAAGAATTTCAATAACGCTCTAGAACTAATTAAATTCTCAAAAAACAACCATCCCTCGTTATTCGATTTAAAATTTCCAATCTCTGATTCCGAAAAGAAAATTGTGACCAATGATCTCTCAAATTTATTGAATTTGATCAACCTACCAAAGGCCTCTTTAAACGACTCCTCAAATTTACTATACAAATCGCATTTCGATAACATTTTTAATAATATCAACGATATTAAACAAATCAAAAAGAAAAATCAAAATCAAAATCAAAATCAAAAACTAATTGATGACAAGTTCTATCTCAATTTAAACCCGGTAAATTTAGATTTATATGTTCAATCCACCAAAAACGAGGATGAATTATTCCACATATTTACCATTTTTTTTCTTAATAAAAAGATTCATTTGAAATTTTTATTACAAATAATATTCAATCCTAATTTCAAAAATGTTAATTATGTTAACATCATTTACAATGAAATTAACAACTTCATTTCCAATGACAATAACAATAACAATAACAATAACTCTAACATGAAACAATCTCAAAAGGATAAAAATCCTTTGCTATCTTGGGACTACAATGTCGATTCAATAACCTTTCAAGTAGCCATCATGCTGAAATACTACTCTTTAGGCCATTATAAAGATTGTAAATACCTATTCAATTTTTATTTCCTGAATAAATGGCTACCGTACTTATCAAATATCCACGAAAACTATATCAATAAGTTATCTTTACGCTGTGAAAGAAAAATATGGAGACACTACATTTTATACAATAAAAAACATATCGACTCATCTGATCACAATCTTAACCCTAATAACAACCAATTTTTAAAACTAATGAAAGAAAATAATCTTGATAACAACTTGAAAACTCTATTCTTATTATTCGAAGCATTACCAAAAGTATTTTTGAAAACTGAAATTACAAACAATTCAAAAATTATTAAAAATCCCTTTTCACCATTTTTCAATCAGCTACTAACTTTATTCAATAACTACTATCAATCCAATATTAACACTTTAAACAATTTCGATAACTTTAATTTGATAACTGAAAAACAAGTATTATTAATCAATTTAATCACTCAGTTGGCGAAATCTCCCAATAGTATCCCTCATAATTACCATGAAATAATATCTCGATTGCAATTCATCTCAATAAAATACAGTATTTCAATTGATAATAAAAATTTGTACGATCTAAATAAAATAATTAATTCATATAGAAATTTAACTTCTAAAAAATTCAATATTATCAAGAAAAACAGCTTCTTGAAAAGAATCTTCGCAATGCCTTATAAAAATTCAAATAGTTTTTTCAATAATTCAGATTCAAAAACAAAGTCAGACTCAGACTTAGGCTCAAAAACAATCCAAGTAACAATCAATGGTAAAGTTCAATACTTAGACGATATGACTGTTGACAATAACAAATTGCATTTAAAGAAAAATTCAATCACACACAATGAGTTGTATAAATCATACAAAAAAAACGATCAACAGTTTAGAAATGAAATCATCCAAATCAATTCGCTCATCAAAGATAAGGAAATCAATTCCATAATCGAAACCTATATATCCAAACGCAACGAGAATGTCTATAAAAACATTGAAAAGGAAGCAAACTCCTCTGAAAGCGACTCTGATGAGACTGCTTACAAGTTTGCTTAGTTTCCTATATTTATTTTTCGTACATAGTCAAATAAACATATACACACAACCGCCAAAAGCTACAAACACCTCAAAAACAGCAACAAAGAAAAGTGCTTGAAAGCAAAAAAGAAGGTCGTGCCCGGATTCGAACCGGGGTTTATGGAATCAGAATCCATTGTGTTAAACCTCTACACTACACAACCTGAGTGTTCGTAAGCGGAATTGCAGTATAATACTTAAAAGCTAAATTTTATCTTTCAGTCGGGTAATAGAGAAAAAAGTTTCTGATTTATATATTTTAGAAGATTTTTCACTATTTTTTAATCGAATTCTCATCAAAGGCGAGCTATTGCAAGGAACCTTCCATCACTATCGATTACTGTGTTGTACCACATCATTCAAATATGTCTTCTGAACCAAATCCAAAGGCCTTTCCATTGGCTGACTCTTCATTGTCACAACAGATTTTAGACGTTGTTCAACAAGCTCAAAATCTAAGACAGTTGAAAAAAGGTGCAAATGAAGCAACAAAAACTTTAAACAGAGGTATCTCTGAGTTCATTATCATGGCTGCTGATACTGAGCCAATTGAAATCATTTTGCACTTGCCATTGTTGTGTGAAGATAAAAACGTTCCTTACGTTTTTGTTCCTTCAAAATTGGCTCTTGGAAGAGCCTGTGGTGTGTCAAGACCTGTTATTGCTGCCAGTGTCACCACTAACGAGGCTTCTTCAATCAAATCGCAAGTGTATGCTGTTAAAGATAAAATTGAAACTTTACTTATTTAATTTTATTTATTAAGGTAAATGTCATTAATGGCTAATTATATAAATATAGAGCTTATTCACTTTTCCTAGCTTTTTTTTTTTTTCTCTTGGCATATTTAATTATAGTTACAATAATAAATCATCCATTTTATTAATTAGTTCTTTTTCCTCTTGAGTAAAATTACAGAGAGTTTTAAATTCTTTAGAAGAATCGATGTATGATTGTAAAATCGTTCCATCAACTAGATTCATAAGCAGTTTCATTTGATTAGTTTTCGATATGGATTCATTAACTGGATATCTAAAAGATTTCAATCTTTCCTTGTAATTGATATCGTTTGAGGATTCTTGTTTTAAATTTTTAATTTTTTCTTCAATTGATTTGAGTTTTTCAACCAATTGAGGATTTTCAATAAGGCTCACTAAAAAGATTCCGCCATTAACAGATCCTAAGATTGAAATTGGGGTTATTTTTTGTGTGATTTCGGGTTCGATTTCGGGTTCGATTTCGATTTCGGATTCAATTTCATATCCGAATTCATTTCCGCTATCACTTTCAGGTTCATTTTGGTTTCGATTTTGTCTTTGATTTTCAATATCATCTTCACTTTCGTTTTCATTCTCATTTTCATTTTCATTTTCATTTTCATTTTCATTTTCATTTTCATTTTCATTTTCATTTTCATTTTCATTTTCATTTTCATTTTGATAATTTAAATAGTTTATATCTTGAGCAGCTGGTTCCGATGCATTTTTGTTTTTGTTGATGTTTTTTATCAACTTTAGAATGGTTTTTTTTAAAAATAGTACATTATTATTTGAGCTAGCCTTTGCCACGATATTAATTCTATCGCCGATATTGAACATAGATAAAGTTTTTCCGGTATTTATCATTTCAGAAGAGTAATATTCAATACAGAAGTTGTTATTTCTGTCAACTATTAGATATAAGCTATCGTTTATGCTAATGCTGGAAGTGGAATTTAGAATATTTCCGTAGTGGAATTTATTGAATTCAATTCTAACAGGTTGATCTAAATCTTCGGTTTCGGGGTTATGACTTGTGTATTCGATTAGAGCGACTTTAAAGTACAAGGGCCCATTAAAAATGTCAGTTGCAACGATAAAGCCATTTGACTCATCAAAGCAATCGATTTTGGAGAAAATTCTTGGTTTTAATTTTTTATCGTAAATTTTTAGGAGGTAGAATGAGTTTTTTTGGGAATTGTAAGCCAATTTGAAGGCGGTTAATGTGTCTCTGATGCATAGTATTATTCTGTTTGAGTAGTTCAATAGACCGCCAGTTAAGCTCATTTTTAGGTCGGTGTTGTGGATTGTTTCTGATTCGAGCAATATTATTCTTTTGATTAGATGGATTGAAAAAATGATAATTTTGAAACCTGCTTCGTTTTTGTTGTAGTTACAGCATGAGACGAGAAATAAGTTTTTCATTTTCATTTTTAGCCATGTTGGGGTTGTGTCATGAAAGGTGGATTTCAAATCGACTGAGAGAAGATGTTTGAAGTTTGCTCGTTCAATGTCTGTGACGACCCAGCCATCTTGTAGATTGTAGGAGTGTAGTATTTTGAAGTTGTCAAGGTCGAGTAGTATTAGCTCAGTGAATTTGATCGACTGGTAAGTGTTATGGTTGAATTTTTCCAGTAGTAGGACGAGAACGGCTAATCTGAGGTCATCTAAGATGAGAAATTTGATGATGAATTTTTTAAAAAACAAGGTGTTGTGAACGTTTTTGAAGGCGATTAGTTGTAAATTTTGTGATGTTGTTGAGATGGTGTTTGTGAATTTATTGAATTCGATTGTGTTATCATTTTTGCAGGAAATAAAGTAATTATTATTGTTAGTATTGTCAGTGTTGTCAGTGTTGAATTGGATTAGATTGATTGATTTGATATCGGATATTGTTAGTGAGCCGAATTTAAATGGAAAATGAGATTGAGAATGGTTGGTGAGGTTTTGTTGTGTGATTATGGTAGATAAGTAGTTTGTATTTTCGGATAAAATGTAGAAGATGTTTGGAGAGTGGAATTGGTCTATTAGAGTTATTTTGTTTTGATTGAAATTGAAAGTTTTAAAGATTGATATATTGAGATTGGAAAGTGAGTTTAAGTTTGAATTGAAGAGGGAGTAGATGATGTTGCCTTCGTTAGTGGATGAGATTAGGTAGATGGTGTTGTTGTTGATGATTTTAAAGATGAGTGAGTTTAGAGTGATTTCGAAAGTGAAAGATTTGAATTGGTAGGAGTTGGAAAGGGAGTGAAATTTGATTAGAAAGAGAGAGCCCTCCCAGTTGGATACGGCTAGTAGGTAAGTAGAGTCGGATAGGGGAGTGCAGTTAAAAGAGGATATTTCGCCGAGGTGGGCGTTGGTTGAGAAGGAGGAGGATTGAAGAGGTGGGTTGTTGGAAGAGTGTTTATGGATGAGAGTGAAGGTGTGGTTGTGAAGGTAAATGACTTCTGCTGTTTTGAGGATGATGGGGTTGCAAGTCAAGTTTGTGGGCAACTTTTGGTTGAAAATCAAGGTATAAGCCGATGGGTCGAGATAGTGGGAGTGGATATTGAAGATTTTCAAGTTTCGAGAGGTTATTATAACTAGGCGATTTAAAGAAGAAAAGAATTTAATGTCCAATAAAGATTCTGGTTCAGATGGGTTAATTGAGATGAAGGAAGATAAGAAGTGGTTTTTGGTTTCGGATAAAAGTATGTCATTTGAGTATTGAGATAGAGTGAGAGAGGGAGGTGTAGTTTGGGGTGTGCTGGTAGGAATAGGTTGAGATAGAGAGAAGAAGGAAAGAGATGAGTTGGAATTGAGGATTAGCAAGTCGAAGTGGTCGAGGTAGCAGTAATTGAGATTGAGATTGAGATTGAGATTGAGATTGGAGTTTGGGGAGATGGAGAGAGAGATTGAGGAAGAGATGCCCTTTGAAAGACGGTTGAATTCGCCGGATTGGGTGCCGCCGGAGGAGTAGTAGATGGTGGTGAGATGGAAGTTGGAGGAGGCAAGATGGATGATTGGGGGGCTGGAGAAGGAGAGGAAGCGGGTGATGTTGATAAAAGGGTAGAAGGGCGATAGGGTGAAGAGTAGGGACTGGGAGAGGTTTGAAGTGGCCAAGAAGGAGGTGTTGGAGAGAGAGAGAATGTGGTTGGCGATGGTTAGCTTGCCGAGGTTGGTGAAGAGAAACTTTTCGACCGATAGAGAGGGGCGGTTGTTGTGTGGGTTGGGAGAGGAGAGGATTTTGAGATAGAGGAGGTAGAGATCGCCATTGGAGGAGTTGAGGATGATTTTGACGTCGCCGTTGGAGCGATCTTCGTGGAGGAGGTTGTAGGAGATGGCGTTGATGGGGAGAGCACTTGTAGAGGAAAAGCGAATGTAGGAGTAGTTGGCAGTCGAAAAGAGGGAGGGATTGGGAATGCTGCGAGTGAAAGAGATGGTGGTGTCGGGGGAGAGAGGAAAGAGGAAGAAGTGGTTCTCGGAGAGGAGTAGACAGGCGTTCAGCGAGGCCAATTCGATGAGTAGTTTGGAAGGGAGCTCATTGAGACTGTTCATGAAGGGGAACAGGACCAGGCGGGAGAGGATGAGAGCATTGCTGATGTTGAAGAGGGAGAGAGCGAAGGAGTGGTTGTGGAAGGTGATCAAGGCGAGAGTGGTGCTGCGGAAGAGGGCGTGGGCGTAGATGGAGGTGGTGCCAATGGAGGCGACGACGGGATGGGGATCGAAGACGAGGTCGTTGTGAAGGCGGTAGAGGCGCACAATGGAGCTGGAACAGATGAGGAAGAAGGCGCCGAGGGGATCAGCGAGGAGGAAGGAGCTGGTGTCGAAGGAGGAAGAGGGGACGTTGAGGAGCGAGGGAACGAGGAGCGAGTGGTGGACGAGGAGCTGGGTGTGGTGGAGGACAAGGAGCGAGAGGGTGCCGGAGTGGGTGAGGAGGAGGAGCAGCAGCGGCAGGAGCAGCACCAGGTCGAGGAAGAGGTCGTGGAAGAGGTGCACAGCGAGGGGTCTGGCGGCAGAGGCAGCAGCAGCAGCAGGAGCGTAGACCTCGAGGGTGTTGATCTTGCAGAGGACCAAGGAGGAGGAGGAGGGGGAGGAGCTCACAAAGGCCTTGAGCACCGCCGAGGGCAGCTGGAGTTGGGTCAACACAAAGGCCATGGGGAAAGTGCTTCTTCTGCTTCTTCACCATGGCTTCTCTTGACCTTTTGGTGGACGCCTGCATCGTGTGCCAGACGCTGGTCAAGTATCCTGCCTCCGTTACGAGGATCAAGTGTGCTGCGTGCCACTCCAAGTTCTACGTTGGCTCTGCTGCTGCTGCTGCTGCTGCTGCTGCTGCTCCTCCTCCTCCTCCTCCCTTGTTGTTGTCCACTGTCCAGCAACTCATCAGCGACGCCATTTGCTCGTTAGGTCAGGAAAGTGCTGCTGCTACTGCTTCTGCTGCCATCACAGTCAATGGCTCTCGTCTCAACGACTCCTTTCGTGACCTCTGCTTCTATCTCTACAAATGCTTCAACTCACTCCACTGTCTCAACACCTCCTTCACCACCAACAATGCTCCGGTGTCTCACTCCCACTCAAACGTCAACTACCACCAAATAGCACACTTCTTCAACCTCATCCTCTCTCTACCCACAAAGAAACCCTTCTTCATCGTCCTATCTGCCCTCAACAACCTCCTAAAATCCTTTCCCACAGCCCTCACCACCATCACCTCAAACCCAACCAACCTACGCTTCTTTCTCATCATCTTGCAACTACCTTCCCTCCACTCGTCGCTCCTAACAAACACCTCCTCTCCTTCAAATAATCTTCTCGTTCTCTTCAACAGAACAGAAATCAAGTCCCTCAGCTTCCAAATCTTGTCCAGGTCTCTAGGTCTACTAAGCAACCTCAACCAATTCTCCATCAACTACCTTGCCAATTGGTTCTCCAGATTGTCTCTCAACCACTTTACCCAGAAAATTGACCTTCTCAATCTATACATCAACCTAATCCTAAGACTACACATCAATTCAATCCCAACTCAATCCCATCATCAGTTCACAAACAACTCCTCCTTATCCCTTTACTCTCTACACTCATCCCAAGACTCCCTCTCTTCTAACGACAAATTCCTCTACACAAACTCTCTATCAATTGATACACCATCTCACCAAAACAACACCACCACAAATCTCTCAAATCTCTCTCCTCAAACACCATCCTCTTCTGCTTCTGCTGCTTCCCAAAACTCATTTATCCCTCTACCTCTATCCACCCTATCCAGATTATCCACCTGGGGCTCTCCCTTCTCTTCTCAAAGGAAAAACAACCTTCCTTTCTCAATTACAAAAACAATCCCCATATCCAAATATTCCCACGACTGGAGACTAAAAGCAGCCTCAAAAGTCCTATCCTACTTCTACACCGCCAATATCAACAACTCAATCTCAAATGGCCTCCAGAAATGCCCTTCTTCCTTCTTTTATAACACCTTTGTCGACTTTATTCACTTCAAACAAGACTTTGACACATGGCAAAACTCCTCATCCAACAACAACAACAACAACAACAGCAACGACAATTACATCAACCAAATCATCTTATCCATAAACAATCCCTCTCCCAACAAAAATTCTTTCACCTTTTGTCAATACCCTTTCCTTCTTTCTTTAGCCGCTAAAATCAAAATCCTAGAATACGAAGCAAAACGCCAAATGCAAAATGAAGCCGAACAAGCATTTATAAAATCCATTGACAAAAAAACTTTCATAGACGTTGTCTTTAAAATTAGAGTGCGAAGAAACTTCATCACCACTGACTCCCTCTTTTCCATCAAAAAACATAAAAATGACTTGAAAAAATCCCTTCGTGTCGAATTCATTGGCGAATCTGGCCTTGATGCTGGCGGCTTGAAAAAAGACTGGTTCCTTCTCCTAACAAAAAACCTATTCAACCCAGAAAACGCAATGTTCTTCTTTAGCGACGAATCAAATCTCACATGGTTCACCCTAAAACCTATCGACAATAACTACGAACTATACCACCTAGTAGGCGTCGTCCTCGGCCTAGCCATCTACAACTCAACAATCCTAGACTTGAACTTTCCCTCAGCCTTGTACAAAAAACTACTCAACAAACCAGTAAACATAAACGACTATGCTATCCTATATCCCCAAACTGCCCACGGTCTAAATGCCCTACTAAACTACAACAACGACGACTTTGAAGACATCTTTTCTCTATCCTTTGTTGTCACATACAAAGACCTATTCGGCAACATTCTAACAGCTGATCTAATCCCCAATGGCTCAAACATAAACGTCACCAACAAAAATAAACATCTATACGTTCACAAATACGTCGACTTCTTCTTAAATAAGGCAATCCATCTCCAATTCAATGCCTTCAAATCTGGCTTTGACAACGTTATTAACGGAAATGCAATCTCCCTATTTTCCTGGGATGAAATCCAACTACTACTCTGTGGTTCCGATGAACAACATGGAAAACTAGATGTCGTATCACTAAGACGAATCTCAAAGTACAACGGATGGGACTCAGTTCAACAAGCACAAAATAGCAACGTCGTTAACTGGTTCTGGCACTATTTCGAAAACTTAAGCTACCTCCACCAGAAAAAATTATTGCTCTTCGTAACTGGCTCCGATAGACTCCCAGCAATAGGAATCACTTCCCTTAATTTCAAAATCACAAAATTAGGCGACGATTCAAATAACCTACCAATAGCTCACACTTGCTTCAACGAAATCTGTCTCTACGAATACTCATCAGAAGAAAAGTTTCTTCAAAAATTAGAATTTGCAATTTTTGAAAGTGAAGGTTTTGAATTGAAATAACAATCCTATTCCTCCCACTTCATATTCTCTACTTTTAATTCCCTACTTATATCCTACTTCTATTATATTTGATCGAGTTTGGTTTCTTTTTCTTTTTTTTCTTTTTTTTCTTCTTTTTCTTCTTTTTCTTTTTTTAAACACACTCAAAACGTATTGTATACTCAGCTTTTTATATAAACAGCTAATAACTTATCCATTTTCCAAACTTCTTATAATCACCATAAATCTTTTTATAATAAATCCGCCCTGTATTATCCAACAAAGAATTAACCATAATCAATTCATCTTGAGTTAATGCATCAAATACAACATACATTCCTTCATTTATCTTGTTTTTATGCTCGTTTTTTCGAAATTGGTAATTCAAACTAATATAAATAAAATTAACTAAAAACGAAACCAAATACTTTCTAAGAGATCCCTTAATCAAATTAGACGCCGAACTCAATTGAATTGACTCATTTTCTTTCTTATTCTCATTCTTATTCTTACTTCTACCCTCAGGTTTACGGTTTTCATTTGATGGCTCACATAAATTAGACAACAATCTATTGAACGACTCCACACAATTATCAGAACTCGAAACAACCCTGTTATTCGACTCATTTGAAAAACATTCCAATAATGATTCAAAAACTTTTATAATCAAATGATTTCTATCATTTAATCTGAATCGGTGATTGTTCAAAATAATCGATAAATTTCCTGTAATCCCAAGATAAATTTCTTCATTCAACTCGCTATCAGACTCAATTAATATCAACTTGTTGGCTAAATTGCTTAGTAAAATTATCACCATTTCAAATAAATATTGACTAATCATCCATCCGTTTTCAGTCAATGACATTCTAATAGTTTTCAAAATCTTTAATATTACTTCCTGCTTTATATTTGAAAATGGATCAACCAAATCATTTTTGTCTCTCATCACCTTTGCACTCTTGAAAATTATGTTTCTTTCATTTTCTAAAATGGAAGAAAAACTCTGAATTGCCAATTTGCTATAATTGAAATTTTCATTGTGAGTTTCTTTTCTATATTTTGAAACCCTTTTATATAGCTTTATTAGTATATCATATTGATATCCCAAAAATTTAAAACTGCTTTCACTATCTGTATCGTTTTCCGCTTTTTCATCTTCTTTCACTTGAAATTCCTTAATTGACTTATTTACAAGAATAATTAATTTAACACAATTTAAAAAAGTCACTTGAACATTGATATATTCATCCAATCCAGAATCCAACAATAATAGTCTCTTGCTCAAACTTTCAAAACTATTTCCACCTTTATTGTTTTCCAAGCCTTCTTTTAAAACAGAATACATGCTTAAAATGTACAATCCATTTCTCAGCTCATTATCATCAAAATCATCACTAAAAATTTTGCAATATAATAAAAACAAATTAATTTTTAAATCAAACACTTGTGTTTCGTTAAACCCATTCGCGTCTAACGCATTTATGTTTAATGTTGAAATAAATCTCAAAAGTTCCTTTTTTGATTCTTTTGAAACAAACTTCCACTTTAATTCAAAAAGACATCTTGATGTCCAAATCAAATTTTTTAAATCAAGTATTGTTTTAATACCGGATTTTGCAGTCAAAGAGAATGAGCTATAACAGAAATTGAATAAATTTTCTTCTAAATTATCAAATCCTTTAATCTTTTGAAAAGCTTTCTCATTTTTACTTTTTAAAATAACAGATCCAACAAATAACTCTGCTCTAAACTTGTTTCCACATTTTGAGTAGGCCTTGTTTAATTCTTTAGTTAACTTTTTCATTAATTTTCGAGAATCTTCAAATTGGTCTAAGTAATTATTCCAGACACTTTCCACTATTTCATTATTTAAAACAGTTTGTTCATTCAATACTTTGTAACTGTTTAAATTCTTGTTCATTGTTTTATATAAATCAGTTAATGAGCCATCTTGATTAGTTTCTAATTTAGATTTAAAAGTGGGAAAAACCAAAAGCTTTTTGATAAAAATTTTAGAATTTCGCAATAAATTTATAAAACACACATTTTCTTGAGAAGAGTTAATTTGTTCGAACAAACTAATATTGTTGGTTATCTCATAGCAAACATTTAATAGTTTTATTCTTTGTTGTTTTTTAAAGCAATTTATAGGAATTTTATTTAGTATCACTAAACAACTATTCGATAAAACAAAAGCTTCAAGTTTGGTTATTAAATATTCATAATTTGTATCTATCAATTTTTCAATTATTCTTGTCTGTTCAAATATTAAATCATTTTGAAAAATTTCAATATTTTCATTAGTATACTTTTCCTGGAACAATGCATCTATTAGTTGTTTTTGGTTTTCATCATTTGCAAAATTTTCAACCAAAATAAAAAATCTTTGAAACACAATATCTAAACAAGGTTTGTCATTACTAAAAAGGCTAAGAAGGAAAGATAATAAAGAATCAAAATCAATTCGAGTAGAATTATCACCTATAACTATATTCGGAAATATTTCAATAATTCTGAGTGTAGTCCAAAAGAAATTTGAGGGTAAAAGCTGATTTTGTTTTATAAGAAAATTTATCTTCAAAATTAACAATTTTAAATTTATCGTTTCATTAGCAAAAGAATCTATATTTGAATCAACTTCTAATGATATAAATTCATCAAAATCATCGTAAATATATAATAGGTTATAAAATAATACCCAGATATAGTTATTTATTATTAAAAATTTATCATTGGAAAGATTGATAATTGAATTGATAATATTTACAAAATTTGCTTTTAGCTTTTTGATAATACTGGAATTTTTAAGATTGAATTGATAGTTATTATTAAAAGAATCTAGTATTATATTTGTTAGGGATATATTTTTTTTAAGAATTTTAAAAAAATCAGATTGGTCATCATTAGATTGGTTATTTGAAATAAAATTAATGAAATTCAATATATCAGAAACTAAAAATGATGATAATGATTCCAATTGATTTACAGAAAGTTTATTTATATTCTGAGTTATTATAGATAAATTGCTTGGATTGTTTATTAGGGATTCATCAATGAGCATAAAATGAGAAAATATTTTTATAAAGTCAGTAAATGAGTTTAGTGAGATATAATTGTTGAGAATTGTTAGAAATAGACAATCAACTTGATCCTTTGTAAAAAAAGAAGGTGAAGTTGAGTTGGAAATATTAAAAAATAATAACCTTTTAAATATAATTGGAGAATAGGTGATACTTAATTTTGGATTGAAATTTAATATGGTTTGAATAAAATTAAGATTAATATTGTTATTTATGTCGTGATCGGTATAATCTAGAAATTTTTTAAATAAATCAAATTGAATTTGATATTGATTCGGACTGCAGAAATTTGTTAGTGATAACTCATTTTTAGATGAAAATATTTGCAAATTTAATAAATTTTCTAAAAAATCATAAGAAAATTCAATATTTTTGTTGAAAGAAATTAAATTTCTGGGATTTAAGATGGAATTATTTTTAATTAAATCGATCACGTATGAATATAGAGAACAAGATAAAGAGGAATCTGAAGTGCTCAAAGACTCTTTTTCTTTGATTTTTTCATCTTTGTTATTATTACCATTACCATTATCATTATCATTATTCTTATTAGATAAATAATGAAAATTTAAATTAATTAAATCGAATGCAGAAAATGAGGAATTGGTTAAGATTAAGTTGGAGAAATTTTCATTTAAAGATAAATTATTTTCCAATTTGATATAATTGTTTAAATTAAACAAATGATTTATTAAAAAAGTGGAGTATAGTAAAGAAATCAAATCATTGTTGATAAGATTTTGGTTATCTGCATTTTCAGATAGTGAATTTAAAATGTCCAAAAAAACTTTAATGTTATCGAATAATTTAATAGAGGTTGTTTCATTATTGAAAAAAAATTTAAGAGTCAAGTAATTATTGAATTTTATAATAGCTAATGCATCGGGATGATTTGAATTATTGATTATATAATGGCGAGAAATTAGAAGCATATTGTAATTACATGTGTTGATAAAATTAAGTGTAAATTCCTGATTTATTGAATCGGACAACTTGTTATTTATATCAAAAATATGGTTGTATAGTCTAATGATTACTTTATAGGAATTAAATATTATTAGATCTGTGTCAATTTTATTAGTATTATTATTAATTAAATCTGAGGAAAGTTTTAGAAAATTAGCAAAAACTGAGCTGAAAAAAAAATCATTAATGTTGTGGTTAATTTGAAATTGATTTAAATTAAGTAAATTGTTGTTCAAAATATAGGATAAAACAGGCAAAAAATTGTCAACCAAGCTTTTGATGTTACTTATAACTTTATGATAATTCGCATCATTAATGTAAGACAAATCAGTTATTGAATTTAACAATATCGTTTTCAAAATATTTAGAATTTTCAAGAATTTTAGTGAATTATTTCTTTTCAAAAGTAAGGTATTTGAATTGGATGCCTTGAAAGAATCAAATAATGTGATTAAGATCTGGTAAATCCTAGGGTCCAATTTGAAATCAAAGTATTTGTTCTGATCATTGAGCCTATCAATAAGCAAATCAAGCATAAACAACAGTTTGTTGGGCAAATAAACAGTTTGGTCTGCTGAATCTGATAGAAGGTAGTGCATCAAGTTTATTATATGGTCCAAATTATAGTTGTTGGAGGCCCTGAGATACTTTGTGATTGACTGAGCAGAAGACAAGTCGCATCCAGGAAACCCAAACCCCCCATCCACCTCCATCAGCAATTCTTGAGCCATCAGCATCAATTGCACCAGCTTCAACACTCCAGCTTCAATGTTCCAGCTGCTGATTGTCTCCAGCTTTTTTTCTCAAAACCGAATCTTGAGCTGAAAAATTTCCAAATCAAAAAAATAAAATTCATCCACGTGCAAAAGCAATGACATCCCATTTGTAGAGGTGGAATAAGGGCTTTAAAGTATGTAGCTCTAATGCGACTTGTGCGCCTTGACACATACAAATACAACTGAATGCATTGGTACCTCAGCGATGGCTTGTTGTTCATTTGATCCGCCGCTGTGGGTTGAAACCCCAAAGTACAAAAGCTCATTCCTACCACTTTTGGTGCTTTTGGTGTTTTTGTTGGTATCTTTCGTGAGATAAGAAGAACCACCAGATTCTTTTTATCTTGTGCTGCCTTTGGCTGTTTTTTATATTGTTTTCTTTTATTATGGACCACTCTCGTTTTCTGGACTTCGAAGAATTCTATCCTGAAGAAAAACATCCAAGTTTGTTCGAGCAATCTCATCTCTCCTCATCACCTTCATTTTCCTCCATCTCTCGCTTATCCCCAGCATATTTAGCTGAGACTCAAGCCAAAACCAGAAAAGATAAATATCAGAAAATCATTATCTTTAGCTCGTTGTTATCCCTGATAATCTGGGGTTCCTTTTTTTTAATTCGGGCCATTTCTTTCTTTTATCAAGATTACAACAGCTCATCTTTTCTTTTAAACCAAAATCCGAATGATTACTCCAATTTAAAACGTCAGGAAATTTTAATCAACGAGATTAACTATGATTTATTCTCGGAAAACAAGGTCCCAAGTCTGCTCTTTAACGAAAATGTTATTAACGAGAGCGACTTTCAAGCGAATAGCAAAAATCAGTTATCTTTAAATTTAATTAGAAATGGGACTTTTTCTCCAGATTTTAAATCTTTTCAATGGATCTCGTCTAATGAAACTGGTACTTATTTAACAAAAGAAAATAACTCTTACGTTATTAAAAAAATCAATAACGATTCCTACGCAAATATCTTATACAATAATACTTACTTTATTCATCAGAATATTAATTATACAATTGATGATTTAATCGCGTCTCCGAATTTTGATTTTGCTTTAATTCAATCAAATAGAACAAAACAATGGAGACATTCCTCTTTCTCGATTTATTGGTTATTAGATATTAATTCGTTAGAAATTACTCCAATTTATGATGATTCATCAAAAATATCAGTTATTAATTGGTCTCCTGATTTAGTTCATTTATCCTTTGTTTTAGATAATAATCTTTACATTAAAAATATTCTTTCAGGCCAAGTTACACAATTGACTTTTGATGGTAACCATGAAATCTTTTATGGAAAACCAGATTGGGTTTATGAAGAAGAAGTATTTGAAAATGATTTTGCAATGTGGTGGTCTCCCAATGGAGACTATTTAACTTTCATGAAAACTAATGACACTTTTGTACCTCAATTTCCAATTCCTTATTTTGTTCAAAGAGATAATCAAAATTATCCTGATTTAGTCAATATTAAATATCCAAAAGCTGGTGCTTCAAACCCAATTGTTTCTATGATGATTTATAATTTATTAGACAATAAACTTACAGAAATCTCTGACTTTAAGCATCTTAATGATCCTTTAATTACTGAAGTGACGTGGGTAGGAACAAAAAAATTCCTTTTAAGAGTAACAAACAGATCAAGCGATTTATTAAAATCCTATGTGATTAATGCTGACTCCAATACTTCATATCTTGTTAGATCTGAAGACGCTTCAAAGGACGGTGGATGGTTTGAAATCACTCAAGATACTATTTATGTTCCTGCTGATTCTTCAAAAGGCAGGCCTCATGATGGTTATATTGATGTTATTGTTCATGACGGTTATGATCATTTGGCTTATTTTTCACCTCCAGAATCTTTATCCCCAAAAAAGATTTTAACCAAAGGTGAATGGGAAGTTACTAATGGTGTTTCAGCTTTTGATCCTGACAATAACCTTGTTTATTTTTTAGCGACAAAACGTTCTTCCATTGAAAGACACTTATATTCAGTTGATTTGAACGGCCAGAATTTTAAATCAATTTCAAATGATAATGAACATGGTTGGTATTCTTCCTCTTTTTCAAAGGATTCAAAATATTTATTACTAAATTATAATGGTCCTAAAGTTCCTTATCAAAAATTAATCAATCTATCTAGTAATAAAAATAATTCAACTGAAAAGGACTTTGATTCAATTATAATCACAAATAACAATGATTTATCAAAGACCTTATCCAAATTTGATATTCCAAGAATTTCATTTAATGAATTAAATCTTGGTAAGGATGAAAACAATAATGATATCATTGTCAACTCTTTGGAAATCAAGCCTCCTAACTTTGACCCTTCAAAGAAATATCCTCTTTTATTCTATGTTTATGGTGGTCCAATCTCTCAATTAGTTCAACAAAGATTTTCAATTGGATTCTCACATTTAGTATCTGCACAATTAAATTCTATTGTTGTTACCGTTGATGGTAGAGGCACTGGCTATAAAGGCAGAGATTTTAGATCTATTGTGCGTAACAATTTAGGTTACTACGAGGTGGTTGACCAATTATCTGCTGCGAAAATTTACACTCAAAAATCATATATCGACTCGGAAAGAACTGCTATTTGGGGTTGGAGTTATGGTGGTTTCATGACTTTAAAAACTTTGGAACACGATACTGAACAATTATTTAAATACGGTATCTCTGTTGCACCTGTTACTGACTGGGCTTTCTATGATTCAATTTATACTGAAAGATATATGCATACTCCTCAAGATAATTCGGATGGTTATTTCAATGCTTCAATTGGAAATTTTAATATAACAAATTTTCAAACTAAAAAAAGGTTTTTGGTTTGTCATGGTACTGGCGATGACAATGTACATTTTCAAAATTTTTTGAAATTTGTTGATAATTTAAATTTAAATTCAATTGAAAATAATTTCGATATGATGGTCTTTCCAGATAGTGATCATTCTATTAATCACCATAATGGAAATAAGATCATTTTTAATAAAATTTTATGGTGGCTAAAAATGGCATTCAATGGTGAGTTCGATGGTTTTAATACTTACAATTATCATAATGAACAATTGCTCGGTAATAATGATGTTTATTATAATTCTATGGGTTATCATTCAGATGATGATGAGGATTACTCTATTTCTGCTTTATAATTAATCTTTGTGATATTTATTGTTTTTATCATTATCATTATCGTTTTGATGGTGTGATCGTTAACGTTTTTTATTCTGTTCTAGTTCTTATTTTTATTTGTTCTTCATTTTTTTCATCTTCATTTTTATTTTTATTTTTGTCATTTACTCTTGATTAATATTTAAAAAAGCATAAAAAAAGTTGAAAAAGCATAAAAGTTGGAAATTTGTTTTATTTTTTATTTTTATTTTTATTTTTAGCTTTAGTTTTGGTTTTAGTTTTTTATTTATTTTGTTTTCAGCTCATTATTTGGTCTGTTTTATTTCCTTCATATTCTAATAATAGTTGGTTTTTTCTTCAGAGAACATTAATAACCATAAATGCTGTAGTAAAAATAAGCAATATAAAAACTAAATTCCAGGAAGTTCCATTTCTCTTTAAACCTTTACTTTCCTCATCTTTGAGTTGAGAATATTTATTTTGGAAATTCATAGTTGAAGAACCATCGTCGTCTGTTTTATAATTGCTTGAAACCAAGTGCAAATTCCCTGCTTTTGGCATTATCATCACTTTTGTTTTTAGTTCTCTGAATTGTTGAGTGAAAATAGACTGTGTTGTTCTTGTAATACCACTTTCATCAGTTCCTGTTACCCAAACCAAAGTGGGAAGAGTGGTGGTCGGCGATGGTTTAGCAAATTCAAGATTCAATGCATTGACCCAAGCCCAGAGATAAATGATGGGTAGAAAAAACTTCATTTTTGATTATTTAGTCAGTTTTAGAATTGTTTTAAAGATAAAATCAAAGTAAAAATATAAACAACCTATTATGAGCATTAGTGGGGTTTTTTTTTGTTCTCATATTGAAAAAAATGAATCTACCACAAAAGCACAAAACTGTTGCAAATAAAAGGGCAAAAGTATTTGGCATATATTGACTACAAAAAGTTGTGTTATTAAATGGTCATCACAATGTTTATATAAATTTATATAATATAATCATAATGTCAATTGAAAAAGAATTGCAGCAGCAATGACTGATATAATTCTGTTATAGTTTAATAATATAAGAAGGAAAAAAAAAACGTTATAACAAGAACGTCTATTGATAAAAGTATCAAGTAGATTATTTTGAAGTCTTTTGAACAAAAATATAATATGGGAAATATAGTCAATAGAAGAGAAAAATAAGAGTTAAAAATAGAAAACAGAAAGAAAGAAAATTTAACAAAATAAAAAAAAATCAAATAAAGAAGAAAATCAAAAATTTTAGTTAAACTGTTCTTTTAGATTGAAGTAAATATCTTTTGTTCATTTCAGCCACTTGATGGCAAAATAAATGCCAATCAATATCTCTTAAGAATGGTTTAGAAATGACACCATCAAGTTTTTGTGAATTAGTCTGAGAGAAATTTTGGGTAATTGAGCTTGTTGAAGTCAACTCAAGAATTTTATCCATATTTCCTGACAATTGATCAATTTTTTGGCATAACTGATCTGCAACCTCATTTTTGTATTGATCTATAAGTTTTTTTTCTTTCCATTTATATAATTCATAACAGAATTTAAGATTTGGATAGAGTAATATGCTGATTCTCCTTACTCTAACATAAAGGTATGCGTAAGCAAAGGAGAAATTCAATCTTTTCATGACTTCAGCAATACAAATAGTTGCTGATCTAGATACTCCAACATGACAGTGAACTAAAACTCTTGTATCAATATTTAGTTTTCCATCATCATCGTTGATAAACTTTAGAATGCTATCTAAGGAATTAGAGAATGTGTGGATACCATTATCTAAAACGTTAACAAACAACAACTTTTTAATGGGGAAATCTTCACCTAAGTTAGAATTAAAAGTAACAGCTTGACAAATGTTGGATACAACTTCCACTTTATAGTTTTTGGAGTCAAGATTTGATAACCAATCAACAGGAAGTTCCCCAACGGAAATCATTTTGTTGATTTTTAAAAGCTTTAATAATTGAAGATTGTTTGCATGTCTGATTGAACCAAGATATAGATGAGGCAATATTCTTGAAGGAAAAGAGAAAATCTTTGAATTATCGCAGGTTTTTTGAAACCAAGATATAGAATAATTAATATTGTTATTATTTGAAGATAACAATAGCATGCTTAGTTTTATTTCAATTTCATCTAGAGTGAGTAAATCAGAACTGATTAATCTTTCTCTGCAAGCTAAACTAATGTTTTCAAATTCGTTTTCTTCACAATCATTAAAAATATCATCATCATCATCATTATCAATATGAATAACGTTATTATTTTTTTTAGTGCTGTTTGAGTCAATTTTAAATAAAGGAGAAAAGAACAATAAAATTTTTTCTAGATGAATAAAAAACTCAGTATAAGATGAAGCAAAAAAAATAGGTCTGCCATGGTTTAATTGTAAATCTAATAAAACTTGATTTAAATTTTTACCAGTTGAGAAAATTAAAAAACAAATTTGCAATAAAGAGACCTCAGAATAACCATCATTTGAGAAAATTAAAGCTGGAAATTTTGAAGTATTTCTATAATATAATATTTTGCAAAGATTAATTATTGATAAGATATCGGATAAAGACATGTCACCAATGCCGGATACATAGGACGGAAAATCTATAAAAATTGAGCTTAAATTAAATTTGAAAAAGGATTCATTTAAACCTGAATCATCTTCATAAACAACAAAGGCATGAATAGCAGATAATAACTGAAAAGAAGGAAACTGAACTAAATTTGGAAAATAAGGATCTGAATGGCAATAAATAAAAAAATTCCATTTTACAGGAATGCTGTTAATAAAAGAATTTGGATTTTTATAGTAATTGAGATGATTGTATTGTAAAATTGAATTTCTTGGGTCACAGACTAATGGTATAGGTTCTTGAAAGAGGTTTAAATAATCGATAAAGGAAGGATCAAAATTAGAATCATTAGAAGAAAAGGAAGAAATATCAAGCAAGTGGTCATTTAAAGCATTTGAATCATTAAGAAATTTGAAATAATCGAAATCTTGTTTATTGCCGAAATAAACATTTTTGATGATTTTAGTAGAGGAAGAAATTTTAAGGCTTTCTAGTTTTTCTTTTAATATATAATTTGAATCATGATTAAGAATATCATCAATTTGATATTTATTGAAAAAACTTGGAAGTTGATCAGGATATTTGGCACAAGAGTTATTTATAGATAGATTTGAATATAAATCAGAAGTTAATAGTTGAAAGGAATTATTAATGGAAGTATAATAATTTGAATTGAAATTTGATAGAATTGAGATATTATTTAACAAAAGTGAAGAATTATCCTTAACTATAATGATTTGATTTTTTTTCTTATACTGAGAAATGTAAAATAAATTAGCCAAGTAGATTAATCTTGCTAATGATTTGCAGTTACAATTTTTCAAATGAGAATTTTTATTTAAACAATAAATGATAACATTTGAAATAATTGAGATTTTTGAGATTTGTAGGTCAAAGTTTCTTATTGATTTTCTAGCTCTAATAGAATCTTGAGTGTAATCAGTATTGTTGTTAGAATTATTCATAACGTTGATGTTGGCTTTATTAATATAATTTGAAAAGGAGTTTTGAATTGATAATGCAAAGGATTTATGCTTAAATAAAGGTAGTAAATTTAATTTCAAACAGTCATCAACGATTAAGTTGATCAATTTTGATTTTAAGGAGTCTATTAGTAAATTTTCAAAGAGATCAAAGATTAAGTGAGCGATGTAGTTATACAAGGTGTTTCGATTTGTTGTTGATAAACCCGGTTTAAATTTTATATTATTATTATTATTGTTATTGTTATTGTTATTTAATGAGATCTTTTGATACAAGTAAGATAGTGGTTTTAAATAATCTGTTGGCAGGACAGAATTCTTGAGAAATCCATAATTATTGGCACAATTTGGACCATTATAGATGGAGCTATTATTATTAATATTATCGTCATCATTGTAATAGTTATCAGTCTGATTATTGTTACTATTAATTTTATTGTCTTTTTGGAATGGATCCGTGGAACGAATCAAAGTTAAGAACTTGTGGTTGTTGTTGTTTTCAGTATTTTCCTCGCCAGGAAAAGAAGTTGAAGTGTCATGATGATGAAGCCATGGAAACATTTGGTTAATGTTGGGTAAGGGCAGTTGAAAGTACTCAACCACTTTCCTGACCAATTCCTCATTAGTAATTAAATCTGTTTTGAAATTCGCTAATGTTTGATTATTCATATCAATTTTCTGACCAGAATAGGCAGAACCAAGTTCAGTGGTACTGATCTCATCAAGTAAATCAAGAAAACCAGCTGCTTTAATGGCGTCTTGGGTTGTGTTTTGAGCTCTAATCTGGGGGAGATGGGAATCAGTGGCATCTACAGTTGAAGTAGAAGGACCTTGCATCATCGCAACTCCAGAAGCAACAGCGGCAGAAACAAAGAACAGCTCTATGTTGGCAACCACCACTCTCGATATACGTTGAAGTATATCCTACTGTACTCCACTATTCTACTGCTTTGTGGAGTTTGAAGAACAGCCAATCTACAAAATTTTCTCCAAAAAGCTCAAAAGGTTCAGAAATAAGTCTGGAATTTGCTGCATGAAGATTAGGTGATCTGATGCAAATATACGTCATAGCGCATACGCGACTGCACGTTTGATATCGCAGCTCTCTGCGTGGAACCATGTACACGGACGCATCCAAGCAAAGCCACCCAGACGGGTTTGAGCGCCTATAAATAGTTGGCTGAGGAATCCAACGGTTTCTCAAAGCTTATTTCTAATTAGGGCTGTACTCATCCCGCTGCGGACGTATTGCTGCGGTATAAAAGCCATTGCATTTCGTCTCGCTTCTTCACTTCTATTGTTTCTGAGACCTCAGACCCTTTCTCTTTGTCTCAAAGAGTCCTTTCGTTTTGCTACTCCTGATCCACTCCAGGCCCACCGCTTGCCATGCTATTCAGAAGAAACTCCTGGGAATGGGAGATCGACAACAACACCTTTGATATCGTAGATCTTGACCAGTTCAAAAATTACAAGTTCTCCACTCTCTGGAATCTAATATGCTCCATAATCATGAATTTGCTACATGTCTTGTTGTTCTGTTTTGATATCTACACCTGCATCAACTTACTAGTTTTCAACAAATGGACCAACGACGAAATACAACCCATCATACCCTTTGAGATTTCAAGATGGTTATTTAGCGGCTGCATATTGCTTTCCATAGTCTTGATTATAATCGACTGGATCAAAGGTGTAAAGCTATACTTTACCAGAAACATCTCCTTGACTTACCTTAACTCTGTTTCAAGATTTCTTTGGTGTGTCAAATCATACAAATATTTCTGTCTTTATAATGAAATTTCTCCGTCAAATTTTTTCGATAAACGTGCTTTCTTCATTTTTTTCACCTTTAAGAGTTCAATCGCCTTGATCTTTGCAAACACCCCCAGACAAGTAATTAATGGTTTAACAATAGTCTCAATATTTATTGATGGTCAAGCAGAAACCGTTCTACAAAGTCTAAAGAATTTACTTAAAGTAGGTTTTAGTGAAAAATACGCTGTTGTATTACTATTCATGTTTTTATCCTTTTCCATTTGGTTAATCTTCTTTATTGAGTTTTTATGGGCTTTGATATTATCAATGTTTGTCTTGCCAAAGATTCATAAAGTTCACAACCAATCTTTGAAACAATATATTTGCAACTTGATTAATCAGAATGTCTCTAATTTATCACGAAAATATCATAAAAGTTCTTTAAGACAAGTTAAATTAGAAAATTCAAAATTACAAATCCACCCAACTCTACCTGCTGTTAATTTTGAAGATAACCAACAAAAGAGATCTTCATTAAAGAGAAAAACTTATAATCTATTCAACAATAGCAATAGTAGTAACAATAACAACTTTTCATCCACAAATCTATTACTATCCCAAAAAAATAATACAAGAGATATATCAAATGACTCAAATTTTTCAAATACCTCAACAACTTATTATCAACCTGATTTTAATAACAACTTGAAACCAGTAAATTCTTTTGCAAACTCTATATCAAGTACTTTTTTAAGCACGAATAACCCAAATACAAATCACTATTATTCTCCGGTTTATAATTCTTTTGATAATAATAATAATAATAATAATAATAATAATAATAATAATAATAATAATAATAACGGTAGCACCAATAATCCTTTTGATAATAATACTAGATATGATAATAGTTACAATAATTACAATGATTACGAGCAATATAACGGCTCAAATGAAAATATACAACTAAGAAATTTAACTCCCTTCACAAATCAAAATTATAATGATTATTCCAATCCCAGTTTCAATTCTAATAACAATCTCTCTAGGCAACAACAAAGAAGTTTCACTACCCCAATACTTTCTTTTAATACTCAAAATACTTCAAATTCGAGTGATTTAAACCGTAACCATACTATGATGGTCAGAAACCAATTACTATCGAATGAAAATTACGACCAGCTATTTAAAATGAAACGTTAACCAATTTTATATTTTTACAACTTTACAATTTTTATTTACAAGCTCTTTACATTTGTTTTACAATTCTCTCATCATTTCAGTTCAATTTCACCTTTAACCGTTTTTTGTAGTTCTTATTTTTGTTAAAGCTCTTTTATATATCGTTTTTTATGTTTTCATTATTATTTCTTTCTAGTAATATTCAATTCTCCCTTTCAGTTTATGGTTTAAGCATCGTTCATTTTTCTATTAATTTTTAACCGTATTTTAATTTGATGTTTTATTTTTTTATTTTTTTTTTATTTTCTTTATTTTCTTTATTTTCTTTATTTTCTTTATTTTCTTTATTTTCTTTATTTTCTTTATTTTCTTATTGACTTTTGCTAATGATCTCAGTTTATTTATTGTATTATTATAATTTATATACACAGTTTATCTCATTTTGTTTCCCGCCGTTATTGAATGCCTTTATTTTCTTTTATAGTTAATATTAATATTAATATTATATATATTAAAACATAAACCTAAAACGTGAATAAACCAATGTGTTGTCTATTTACATGAAAATTACAAAATAATATCAAAATAATGAAAGTAATAAACATATTATATCGTTTTATATTAATACCTTTATTATCAATTTCAATTTCAAAGATACTGTTAATCTATTTTCCTTCAAGCTTCTTTTCAGCTTCATATTCGGCTTTCAATTTCTTCAAATCTTCCTCACTAATTGGAGGTATCTCGATATCAGCCAAATCATCTTTACCCAAAAATTTATAGGTGTAAAAGTAAGCAGAAGTGGGAATAGCTGCCAAAATAAAAAAAGTAGCAAAATTCTTCCAAAAATATGGTTGTCTAGCTCTAATAAACGATGGAGTCATTCTCCATGTTTTATGATTTAAATACTTTGATGGATGAATTCTATAAGGATATTGTTTTTAAATAAAGAAAACAAAACAAAACAAAACAATTTCAATGATTTTCAAAGGATTCATTATTGTTAATATACAAAAACCGAGCCATCAAAAAGACAATCCTCTTAGCAAGGCAAAGATTGGTTTATTTTTTGTTGTCGAAAAAAAAAAGGGGATCACATACGCAGCTCTCTTTCCTAAAAGCATTTTCGGTATAATTTATTCTGCGGAGATAAAGGCAATATATAATTGAAACCTATTAAGTTGCAATGATATATTCTGGTTATATCTTTATATCTTTCCTTACAGCGATATTCAACCTCACTTCTCATTTTCCTAGTTTTTTGAAAGTCCGCTCAAGATTCACGTGCTGTTTTTTTTTTTTATTTTAGTTTTGAGAAAGTGAAAAATTTTGGTGATTTTGGGTCGAAATGAAAGAGAAAGAAAGAGGAACAACAAAAAAGTAGAATAAACAATGGGAAAGAAGAATAACAGCAGTAATAAGAAAAGTGGCACAGTCAGCAAAGTCAATAAGAATAATGTGAACAAACAGAAAAAGGGTGGTAGTAAATCGAAAAAGAAAGTCAAGATCGAGATACCTCCAAAAGATGAAGAAGAATTATTATTAGAAAAATTAGTATTTGGGGACGAAAAGGGATTTGACGATAATTTGAAAAAATTGAATGATATCGATTATAATTTTTTATCGGATGAAGATGAGGAAGATGAAGATGATGATAACCATGGCATAAATGATTTTCGAGATATAGATTATCAAAGCGATGAAGACATTGATCAAGAGATGGGGGTCAATACCGAATTACTTCAAGACGATGAGTTATTCTTTGTGGATGATGGCGATAATGAAAATACTCAGGACGATAAAGATAAAAATTTAGAAATTGAAGTTGATAAGGGATCAAATTCTGGAAATGAAGATTCCGATTCTGATTTAGAATCAAACTTGGATTTAAAAAATGGTGAATTAGATTCCAATTCTGATGCATGGGAAGATAGCGATGATGGAAAAATAAATATTGATATATTATCAATGGACCGATTAAAAAAATTGCGTAAAACAGAGAATGATTCAATAATATCGGGAAAGACATATATAAAACGATTAAGAGCACAATACGAGAGAATTTATCCTCGACCCGAATGGGCAATTAATTTAAGCAAAAATGGATTCGAAAATGAGATGAATTCGGATAATGAAGATGGCAAAAGGAAGAATGATAATGGAAATAAAGAAGATGATTCCGATGGTGAGTATGAGACAAATGAGGCCGATACAAATAACAATTCGAATTCATTAATTAGATTATTGTCAAAGATAAATCATGACGGATACAATATATCGTATGATAATAATTCTAAGATAAGTAAACTATTGAGTTCAGTGGCGATTGATTTAACTAGATTGAAAGATGCAAACTATAAGCATCTTTCTAGAGCAGCAATACAAACGATATCATTTCATATTAATTTGCCATTGTTATTAACAGGTGGATATGATCAAACTGTTAGAGTATACCATATCGATGGTAAGAATAATAACGTTGTGACTACATTGTATTTAAAGGATTCACCAATTCAAACTGCGTATTTCAGTCGAACAGAGAATAGTGAACTTAATGAAAATTCAAGCTATGAGATATTCTCTGGAGGGAGAAGAAAATATATGTACAAGTGGAATATTAAAACAGAAGAAATAAATAAGATTCAAAGATTATATGGACATGAATCAACACAAAAAAGTTTTGAAAGATTTAAAATGAGTAAAGATGGAAGATTTATTGGATTGATGGGGAACAATGGGTATATCAATTTGATTTCATCCTTAAATGGTATTTGGATTAGAAATTTCAAAATCGAGGGGGTGTTGGCCGATTTTGATTTTTATTCCAATGATGGAAAAATCATAGTGATAAGTACTAGTGGAGAAATCTGGGAATTTGAGGTTGAAAGCGGAAACATAATTGGAAAATGGAAAGACAATAATGGAATTGGTATAACAAAGCTCTCTGTGGGCAGTAAGAATGATAGATTTTTGGCCATTGGTACGAATTTAGGAATTGTAAATATTTATGATTTCCAGAAGAGAAAATTGCTAAATACAATGCAGCAGTTGACGACTTCTATATCATCTTTGACCTTCAATCACGATGGACAGTTGTTGTGCATGGCCAGTCGAGGGAAAAAAGATGCACTAAGATTGGTTCATTTGCCCAGTTGTCAAGTGTTCAAAAACTGGCCAAACAGTGGAACTCCCCTAGGCAAGGTTACAAGTGTGGCTTTTAGTCCCAAGAGCCAGATGATATGTGTTGGAAATGAAGCAGGAAAGGCGAGACTATGGAAGTTGAACCACTACGCCTCGCAATAAATAGTGATCTTTTCATAGAAACGCAAATAGAAAACACAGCTCTGCTCCACAATCTGATATTCTCACCAGAAATTGCACTTTGATGAGAAAGAGAAACACCGGATTTTCTTCCGTAAAGCTAATGTCGAAAATCTGTTTTCTGATGCAATCATCTGCAGGTATCATACCAACTCCGAGCACATCTGCATGTACACGTGCGTGATGTTGTACTTGAGTTTTCCGAAACCGAATCGCAGACCAAATGGAGTTGTGCCGGCCCGAAAGCAGCACGAGAAAGCAATACGAAGCTCGGGACCGCACTTGTCGTGTCCGCGTTCAAAAACGGGTGTCCCAAAGGGGTCGGAAAAAGTAGCGGCAGGCCCAATACGGCCGTCGGGGTGGTTGGCTCTTCGCTTCTCCACTATGTTCTTCAGTTCGGTGCTTTGCTTTCCGAATCAATTGGTAAATGCCGGTCTTGAATCAGCAAAGAAGAAAGAAACTCACAAAAAATCTGCTCAACGTTAAATGACTTGGTAAAAGTATGAAAAGTGTACTTTGAGCCAATCATAACAATTGGCTACTCATCTTGTTGTGTATTATATATAAATCATGGTTTCTGCTGTCTCTGTAATGTTTTATTTTTTTTGAGAAAGAACTCAATTATATCGATTTTGAAAATTTTACTTCAGATTCTATATTTAAGTTCTGCACTATACTCATATCGATCTCAATAATACATATATACTATGAGCTATTCTCAGACAGATTCTTTGACTACGAAAGATAGTCCTAAAGCTCAGATACCAACTAAATCATCTTTTTCAGATTCAGAATTTGACCAAGAAAGCAATGATAATGACTTCATTAATTATCTAAATTCGTCAAATTTCGCAAACAATAACGATACAATCACCAGACAGTTAACTTTAGAAGAAATTGGAAATGAAGTCAAGTTAGAAAGAACAAAAAGTCTCGCCATAACCCCATCTGAGGGCTATCTAAATGAATTAAGAAATGTAACTTCACATTTTTCAAAATTACATTCTCATAAAGACGAAAGTCATTATGAGAATGAAGAAGACCCTAAACTTATTGATCCAAGCACTTTAGATTGGGAAGGTGCTGATGATCCTGATAATCCAAATAATTGGCCAAGCTGGAAAAAATGGTACTCCACTATGACTGTAGCCTGTATCTGTCTTGTTGTCACTTTTGGTTCATCTTTATTTGTTTGTGGTGTTCCCGAATTGATGGTAGAGTTGAATATATCCCAAGAGCTTTGTTTGGCAGGTTTAACTTTTTATTTGATAGGTTTAGCTTTTGGCCCAATTCTAGCTGCTCCAATCTCAGAACTATTTGGTAGAAAAATCGTTTATCTTTTCTCTTTACCAATGTCAATGCTATTCACCATGGGTGTCGGTTTATCAAACAATATTCAGTCGATATTAGTTCTAAGGTTCTTTTCAGGGTTCTTTTCATCTCCAGCCATGGCTGTTGCAGGTGGTACTATTTGTGATATCTGGGAAGTTCAAATGCAAGGTGTAGCAATGGGAACATTTTGTTTGGCTCCATTTCTAGGTCCTGTTTTGGGCCCTGTCATTGGTGGCTTTGTAGCAGAGAAAAAAGGTTGGAAATGGACTCTATGGGTAAACTTAATGGCTGCAGGCTTAATCTTAATTCCAGTTATTCTGCTACCTGAATCCTATAAACCAATCTTATTGAAAAAAAGAGCTAAAAAAAGAGGTTATATTTTAAAAAAACCCGATGTCACTTTAGGTCAATTTCTAAAAATTATAATCGGTGTTTGTTTAGTAAAACCAATTCAAATGCTATTTGTTGAACCAATCGTCATGGTTTTCTCAATATATATTGCATTTGTATTTTCCGTTCTCTTTGGTTTCTTTGAAGCTTTCCCCATCATTTACAGGGGAGTTTATCAAATGAGTTTCGGTGTCTCAGGTTTAGCCTTTCTTGGTATAGGAATAGGTTTAGGTTTAGGAACTGTTTATTTCATTTATGTTGACAGATTTGTCTATTGGAAAAAAAATCCTGATGGAACAAGAGGCCAATTTGATGAAAATGGAAATCCTGTTTTTCCAGAACCTGAAAGCAGATTGGACCTCTGTAAAGTTGGTGCAATCATTTTGCCTCCTTCTTTATTTTGGTTAGGCTGGACTGCAAGAGAATCCGTTCATTATATGGTATCAATAGCTGCTGGTCTACCATTTGGCTTTTCAATGATTTTAATTTTTTTCTCAAATATTTCTTATTTCGCCCTATCCTATCCCCCATTATCCGTTGCCTCGGCTTTAGCTGCAAACAATCTTCTCAGATATTCTCTTGCTTCGGTTTTCCCTTTATTCACTGTTCAAATGTATGATAAATTGGGCATTGACTGGGCTTCATCACTATTTGGTTTCATTGCTTTATTAATGTTACCGGTTCCATGGGTTTTCGCTAAATGGGGACCAAATTTAAGAAAAACCTCCAGATTCGGTTATGCTGCTATGGTTCAAAAGAAACACGATGAAGAAATGCAAATTAATAAAAATGAACAAGAAGAAAATGAAAAATAATAATAAAAGTGACACTTTTCCCACTACTATCACCACCTTTTAGAAGGCCTTTATTTATGACTTTAGAACCACTTGATAATATTATCCTAACATAACCTTTTATATTATATCTTCAGCTTTTCATTTCTTCTTCTATCCTTTTCCTAATAACATTCATTTCATAATCGCAATATATATTCTCTGACTATTCATATTCTCTGGCTATTCATCAATTAACGCTGTAGCAAAATCCAATGAAAACGTTTCCTCCTTCCAAGCCGGATCCCCGTAATTAAACGATCACACGTGACTTAAACCAATTCCGATTTAGAACCAACCTTATTTGACGAGAAATCCCAAAACTCGACTTTTCTCACCTTGTGGAGACAATATTAGAAAGCCTTATTGTTTCAAAGTGGGCAATATTGGAAACAGAATTTGATATTCGATATAAAAATGAGTCTCGATCCACTGCATTTATTACCAATCAATGGGAAATGGAAACAGGACATCACTGACTGGTTGTCTGAGGATGTAGCAAGTTTCGATTATGGTGGTTATGTTGTTGGTGAAGCTTTGACCGATGCCACTTTATATTGTAAACAAAATGCTTTGATTAGTGGTTTACCCTTTGTTAAAGAGGTCTTCAATCAATGTGGAATCCAAAATATCAAGTGGTATTATAAAGATGGTGATTATATAAATTTAAACAAAGAAGGAAAAGTTATAGTAGCTGAAATTCACGATACCCCAGTTAGAAATATTTTATTAGCTGAAAGATTATCTTTAAATATTTTGTCCAGGTGTTCGGGAATTGCTACAAAATCTTTTATAACCATCACAAAAGCAAGAGAATCGGGTTATAAAGGGATCATTGCAGGGACAAGAAAAACTACTCCAGGTTTAAGACTATTGGAAAAATATTCCATGCTAGTTGGTGGATGTGATACTCATAGATATGATTTATCTTCTATGATAATGTTAAAGGATAACCACATCTGGTCTTTTGGCTCAATTACCAAAGCTGTTCAAGCTGCTAAAAAAGCCGGTGGTTTTACTGTTAAAATTGAAGTTGAAGTTCAATCAGAGGAAGAAGCAAACGAAGCTATAGAAGCTGGTGCTGATGTTATTATGTTGGATAATTTTACCCCAAATGAATTAAAAATTGCTGCAACTAACATTAGGAATAAATGGAATAATGTATCTAATAAATCTTTCCTATTAGAATGTTCAGGTGGTTTAACTTTGGAAAATATTAAAGATTTTCTTTCCAATGAAATTGATATTTATTCTACCAGTTCAATTCATCAAGGTTGTGGGATTGTTGATTTTAGCTTAAAAGTTGTTAAATAGTTATTTATAATAAAATTAATAATATATATAGACTTTTTTGTGTTTCATATTTGTTTTTTATATATTTTTCTTGATTACTTGATCTAATTTGTTTTTGTTTTAACTTTTTTTTAATTTTTGTTTTTTGTTTTTTTAACACTCAATCTTCAATTTCATCAATAAACCTTTTTCTTCTATTGCCTAACATATATCTTGAAAATCCACTTGAATTTGAATAATAATTATTAATTTGAAAATAATCGTCTTTTTGAACTAGTTTATCATCAGGTTCATCTAAACCTTTATAATCATCCAATGAAATTTTAAATTTCACCAACATATCATTTTCGGGATACTTAGCAATTAGTTGAGAGTAGTTATAATTATTGATATAAAAATCTAAAATATCATTTAATGCTTCAAATACAAATTTTTTATCACAAGTGAAAAAAATCTCATCATCAAATTGCTCAAGTAAATTTTCATTTTTTTCAATAAATATTGCAATTATTAAACAGGCAATTGAAATACCAGTTGGAGGAACCTTTAGACTTATTTCTGTTAAAAACGAATCATAAACAATTATCCATGCCAAATATGTAATCTCATAATCAATCTCTAATTTTTTGGCAAACTTTATTAAAAATTCTTGAACATGGCATCTTCTAAAATCAAATGATACTGTTTCTAGTATTTTCTTTTCATAATTTAACACCAATTTACGTTCTTGCTCAACAAAATCCAATGATGTTGATCTATGGCATAAAGGGTTACCTGCCAATATTATATCTTTTGCTTTTTTTATTGTATCTTCATTTTTACATGCAAGTAATAAAGATGCATAACCAACTAGCTATATTTTAATAAAAAAAAACAAATGTTAGCAAATAATCAATAAATCCTGAAAAAAAACAAAAAATATAAAATAAAAAGACAAAACCAAAAAACTTATACATACGTAATATTCATTCAATTCAAATTTGTTAAAAAGATAAAACTTTTGGAAATATTGCATTGCACTCTCTAATGTTCTTGTTGGTCTTTATAAAAAATTTATTAGTAAATTGTAATTGAATTATCATCTAAAAAAATTGAATTAAACATACAGTTTTAGATTGTTGCAAATTCCACTCAAGATATTTAATATTTGAGAAGTTCTTTGTCTATAGTTTCGATAATCAGTTATGGTCTTTGATTGACAATATTTTATCTGCTTGGTGGTTAAAAATGGTCTTGATAATTTAAGAGTTGAGTTATGTTCCGTTTTTTTAACATCAGCAGGCGATTTCGTTTTAGATTGAGGTGAGCTTGATGATGAAGTATCCATTTTTAATTGAGACTATATTTGTTCAAACGATTAATTATTTTGTGGTGGATTACTTGTGAATTGATGAGAAGAATTTCTTTCTTAGTTTTGAGTTTCTTTTTGCACACTTTATATTTTGTATCTCGCATTATGCAGATTATGCAGGTTACCCGCAAATAACAAAGTTATCGTGTGCATTTATTTGTATCTTCTGTGCAAGATATTGAAATGCTTGATATAATTCCTAAGAAAAGCGGGTTTATTAATTTGAAATACCAAATTTAATCCATTATACGAGTGAAATAGTATTAATATACTGAAAATTAATGAAAAAAAGGTGTTTCAATTATAAATATTCTATAGGTTTATAAAAATTAATCAGCCATATCCCAATTACCAGGTTTTGGTTGCTGTGGCATTTGAGGACCACCAGCTCTTTTAGCGACAATGATTTGGTCAACAGACAATATGGTGTTAACAGCCTCAGTAGCTAGACTGATGGCATTTTTCTTTGAGCACAATAAATCGTAAATTCCATTTTCTCTGATATCTGTTATACCATCACCGTTTTCATTTTCAATATCAATACCATAAAACAACCCATCATCAGCTTCGTTATTATTTTCACTATCATTTTCAGCTTGTTTCTTATTAGAGACAAGACTATGTTTTGCAAATAATTTTGGTAAAACTTCGGTTGTATTTAAACCTGCAGTGTCGGATAATACTCTTGGAATTATTTCGAAAGATTTAGCAAATTGTTTAATTGGCAATTGTAAAATGTCGGAGCTATTATCACCAAATTGATTTAATAAATGGTACAAATGGGTTTCAGTTGCACCAGCACCTGGACATAAATTCTGGTCTTTTGTCAAGCCCTTTATAGCGCTAATACCATCATCAATGGCCCTTTCAATGTCATCCAAGTTATTTTTAGTTGCTCCTCTAATTACAATAGTTGAAGTTAAGGAGGTATCATTTTCTTGTTGAAAGACAGTTACTCTATCACCACCGATTTCTTTTGTTTGAACAATATCTATAGTACCCATTTCTTCTGGCATTGGAGGGCCTAGTCTTGCTAAAGGAGTTGCACCGCAAACACGACAGATTCTCCTTAAATCGAATTTTGATGGAACTCTTAATGCTAAAATGTTGTATCTGTTCAAGTAATGAAGAGGTAATTCGCCGATATTTTGATTTGCTATGATGACTTTGATACCTGTATTTGCAATTTGCTTTATAATTGAATCTAATTGATTTTCTTCACCCTTTGAAAAGTCCAACATTTCCTGAGCATTGTGGAGTAAAACAGTACCTTTAGTTTCAGTAGCTGAGATATCAATTGGACATGTAAAGACAGCCACCTTCGATTTATTTAAGATTGATTTGACATGACCTTCAGGTTCTCTGGGGAAAACCATACCTTTGATGGCGAAAGAGTTTAAAAGAGTTGAACCCATGATTTTGACTACTCTAATGCTATCGACATTGAAATTTTTAATGATGTATTCCTCTGCTTCTTCTTCTTCTTCTTCTTCTTCATCATCCTGATTCTCATTTTCATTTTTGTTATCGTTAATTGAATTCCGTCTTGGTAAAACGTTTAAAACTGAATCGATTATTAAGTTTGCTAAGAAATCTTCGGAACCGTATTGTTTTGATGCTACTACTGGTTTAATGATCTTTGTTAGTTGAGATTTGCTTAGGAAGTTTGTAATTTTATCAATTGATAAGATTTGGTTAATTGATTCATCATTTAGGATGAAATTTTTAGCCTTGTTATAACCTTGGATGATTTCGATAGGTTTTAAACCAAGATTGATTAAATGCAAAGAATTTTTCAATAGTTCAGAGGCAAAATTTAATAGAAAGTTGGAGTTGTCTCCAAATTCGTCCTTTTGTTGTTGAGTTGCCATGATTAAGATTTTAACAATTGGATGGACAACATCTAATTGGCCTAAAATAGTTGAACAGTCATTTGTTATGAATATGTTTTGGAGATGGTTTACTATGATTTTATTTTTACCACATGGACCCATTGAAGTTAGTAAAATGTTTGTAATTTCATTAACAGCTTCAACATTTCTACCAACAGCGCCATCAGCAGAGGAATAAGATTTGTAACCGTTTTTAAAGAGACCGGCTGTTTGGTTAGCAGGAAGACGTAAAGACATTTTGAAGCAATACAATTGAATGAGTTATAGATAATTATGAGTCAATGCTGAAGCCCGAGCGATGAATTATCTAATTATATTTTGAGATAGCCAAATATCAAGATTGTTTTCTTCTTCTGCTTATGTCGTTGTTATGAAAAGTGGCAGAAATTTTTTCAGTCTGCTTTTCAAAGAATGAGCACGTGTATAACGGAAGCCAACTGGATGGAAGAAGCTTGTTTTTGTGCTATAAATCAAAAGGATGCTGAATTAGGAAGTGTGTAGGATATTTAAGAGCGATGAGGATGGATATTTCTGAGTTTCTTTGTTTTCTCAAATTGAGCTGAAATTGAGCTGAAACTGAGTTGCTAATCAAAATGATACACAATAAATTTGAAGTTGCTAATCTCCATTTAAGAGTCGATATATTGGAAAGGCAGATTATGTTATACGAAAACAGACAGAGTGTGTTCAAGCATGAATTAATCAGTGCTAAGCGTGAATTTCGAAACAGGAACGACACAGCTGGAGTTGTTGAAAATCTAAACCAGCGTACTTATGAGAGCTACTATGAAAAGGTTGCAGATGAGCTAAGGCAGTTGGAGGAGAGAACCATTAGAAGAAGCATAAACAGTCATATCAAGGACACCAACGAGAGCCGTCAGAAGATTGTTCCACTCACTAACTTTGAGGGAGAATATCCTCCTTCTGGTATACTTCCTAGGACAGTTAGCGAGCTCAAGAGAATCTCGAACGACGACTTGAAAGAGGTTCTTTCGCACTATCGATTGGTTCATTCACTTACCCCAGACCCGTACAACATGAGCACCGAAGATTTGTGCGACGTAATTGGCTGCATGACGGATCGTGAGCTGGACCGGCATTTCGTCATCATGGCCGACTACCTCGGAGTGAGGGTTAAGAGAAACGGGATATCCGACCGCAATCCAGATCCCGTTTGCGTTCCCGTGACCGACAGCGTGTCATCCATGGGTGTGGATCTCTAGCGCTGCACCAGTGCAGCTGCGGCGTCTGCCGGGCCGTGGTTATCTTTGCAATCAGTGTCTGAAACATCGGGCGTAATTCCCAAAACGGCAGTTCTCAAAGCGGTCAATCTCCCCAGCCTTAGTAATTGTTAATAATCGTGCGTAATGGCTAAACGTCGCTCATAGGCCCGAGCTCTGCTCCCGAACACCGAAAACTGCCACAATAATCACAAACAGTGTGAAAAATCACTGAAATGGCTATTGCTTCAATGTCATTCGACGAATCGCCAACTTTGCTCTATTTAAACCTTTCTTTCGCCTGTGTGCTCTCGAATTTCTTTTTCATCGTCCATTATTGTAACATTGCATCCCTAATTATTCTATGTCAATTAGTTGCAACTCCTACAGATTTATCCTCAACACTTCTTCGATATATAAACCCTCGACTCTTTTACTCATGTCTGCTAAAAAGTTCCTTGTTCCCTCAATTATCGGTCTTTCTGCCATTGGTGGTTATTACTATTATTCCACTATTTTAAACAAACCCACCCCAAAAATGGCTGAAAAGTCCTGTTGTGCTCCAGCAATCAAAACCTTCACTGGTTCTGATGAGTGGATTGACTTGAATTTGAAAAACATTGAAACTTTATCACACGATACCAAAAGGTTTTCCTTTGACTTGCCTTCAAAGAATCACATCTCTGGTTTAACAACCGCCTCATTGGTATTAGCAAAGGGCAATGGTGTTGTCAGACCTTACACTCCAGTTTCACCTGTTGATTTAAAAGGCGAAATTGATTTTGTTATTAAAAAATACCCAGATTCAAAATTCGGTACTTATATCTTTGGTTTGAATCCAAATGATAAAGTCTCCTTCAAAGGCCCATTTCAAAAGTGGAAATTGGAAGAAAACCAATTCAACGAAATTACTTTGTTAGGCGGTGGTACTGGTATTACTCCATTATTCCAAATCTTGCAAGAAGTTACCTTAAATCCAAAGGATAAAACCAAGATCAACTTATTTTACGGTAATAAAACAGCCGGCGATATCTTATTGAAGGACAAAATTGATGAAATCGCAAAAGCTCATCCAGATCAAGTTAAAGTCACTTACTTCTTGGATGATCTCTCAGACGTTGGTTCAGGTCCCCAATACCAAAAGGGTTTCATAACTGGTGATTACTTGAAAGAAAATATTCCCAAACCATCTAATGACCATCACATCTTTGTCTGTGGTCCTGATCCTTTATACAAAGCATTATCTGGTACTAAAAAATCGAAAACAGAACAAGGTGAAGTTACTGGTGCTCTAGCTGAACTTGGTTACACTAAAGATCACGTCTTTAAATTCTAAATCAAATCAAATCAAATCAAATCATTAAACTATTAAACCATTAAACCATTGTATTGTTGCATCTATTTATAATCCCGGTATGATATAATCATTATATATTCATTATGTATTTCTTATATATCTCTTAGATATCCATTATATATTCATTATAAAGCAATTGTTATTGTAGCACTCAGTAAAATAACTTAATAAAATAACTTAGTAAAATAACTCGGGCAATTGATGGTTAAGTTTAACCAACTCTCCAACTGCCTTCTCATTGATCGTATCCCCACACACTATACTGTCCAATGCTTGGATTTGTAAATCATCATTCACCTTTCCCGTTATTTCATAGTATTTATTGATCTCAAATTTCAAGTTATTTGGTATCTTGATTATAACGTTTCCATTATTATTCAAACTGTTCAACACACCAATGCTACTCGATTTAAATTCCTCAAATCGCCCAATAATTCGAACAATTTTTCCTTTAAAGCTGTTCAACAATTTCCCATCAATTCTTGGTATAGCCTCTGACATCTTGAAATAAATTACTATCACCAATTGCAAACAATTACCACTGTAACAATATCTGATACAATATAACCAAGGTCAACATCAATATCGCCTTCAGCTTAGTAATAAAATCACACAAAATAAAACTTCGTGTCGCGTTTATTTCCAAAACGGAAAATTTTTATTACTAATCACAACCACATAATTAGTCATGTGACACAAGCTGTAATTGCTCCACTTTTAAATCTCTTTTAGGTTTGTTCGTCTCTAAAGTATATAAACTTTTATTTTCACCAGATCATCCTCAGATCAATTAGCCATTGAACTCATCGCTTTCGAAGACATAATTATAACTCTCGCCAACAAAATCATGTAAGTCACTAGCCTGCATTGATCTTCCCATCTTCTTAAAAGCTTTTCTTTGAGCTATTCTCGTAGCGACCGATCCTCCAAAACAGCTTAACAATGGAATCCAATCGTCTTTGATGTCCCTATCATGTTTCCAAAGATTTTGTTTATATGCCTCTCCCCAGCATAAAATTGTTCCAATAATTCCTGTCATAGTGTCTCCTTGACCTCCACATCTCTTGTATGATCCAATTGTATCACTGATTAAAACATCTTTTCCATTTGTAATAACATCATTCTTTCCCTTTTGAAATATAACAACCCCATTTAACTTACTACTTAGCTCACTCGCCAATTGATCTTCTTGGATTTTACTCGAATCAATATTCAATGATTTTATTAATCTTTTAAATTCAGGCAAATTTGGCGTCAAGATTCCTCTTTCATACCCTTTAATTAATTCAGGTTTCAATGATACCAAATACAATGCATCTGCATCAACTATTAATGGTTTCTTGAGCTCTCGAACTCTCAATATAATTCTTTCACATATCTTTAGCATGATTTTATTCCTTCCGAACCCTGGTCCAACTATAACAACATGAACTCTATCCAAAAGCGAATTTATCTTTGGCATTAAATATCTATCAATTAATTCCTCGTCGGTTAGCTCGTCCACTTGCCCATTATTTTTAACACTATTGTAATCACCAGCGAATTGAGCAAGCTTGATTATATCCTCTCGATGCTCTCTCAAGTAGGGATGGACCATCAAGTTTGGTGAATATGTTTTAATGACTTGTGCTGCCTCCTTTTCACAAATAATATGAACCATATCTGCTCCAAATTGAGCTGATGAATGTGCTGAAAAAAATGGGGCTCCAGTATAACTTCAATTGAACATTATCGATTAGTAAAACTGCATTGGAATCAATAAAACACATACTCAATTTGCTTGTTTTCTCAATACATACTCCTCACATCCTCCAACAACAACAATTCTGCCGGCTATTTACCACCATAAGCACATTGTTTCCATCCAGTTAGTATCTTCATGCTTTTTCACTTGTTTTCTCTAAAATCCATCTAACTCACCTTGCCCTTTGTAGAAATTAGGGGATAATGGGGGAACCAACTTTTTAGCCAACTTGATCAACTCCTTTGAGGATTTTTCTGACAAAATCGACTTGATCATTCTTCAATTCTGCTTTGCAGTAAAACAATATAGCCTGTTATTTGAATCACGACAATTGTGTGAATAATATCTAATCAGCTTTGCTCTGATGATGATAATCAAAGCAAAACTCTACGTTGAACTGTGCTGAACCATTTATCGTTTTAAGTTCTCCTTACATAGCGCTACCATCAAGCTACATCTTCACAGCACTTTGAGCTTCTTTTCTTCTTTCTTGCTGATTCTACAGTGCAATATACACACTTTTTCCTCTCTTTTTTTTCTTACTTTTACTAAATTGTTTTTTTTTGTGGGTTTGCACAGTTGTATATATTGTTTTGCTGCTCAAAATGTCTGAGTTTCAACGAAAAATATTTCAAAGAAAATTGCTTGAAGCCGAAATGGCTTTGGGTTTTAACATGAATGAAGGATTGGAAGAAGACGACGATGAAGCTGATCAAGAATCCAATCAAAATACCCATCCAAGAATCAAACACCAGAACATAAATAAAGAACTGGATGTCTCTGGTAATGGCAATTCACAATTAAACAAAAAGGAAGGCCATTCGTTTTCTCCTCCTTTTGCAAAGGATGCTTCTTTTCCTTCAACAACCTCTTCTCCTTTAATCAAATCTTCTTTATCTCAAAATAATAACACTATCAATTTTCAATTAATGCAACTTTCAAAACACAAGAACTTGAACAAAAGCATAAGCAAGAACACAAACCAAATGCTGAAACTAAATCTCAACTCCAACTTCGATGCAAAATGTTGGAGCGAATTTTTTGAAAGAAATGAGGTATTTACTGATCCATCGAATAACAATGAATTTCAAACTTACTATACTCCTCCACAAAATAGAAAATCTCCTTTATTTATATTCCATCATGGTGCAGGCTCTTCTGGGTTGACTTTTGCAATGCTTTGCAAACAGATCAAACAAAACATGATCCACGATAACAATCTCTCAATAAAGAATAATAATGGATTGGAAAATGATAAAACTGTGAAAAAAGACAGCAGTATTGATAAAAATCATGTTAATTCTAACACTGATATCAATGGAAATGTTAATGATCCTGTTGCTGGGTTTTTCTCTTTTGACGCTAGAGGCCATGGAGATACAAAAGTGATAGATAACAATTATTCCCTAACTTCTTTTATTACTGATTTCATTTTTATATTTAAAACATTGATATCGAAAGAACCTTTATTCAAGAATCTTTTATTCGATATTGAGAATGACACTTTCGAAAATTCAGATTATCCACCAATTATTTTAGTTGGTCATAGTTTCGGCGGTTCAGTATTGACCAAATCTCTTACAAACATTGAATTGCAACCCTTTACTAAAAACAACATTATCAAAGGTTTAGTCATGTTTGACATAGTGGAGGACACTGCGGTTAAGGCTTTGAGTGGAATGACACACTTTTTGAAAAGAAGACCAAAGGGATTTAACACAGTGAAAGGTTGTATAGATTGGCACTTAAAATCCAACTTATTACATAATAAGCAATCTGCATTGATTTCAATTCCTGCATTGATTAAAGAATCACTCATCACCACTTCAATAAATACTTCGCATTTATCTGCGATGGATGCAATGAATCTTTTAAAACAACAAAGTAAAAACTCTGTTTTTGATAACCAAAATACTAATTTTAAATACGTATGGAAAAGCGATCTCCTAAAAACTGAACCTTTTTGGGGTGATTGGTTTAAAAATCTCTCAAATGATTTTGTTTCAGCTCCAGTTCAATCAAAATTGTTAATATTGGCAGGTAACGATTCTTTAGATAAAAATTTGATGATTGGTCAAATGCAAGGAAAATTTCAATTGATTGTTTTCTTAGAAAGTGGTCATTTCTTGCATGAAGATTTACCAAATAAAACTGCTTTGAGTTTAATCGATTTTTGGAAGAGAAATTTCAATAACCCAAAATTAAAAATCCCTGTGTTATGGGGCAAGATGAGATCCTAATCTATTTTATTTAAATTATTTCTCTCGAACATGAGATTTTGTAATAATTGTCTATTTTTAAAATATATCTTCATTATACATTTTTTTTTTTATTTTTATTTTAATTTTTATGTTTATCTCGGTTCCCATTTTTATTGCATTTATTAGTTTTATGTATATTACTTGTTGATTTTTCATAAACTTAGAACAATTTAACTCACAAATAAATATGTTTCGTTTATTCAAAAATAAAAAGTAAAAAGAAAAACAAATATAAATTCTATAAAATATCTAATCATTATGTATCATTCAACAGAAAAAGTTTCTAATGATTCCTCTTTTCCTTTTTCAAATTCATTTACTATTTCATCAATCTTTTTGCTTGCCCAAGAAAATCTTGGATCAATTAAAAATGGTCTCAAATCAAATCTGTTGTCATCAGGAGAATATTGTTCAGCATGATAACTTGGTGTTAATACTGTTTGTTTGTGTCTATTTATAGCATAAAAGTAAAAAAACCTCTTTACTTTGATTGCAATATCCTTTGGAGATAACTTGTCAGACCATAAATGGTATAACTTCAAAAACATTGAATATGGGCCACATTTATCTATTTTTCTCAATCTACCAAAAATTGATAATTCTTCATATGTCATACCCATGTCAATTTCATCGGATTGAACGTAATCTTTGGTAATTGGTTCTAGCTCAGCAGTTGGTGTCGCATTTAAAAAGTCGTCAAGAATTGGCAAGTGAAAATGAGTTTCAGAATAATGAATAAATCTTTTGAGATCTGTTTTGGATATCCCACCAATTGGATTGATATCAGCAGAAGAACAGTCATACTTTGTTAAATAACCACGCAAGCATTCGTCGACATTAGCAGATCCTAATACCAACAATCCTCCATATTTTCTGCCACGGACCCATGGTAATAATTGTGCAAAAAGATAAGCTAAAACCATTCTTAATCTTGCTTGGATGTTTTGCAAAGCCAAATTTTCAACTTGGGACCCACCAAATATTTTAAAAATCGGTCTTTTTCCAGTTGCAACTTCAAATAAATTTACAACAGCGGTTACTAAGTTATCCATATTTAAATCAACATGATAAGATCCAATTTTATTTGCTAATTCTTTCGCTCTCGATCTTGTTTCATTTGATGAATTTTCAGTGCCCATAAAACAAGTATGAAATATTCTTGAAGAAAACTCAGCAGGATCCACTGGCAAATATTCCTCATCATCCGGAATAGCTGCAACCATTTTTGCATCTTTGATAACTTGTAAATTTCTATTTTTAGCAGCCTCGGAAACCAAGCAACACATGGAATAAACGATAACAGCAGTTGCACATGAATCAATCCCGCCAGATAAAGGTAAGAAAAACCCGGCACCATGACATCTTCGAATGTAATCCCATAACCAGCAAGCAGGACCAAAAGCAATTTCTTCTTCAGGTTTGTAATAATGTATATCAATAATTGGGGTAGGCTTCAAAGTTGATCTGAATGTGAACAATTGAGGAGATAGTTCAATTGGGACATGTATTCTCTTATAATGGGTGTCTTGATTTACTGCTTGTAAACCATGCGATATTGAGGCTCTATAACTTCTAACATCTTCAAGGTCAATTGTCGCAGTAATAACTTCAACATCATCAAGAGAAAATTGAGAAGCTTGAGCCAATACTTGACCATTAAGAACGACTAACGAACATCCATCATAGTATAATCTGTCACCATCACACCCCTTTTGGTTAGAGTATAAATAAACTCCCCCACACTTTGTTGAGGCTTCAGTTATCAAACTCATTCTTGTATTTAATTTTCTCAATTCGTGATGTGAGCCAGAAGAATTGGTTATAATTTCCACACCATCTAAAGCTAAAGAAATATGAGGAGACTGTGGAGTGAATAATTCTTCACAAGTTTCGCAACCAATAACAGTATCTAAGGTCGAAATAACAGCATCACCAATTGTTACTGATAACTGGCCAGTTAACTTTTGAATCATCCTGGGCAACACATAATCTTCACAATATTTTGGTTTTAACCAAGGAACGAAAAATCTCATTTCCCTATAATTTCCATCATTTGCTAGATACAACTTTGGCCTGATTAAAAGGATTTTACCATTATAGGATAAAACCCTGCAATTGTATCTTCTGTTTTTGTGAATCACAGGCATACCAATATCCAAGAGAATATCATATGCTTCCTGGTTTTTCAATATTGAGGCATACATTTCCCATGAATGTAAGTAGATGTCATTTTCCAAAAAGTGGTCAAGACATCCGTAACCAGTTATCTCTAGTTCAGGTCCAACTCTTAACTTTGCGCCTTTTTGTTTTGCAATTTTAATGCTGTGAACAATTCGATCTCTATTATCTTCAAAATCAAGAGCCCATTGGTTAAGATTGCAGGTAGCAACTGTAATATAGTGAACCATCTTCAAAAATCTCAAAAAAAGTCTTTATTAGCTTATGAAAAATCTTGAGTTTTGCAGCTATGCAATAATTTTCTGGTAATTACACCATAAATTAGTTGATAAGCTATTTAATGGTAATGAGTTTGGGTGATAAAATCGAGCGGGTGACTTTTCGAACCGGAAGATTGCCGAACATCGGAATACGGCAGGATACGGCAGAATAAAGTTCAAAAGTGTATTAAAGAGAATATATAACGAAATAAAGAGAACAATCACTAGAATTCAGCCAACTTCTTCTTTCCAATGCTGGAAGCCTGGTAGTTTACAAAGATTATCAACGAAGAAGAAATTATGAAAGTTAGAGTGATTAGAATCAAGTTAATTGGAATTGGATTCATATTGAAAATTGTATGGGTGTAGACATCTAAAATCTTTTGACAATAATTGAAAATACCAGCAAAGGACATAATTGAACCATAAATGATACCAAAAGATAAAAAGCCAAAGATTTTTCCAACAAAATCACTAACAGTTGTGTAGAAAAACGGTCTCCAAAGCACAAATAGAGAGACATTTAGAATCCCAAAAAAGAAATTATTTTTAACTATACCTGAAACACCAATTACAATGTTTAAAAGTGATAAAGTAGTTAAAACTGTCACAGGCTGATATGTATCCAAGAAGTAACCAACAAATGGAATTGATATTATACCACCTAACGGCAATAAGATGTCAAAAATTCTATTTAAGTCATTTGCTTTATCATTCGAATCAAATAAATATGTGTACTGAGAATTTATAGTCGAAATGAAATAATTCAATCTCAACATTTGAATGACAGTGAAAAGTGTTATTAAAATAAACCAAGCCGAGAGATATTGAGATTTTAGAGGTTTTTCGGCCATAATATTAAATAAACCACCAGAATGTTGTAGCAATTCTTCAGGAGATAAGTTTTCTTCAACTCTTGACAATCTGTTGATATCCACTAATGATGATCTTCTTCTTTGATATCCTTCTATACTTGAAATTGACAAACGACTTGATAATGTTGTAACTCTACCTGATGGATCATCGAGAATACTGTTATTGTTGTTGTTGTTGTTATTACTATTATTTGGAATATTTTCATTATCACGAGTGTGAGGTAATAAAGAAGTTGTTTCATTAACAATTACATTAACATCTTGATTTTTAGATTGGTTGAATTTATTTGTGGGGTAATCTGGAGATGAAGGATTAATTTGAAGATAAGAATCCTTTTCCATTAATAAAAATTGAACTGAAACAATGAAAATTGGAATGACTAGATAAAATTTGAAAAAATCTGAAATTAAAAATTTTGGAAATAAGTTATTGATTATTTTGTAAAAGACAAAAGTAGCAGATGAAGCATCAAACGCTCCAGTCAATAGTGCTAAAATTGTACCAGAATTTATTGGAAAGGAATTTGAGAGTTGAAAACTTGAAATATAAGTAAATGGACCACCCAAAGCTAACAAACCAAACCCAGCCAAATATGGATCAAAAATGTCTAGTGATAAAAAAAATTTGGTATTAATTAATATAATACATGACGATAGTAAAAAAAAGGAACCTATTAGTGAGCACACTTTGGGACCATAAAAATCTAAAATATAACCGATGGGTAACGATGAGACATTAGTTAACACAGCAGAAACCGTAAATATGAAGTTTAGCTTCAAATCTTGTTCTGTGCATAGTGTTTTCTCCAACCCATGAAGGAAATCAGTAACCTGGAATTTTTCTTCGGGAATACAGACGTTTTGATAAACCCCTTCTTTGATTAAAAATGGTTTTAAAGCAGCAAAACCAAATATGGGACCACCAGCAAATATACACCAAATAATTGCGCAACTAACTTGAGCTATTCTCTTTGAGCTAGAAACCTCAAAATACTTCATAGTGATTTTGCTAAAAGATCAAAATTCCTGGGGATACTAAAGAAATAAAAAAAAATAAACTATCGAAACTAGAAAAGAATTGTGAACGCTTTTATAAATAATGGAAACGTCAAAAAATCATGATTCAAATAATAAATCAAAATTTAGAAGATTGATATTTTTTAAATGATAGAAACAGGTTATGTCGATTTGGTGAAGCAATTCGATAACAGAAGGGATTTTTTGCGTGATTAGCCAACACACACAGTAAAACCAATCAAAACAACCCAGAGCCGGCCTATTATTGCAGGGGGTTATGCATTATCTCGCATGATGCGGTTGCCGATTCACAAAAACTAAAAATCGGTGCAACCGGATCACGTGATACACGATTATTTTTTTGAGACTGGGTTTCAGTTTAGAGGCTCCGTTGAGAAATTCCGTTGAGAAATTCTATTCAATTAGCTTAGGTTTCAGTTTATGTATATATGTGTATCACCACGCAGCTGCGCATTGAGAACCGCTGAGCTGGACTAGGGCTCTATTTCTTTGCAAAGAATAGAAGAGTTTTCTGGCATCTTCAACAATGCTGGAGTATCATTCATTTTGATTATCTGATTGTCATAGTAGAACTCAAGATCACCAACATTGACTTCTGCCAATCGAGAAAACGTCTTAAATAGATACTTTAGTTTGGCTGAAGTTTTGAGTTTAAACACGTAAACATCTTTTGTGCTCTGCTCAACAACTTCTACTTTGCAATATTTTGTGGGTTCTGCAACTCCACTTTTGTCGAAATCAACGTTTCCCATAGTGGTGTCCTCATTATGTTCATCGCCATTTTCTTTGCTTTTTATTTTTTGATCAGCTTTGTTAGTAATTTTACTATCCTCAGACATACTTTTGTTTGCAATTTGATTTGAGATTTTAGCTATCTTTTTCGGTTTAACAATTTTTTGAGTTTCCTTTTTCTTTTTACTTTCACTATTCGTAGATTGGTTTTGAATTTCGCTTTTACTTTCATTACTTTGTTGATCTTTACTATTTTCAGCGTTTTTATCGACTTTTTGGTCAACTTTTTGGTCAGTATTGTTTATAGCATTGTGATCAATCTTTTTTTCCGTATTATTATTGAAATTATTATCACCATTACTATTTCTGTTATTATCAATACCGACAGTGGTTTCAATCTCCAGTTGGTCTTTCATTTCAATATCTTTTTCAACAGAATCGTTGTTTTTTCCAATTTCCTGTATTTTCTTTTTATTTTGTGATTTTTGTTTTTGTTTTCTTTTTTGTTTCACTTGTTTGAGAACTTCTGGTTTTGAAATCACTTGCTCCTTTCCCTTTTCGTCTTTCCTTTGATCCTTTAGATCATGTTTTTCGTTTTTTTCTTGTTCATGTTTTTGATTTTCATGTTTTTTATCTAAGAGCTTTTGAATCGAAAAATTTGAGGTGGTTAAAATAGTTGACCTATTAATGTTTTTTGTAGGCGTGGAAATCATACTATTAAATCGATTTGATGTTGAAATAGTGGAATAATGTAAATATGCTTGTACATATGAGCTGACTTTTTGTTTATCAGTCTCAGTGATACTAGGAGATGGAAAAACAGAATTAATAATATCAGCTTGATCATGTTGACTATTATGAATATTGACTATAGAATTTTTTCTATTCTTTTTATTTTTTTTAGGTTTAATTTTTTTTTTTGAGATTTTGTTTTCTTTCTTTTTAGTTTTTTTATTGTTTATTAGATTTTCAGCATTTTCAGGATTGTTTAAATCTTCAGGATTTTTTGTTTTTTCGATTGAATCAGATTTTTCAGATTTAATAGATTTTTCAGGATTTTCAGGATTTTCAGGTTTAATAGATTTTTCAATTTCGTCAATTTTATCAACCTTTTGAACCTTTTGAACCTTTTCTACTTTCTCAATTTTGCCAACCTTTTCAAGTTTATCAAGTTTATCAATTTTGTCAACATTTTCAGTCTTTATCAATTTTTGAGTCTTTAAAGGGGTTTCTCTTTTCTTGAGTTTTTTATGAGTTTCATTTGTTTGTTTTTTAGGAGTTTCAAACACTTTTTTTACTGGAGTCTTTTCAACTTTATCACTTCTAATAACATTATCAGTTTTATCAGTTTTATCAACATTATCAACATTATCAATTCTATCATTGTTATCACCTTTATCATCTTTTGGATTTTTGTTTATAGATTCAGGAATATTAGTCTTTTTAGTCTTTTTATTGACATTTTTAATTTCAGTTGATTTGTCAAATTCTTCAGGTGAATTGATAGTATGTTTATGTTTTCGTGTTTGATTTTCATTGGCAGTTTGAGAATGCTTTTCGTTTGCAATTTGTTTAACATTTTTATTGGAATTTTGATTGACATTTTTGTTGATAATATCATTAGTTAGATCATTGGTTAGATCATTATTTAGAACATAGTTTAAGACATTGTTTTGGTTATTAGAAAGAATGTAATGTTCTTCGTCACTGTCAGATAATTCTATGACAATTCCATTTTCATCTAAAATATCATTTTCCTCATTGAAATAGCTGAGATTTGTTTTATTACTCGCATTATTCTTTTGAATTTGAATTTCAGCGTTAATTTCCTTATTGATTTTGTTATTGATTTCTTTGTCAATTTCTTTGTCAATTTCTTTGTCAATTTCTTTGTCAATTTCCATTTCAATTCCTTTATCAATTTCAGATAGTTGAGTATTTTGATTTTGAATATTATCGGCTTTTTCAATTTTTTGATTTTGAATATCATTATCGGTATTATCTATGTTATCCAAAATACTATTGATATTGATTTCATTGGTATTACTCATTTCTATATCGGTATCATTTATTTCTCCATCACTTGTGTATAAAGAAGTGTTTATTCTTAAGCTATTGGGATTATCATCTTGAGCAGAAAGATTTATGGCGGCAGATTTTGTGGTTTTATCGGATAAGGAAGAGTCTTGAATTGACTTAATATTGGGGAGAGTAGTAACTGAGGAATTTTTTTCGATTTTACTTTTAATATTGTTTTCAATATCGTTTTCAATATCGCTTTTGAGATTCTTGAGACCTTTTGGAGGACTGGGTTCATTGTTGTGATTTGATTCGCCGAATTGGTGGAGTAGTTTGAGATTGAGATTCATTAGCATATCGGCTTCAGTCATTTGCCAGAAATCGTTTTCGATTGGGGTGAAGTTGTCATCGAGGAGATTGCGAGCAAGAGTCCTTTGGTGAAGCATGTAGGAAACAATTTTCTGCTTCAAGAAATCGACGATTTTTGCCTGGAGAGAGAGCTCATTCTGCCTTTTGTTGAACTGGTCGCGTAGAAGGTTGTTGTTGGCAAGCAAGATACTCTTCTCCTTCAAGCTGAAATTCAACTTTTCAGCCAATTCGTTGTTCTGGAGCAGAAGAATCTCGCACTTCTTGGACAAGGCCTGGCACTTTGTGGTGACACTCTCAAGCTGGAGCTGGAGCTGGGTCTGGGGCTGCTGCCTGAGGGTCTCGGTCAGCTCAGCACGTCGTAGTTTCTCGGAGAGAGAGGCAATGGTGGCCCTTAAGGCTGCAAGGTCGCTGGAGCTGGAGGTGTTCCTGGGCTTCTTCTTCAGGGCCCTGGTTCTGGAGAGGGTGGAGGTGGAGGTGGACATGGTGCCTGTGCTGCACTGGAAGAAGAGGCCTTCGTCTCTTTTTGCGTGGTGAGGGCAGTGAGGGCGGGGCGTGTTTTGTAAGGCGATTTGGCTACGGAGGCGGTATAGCGGTGAAGGTAATATAGATGGAGGTAATATAGATGAAGACGATTGTGCTGCTTGTGCTACTTCTCAACAACTGCTGAGGTTGATCTTGCTCTCGAACCACTCGCTGATTCCCTCCCTGGGAATTGCCTCTACGACACTTCCCATTTCGGTGTCGAGATAGCTACTGTAGCCCTGGTAGTTGTTGGTGTTTCTACTGTAGTCGACACTGCTTCGTCTTTCTCTGCTCAGGTACCTTCGTATCTCAAAAATGCACCCATTCACAGAGATGAACTTGAGGTTCTCGTTCAAATGACCCAACTTGAATGCAATGTGTTGCACTTTATACCAGTCGTCATACACCCCATTGTGAATCTCCAACTGATTGTTGGTTTGGTTCGAATTGAGATTGTGGGTGTAGTTGTAGCTATTTAAATCAATTAATTCCAAGTAATTCAATTTCCTAAAATTACTCAATTTCTCAATCTTATACAAATTCAAATTCGAATTAATCCTCAAACTCTCCAATTGGTTCCCATTAACTTCTATTAAATTACCAAATAGCACTTCGTTAAATTCATTCAATTTTTTTAGTATTAAATTAGTAGAAATGTTTTTCTTGATATTATTATCATTGATTCGAATCGATAATTTTCGTAGCTTTTTTAAATTTGGAGTCAATGATACATTATAATTGTCCAATTGTCTTTTAATTGTCTCTTCAATCATTTGGTTCCAATTATTATTATTGTTATTGTTATTGTTATTATTACAATAATCACTTAAATTGATAACTAAATCTAACTCTCTTAGTTGAATACCAAAAAGATTCCCTAGGAAATTGGGAATATGATCATATAATGGTTTTTTCCAATTTATCTTTAAATATTTTAAATTATAAAAATTTATATTATATTTCTCAAATTTCTCAATAAATGTCAATCCATGGTTATCATTAATATTATTAATATCATTAATACCGTTAATGTTATTAACATTGTTAGCATTGTTAATACCAATATTACTTGGATAATGATTATAATCAATTTCATATAGCTCATCAAATTTCAAATACTCAACTCTCTCAAAATCTATACACCCATTCAACAACTCAAACTCCCCAACCTGATTATCATTACTGATTATTGCTCCACTAAGCTCAAGCTCTCTCAAATTATCAAATCTCAATCCTCTCAAATAAATAGGCTCAAAAAAATTATACACCATCTTCATCTCCTCCTGAAATTTACTATTATCATTCTCATTCTCATGGTAATTCAACAACGAGTTATTATTAGGATATATCATCGACTTTTGAAAATTCAAATTCACCAATTTTAATTTCTTAATCCCACTTAATCCATTCCCACTATTAAACAACAAACTCTCAACTATATACCGCAAAATTATACTATACTTGTAATCAATAATTTCCAACTTTTCCAATCTCTTAAAAGGAAACAAATTCTTTAAATAATACTTTTTGTCCTCCAATCCCATCCCATCCTTATTAAATATTGAATCTAGCAAATTCTTGTCTTTCTTGGTAACATTCAAATGAACCCTCAACTCCTTTAAACTATCATAATTGATCAATTTCAATTTCAAAACAGGAAAGTTAATCGAATTCCAGTTGATACTCTCAATCCTCTGAAATTTCTCTAAAAACATCTTCCCCTTCTCCTTCTCTGTTTCTTGAAATATCAACTTGAATGATTCAAAATCACTAATGTTATTTGGAATATTTATCAAATTAAATCTCTTTATAAATTTCAAATACTTGAAACTCTTCTTCTCATCCAATATCAATTTAATAAATTTCTTGAAATTATACTTTGTCTTGATAAACGTAGAATAATTGAAATACTCAATCATCTCCAAATTAAATTCACTATAATTATTAAAGATGATAACATTCTCATATATTCTTTCAATGGTACAGGCAAAAATCACCTTACAGCTCATCGAGAAGTTTAAGGCATCATATTGGTTCAAACACTTGCATATATTTAAAAGCAAATGATCTGGTAAACATGTTAAACATTGTCCATTCATTTTATCCTTATCTCTACCCATTATATTCTTCTTTATATGTTTATTAAGAGCAGGAGCAGGAGCAGTAGTGTAGTTGTTACTGCCACCATACAGATTTTCAGTCCTACTATACCCACCTCTAGATCCATCATTAGACATTGCAAATTGACCAAGACCTCCAGAATATCCAAATTTCTCTACATCCCCATTATTGCTTTGGCTATCAAGATTCAAACAAAAAATGGAATATGAGTGATTAGCTAATAAGGGCAAACCAGAATATCCAATTGGAACACTGAAATCAATGCTGTTCATCTTTGGCAAATTGTTGGGCTCGAAATATATCCAAAAAACAACTTGGAAAGCACTTTCTCAAGCAAAAGTTCCCCATGATCCATTATATTTATATCAACTGCCATCTCCCACCATAGATAAAAACTGCCTTTAAGGCCAGGTCCGGTTTTTTTATGGGGAAACGAGGTGAGAATTAAAAATTGTCTGAGCCTGTTCAAGAGAAGGGTGCAAAATAATCATCCAGCTCTCTCTCATCTTCTTTGCAATGAGCAACACCAACACCAGGTTCAGGCCCTTGAGATTCAACAACAACAGGAAAACCAGCAGATCCCACAAAGGCTCGCCAGTTTCCTTGGACTACTTTGACGAGGCAATCAACCAAGAAGAACATGGCGATAGGTGGCTTCTAACTGATCTCGCAAAGGCACTAAGGTTTTACCAAAAGTCCTTTGAATACTACACTATTTTAAACAGCAGACCTTCTACTCAAAATGCAAATGAACAAAACTCCTACTACAATGCCTCAAGACTCTTGTACAACGTCTACACCGAGTTTGTTAAGCCCAACTGCATTAACTATCAGAAAGACTTGAAGGACATCCAGCTCATGTTGAGTTCAGATAATTCTGTTTTAAAACCAAGTTTGAAGTATGTCTTGCTATATCACGAAAATGCCATCCAGAAGTTGAACAAAGCTGGTGATGCAATTATTATTGGTGATGCCTTGCCTTGGGATTTAATATACAATACTTGTTTAATTTATAATGAGCTTATTGAGGAATTTGAATTTGACGAACTGAATTACAATACCAATTCAGAAAAATTCACTGAAATGTTGGATTATATTACCAAATCAATTGAGTTGGTTGTTCATTTACTAAATTATCAAATGAACGAGTTATCAGTTTTTCTTAATAACATCAATAATAACCAAGGTGATATTGATATAACTGAGGATAACAATAACCAAAATAATATCGCAGCCGATGAGTTTATAAGTCAGGATACAATTACTCTTGAAACTACTCTTGAAACTATAAATTTGGGCTATCTATTTATCATTAACAGTTATGATAATATTTTGAATTTATTACTAAATCCAGTCAATAAAGCTGGAATTTTTGATACTAAATCAATACTACTTAAAATAGATCAATTTACTCATTTTAATGATTTGAAATTTAGTGAAATTAACAATTATTACAATAGACTTAATAATAATAATAATAATAATAATAATGACGATGATGATGATAATGGAAGCCAATTGACTGAAAAATTAGAGGACGACCAAATAAATGAAGTGTTAATCAACAAGAGCGTTTTGAGTTCAATTCAGATCTTGTTGAAATATATAAACTTGAATAACGACTACTACTTCGATAGAAATTTAATTGAGGGAATAATCTCCACCTGGAAAAATGATATCTTGGATAATGAAAAGTTTAAAACCAATTCAGATAGATATTCAATTTTTAGTGATCTTTTGATGAATTATATACTACCTTTTCAGCTTGAGGAAGATAAATTGGAAGCACTTCAATTAATAAATTTAAATTATAAAATTAATCAAGATATTTATTATCAAAGCTATTTGAAATTAAACAAATTAAATGTTAATAGGTTAAAATTTGATGATTTCAAATTGAAATTTAATTTATTGATAAAGATTTTGGATATTAATTTAATTCGAAGTGATAACGAGATTTCAAAACTTCTTTTAACTAAAAAACATAACCTAACAAAACATGAAAATGAAAATGAAAATGATGAAGTCACTCTTAACAATGTTAAAATATTTTTGAAAAACAATTTAAATTTGATCACAAACTACAAAAATTGCAATCAACTTCGACAAATTAAAATATTTGAATATAAATTGCAAAAGATCAAACTCCAAACATTGGTTAGGTCATGTTTATTATCTTCTTCTGCTAATATGTCCACCAAAACCAGTTTGGATGTTCAAGTCCACCACACAATCTTTGGCGATTCTGTTGAGATTGATGCATTTTATTTGTCTGTTATTGCAGAAGAGCTTCAAAGACTTTACGAAAATGATATAAATTATCTCACCTTCAGGAAATAATGAAATAATTAAATAATTAAACAGTTAACGTTGAAACACTCTTAATTGCTGTGTAAATCTGTTGCCAAACAAGCTTCCATGCCAAATAATTGAAGGTGACAAGTTGACCAGAAACATTTTAAAGACTGAGATCAGCAGGAAAGAGCCTTTTCTATTCAAAAGAGCAAGAAAACTGTAGAAAACGCGAAGTTGCTCTGAAAGAAATAAAAAACGTTGCTTTGATCTTTTGGTCTCATGCATGTCAATGCATATAAGTGTATGCTAATTCATGCAACTCAAATAATTGCGCACATTACATACTTCTCAACATGAAAACCTCAATATATATTTGGCTATTTCGCTTCATTTTTGTATAAAGTCTTCTTGATATTACTTATATTATAAAAAATATATAACAACCATGTGTGTTGTAAGGATGAATCATGAAAAGCAAAACGTTTTGGATGGTCTTCCACTGAACATTCTTAAGCATATTTTCCGAAAACTTTCAATTAAAGAACGGTTTTTGTTTATATCATCTACTAATCCTATAGTTAAAAACACATGCCTACAGCTTATATTCAAGAATGTTGAACTAATGTAAAAATTCTCTGTATCNACTGTATGATTTTTGGAAAGGATTGAAGGGTATCCCGAAAATTTCGAAATTGACATCCACTCTTTCTTTCCGACTCAATTTTTTGATTCATTCAACTTGAAACATTTGAAATTAGCTGGAATGAATTTATTAAAAATGGGACGTGAAAGTGGAAATCAGTTAAATCTAACAAGTTTCAAATTGGCAATGAATCGTTTTTCCAGTNTAGAAAATATAAAATTTTCCAAAGCAATTAAGCATTTAGATCTTTCTTCAAATCACATTAAAAATGCTAATGATTTTCCGTTTCCAAAAAAGTTGGTTAGTTTAAATTTGGAGATGAATATGATCTGTGAAATTAGCAATATAGNATAATATCGTCAATGTTGAAAATATTGAAAAATTAGTAAACTTAGAAAAGATTGATTTATCCAGTAACAAAATCAATAAGATGAGTATTCCAGGCAATAGGAAATATCCAAGTAATTTAAAATCATTGAACCTATCCCATAATTATNTTAAAGCATTAAGAGTTATTGCAGAATTGAATGGTTGTTCAAATATAGATCTACACAGTAATGAGATAGTAAAAATTCAGAGTGAATCACAATATCTCATAATCGATAAAGTATTAAAAATATTTCAACAAAAAGAAACAATGTTACTACTCAAACACAGCAAGGAAATGAAGTTAGATTTACAAAATAACCCTTTAGAAAGACTTAAAGGGTTATCAGAATGGAAAAATTTGACTGTGGTTATTCCCGATAGAATATTATATATTAATTTCAAAGATATTCTACAATTGCTAAACCTTAGAGCCATTACAATTGTAAAATGGTCAGATAAACCTGAAGAGGACTTTATCAAGGTAGCAAATGAATTCCCC